CAAGTTAATCATACAATACCATATATGGCACACCTTATACATTACGAAATAATGTTTGAATCTAATCACATAGTGATTTGAACATTAGCGTGTTGATGTGATGAGCCAGTGTCAACAGAAAGACGCGCCTGTTGGCCCGCGGAGTCAACCATGTCCTCATCCAAACCGCAATATCCAGGCCACTACATGAACTATTCACTAAACATTTCTACTATCTTGTCACGTTATTGTGTCGCTGGGAGGTAAGTATGGGCTGGTAATGTTGTATTGTTTTGATGTACCACTATTATGTAAATATCTCATTGTTTTAATGGTTTTTCAGAGATGAATTTTTGAGCCCGCGGCTCAGAATGGGTGGCTCTCAAATGTTATCGCCCTACAATACTTATCTACATAACTTCGATAGTTTTTTTTACATTCAAATTGCATGCGTCATTCCTCGTGTCCGCTTTACTTCAATACGTGAGAAATGGCATATTTATATATCAAAAATTTCTTTTATTTAAATATTTCACAGGTACTATACATAATTTATCCTGCAACTGGACTGCATTGTCGGAATACACCTGCCACATATAGTTTTGCTGTATTCGGCAGTGAAAGGAAAAGAGCACACGTGTAAACTCGACATAATTACTTTCTGAATTTACTTCTAAATTACGTTTACAATATAAATAACTGATGAAATAAACGATTTTATACGTTGAAATGAACAAGTTTATTTATAAAATTCATTAAATACCTGCCATAACCATTGAATTTTGGAACTATATTTATGTGAGAAGCAATTATTTCAAGGTACGTAATCAGGCAAATTCTGCTTAACGTCAACGTCATGTAAACAAAGGCTGAACAACAAAACTGTAGAAGTATTGATATTCTCATTTTCAATCAATGTTGCAGGATAAATAGAATATATGGTACATGTCTTGAAATATAAGCATTTTGGCTCGTGACAGAAAGACAAAAGTGGCTCGCACGAGGTTCGCCGCTTTTGTCTTTCTTCACCCTCGCCAAGATGCGGCTTGCATTTTAAGACAGTGGCCATGTTTTCTCTATATAATATGGTTGAGAGGGTGGGTAGAAACAAATGCCTAGGACACTTCTGTTAATCTGTGATAACCTTGTCAAGTGTATATCTATGATCTACTGAACATTGTTGAAAGCGGACATTTTTTCACTTGTGTACTTTTATCTTGTCTTCGAGATTGCAAGTGGTAGACAATAGGTATCACTCTCGTCCATCAGTACACATGTACTAACAAGTTATCAGTATGAGTGCATTGACAAACGAGACTGCTGTTAGAGGCTTATAGTCGCCGAAGTTCGCCTTAACCTGTAAGTCAAATTTTTAAAGTGAAGCGGTTCAGCATATACACTGCACTTGAAATTCTTTAGATATTACCAGATAAATGTGAATTGCGAATCAACTACACTACATCTCACATTTCTTTCGGTCAATTCGGATTTTCATCAGTCGCCTCCTAGGTTTCAAAATTTAGGTCCTTATCCATCGTCCTTCACTTTCGCTCTCTGCACTCCTTGAATATGTCATTGCAAAAATTCACGAGCGAAGTAATTTGATTGGTTTAAGGAGAAACAATCACAGGCGGATACGCTTCTTTTGAAGATTACAAAAGAGCGATACCCAACTTTAATGCCAGTTCAACAAAACGTTTGATGTACATCAAATGATCAAGCTAGTCTTCTCGTCTTGTCTACAAAGTGTCGCACATTGAACCTTCGATTTTGCTATGACATGTTCCACGGGAGCAGAGAGCGAAAGTGATGTAACCCCTACAGTATCGAGGACGGTCCTTACCGTCACCCTTACAGTTGTATGACGCAAATTAGTTAAATGACTATACTCTATCACTTTCTAAACTTGTACAGAAAGGTGACACTCACTTTTCATCTTTTCTACAATCTCATAAAATTATTAACAAGTGTGATATTCGGTGGGTGAAAATTCAATCACTATCGGACAAGCTGGAAAACTAATGCTGGGAAAGGACTTCCGGTACGGGATGTGAACGCCAACTATCTCGAACGTTGTGTTTCTGAATCACGTTTTTCTCAGATCGGCGAAAAGTTCTGGTTTCAAAGAATGGGAAATCACAGTTGTACCAATTGCAGCGCAAGAAACGCTATCAATTGTCAACGTCATATTTAGTGATCTCATTGGGAAATGTGCAATATGAAGCTGAACATGTTTGATGCTTTTAAATATACTTGCTAGCTCCGTAACCTACTTGTTCCCAATTGAGAATGTGACATTGCTTACTTGAATTGACAATTCGTGGCGGATGTCGTTCCAGAAACATGATACGCTTACTCTTCTGGAAAACCTTGTTTTATTCTCCTTGTAATTTTTCAGGAGTCTCTATGTGAATCTTTCCTCTATTCATATTTTGCACACGTTTCATGGAATTCGAATTTGAATTATGATCCTGTTGTCACGTTAGCATTTTCTTGAGCAACAACTTTTGATCAAGCGTAGCCTCAATACATTTGATCGAAAAACAAAGATCTACAACAAGAGGTCCATAGGCCTGAATCGTCATCTGACCATCGCATAAAGACCTACATATGACATAACAGCAGTAGCCGTCTTTCGTGGAGTTATTAAATAATTTTATGACATAACAGCAGTAGCCGTCTTTCGTGGAGTTATTAAATAATTTTAAACAGCTTAGAGCATTTTCGCAGTAAAGGCAAATTAAAACAAAGTCACACTCTTCAGCTTGTCAACATTCCTAAATTTCAGCTCAATGGCACCAGTGGACCTAGTTACATCTAATATATTTTTTATTTTTAAGATGGCAGCAATCATGGCTATATCAGATTTTGAGCCAACCAGAAAATAGCAACACTTTGTGACGATCGTCTCCGGATAATTTCAGATGAATCTCAATGGTGGAACCTGAGTAGAAGTTGTTATATAACAAGTGTTGTTCATGAAAACTATAATTGTACGATCATGTTACAAAATGGATGCATTGGCTATCACAGACTATGGAGGAAGTCGATTTAACACAACACTTTGTCCGCTTTCTTTCCTTAACAGCCGTACCATTTTTCAGTACTTATGGAATTTTAGAAGAAAGCAATTTTTTCAAGGTGGTGGCCATATTGGATTCTCCACTGACTCAAAAAATAACAAGACACTGTTCTTTGTCAGGACCAATTTGAAATAAATTTAAATTTGAGCTGAATAAAATTGAATGAACTGTTTGAAATAGGTGCTGTTCAGGAAACCATACTAGTGTTATCATATTACCAAATTTGTCATGTTGAGTTTGACAAGGCAAAAAATTACAACATTGTTTACTTATGTTTCAGATGTATTACAAGTTCAAGTGTCACATTTATCTAACCTGTTCACAAATGGTCAGTCAGTAATAAAGTACCATATAGACGTTTTATTTCGCCGTATACTATATACTTCATAGAAATAAATGTTATGTGTGTTTACAAATTGGTTTCCACATACACAATTCTTGGTATCCCAGTGGCTGTCAAGCTTATAGCTATACCATCCGACAGAGTGAAACGAAGGGCAGTAACTCTTAAAGATCAAAATGACTTTCTAAAAGATTTTGTTTCATTAAAAAATGCTTGCTGGGAATTTGAGTTCAAACTGTTTTTAATTATCGTGAATAAAGTGAAATTAAATCCCCTGCGAACATGAGTGATTATACAGTAACAACAGTAATAAAATAAAAAAAATCATTTTAAAGTTTCTTCATTTATACATATATAGGGGACTTCAGACATGACAAAATAAAACATTTACATGGCGTGGTTCTTAGAAGATGAGAAAAGCTGGAAGAATTCGAAACAAAATACAAAAAAACTTTTTCAAAAATATAGATCTGGTGATAAGTATACGGAAACCAAGATTTTGAGGAAGGGTTTCCATGTAGTACCTGGTGTCTACCTCACTAAATGCATAAGGGAGGACCATATTTTCTAGTATACTAGACATCGGGGAAGGGAGTACCTCATATATTGTCTTGTATACTAGACACAGAGGAAGGGAGTACCTCACATATTGTCTAGTATACTAGACACGGAGGAAGGGAGTTCCCCATATATTGTCTTGTATACTAGTACCTCACATATTGTCTAGTATACTAGACACGGAGGAAGGGAGTTCCCCATATATTGTCTTGTATACTAGACACGGAGGAAGGGAGTACCTCACATATTGTCTAGTATACTAGACACGGAGGAAGGGAGTACCCCACATATTGTCTAGTATACTAGACACGGAGGAAGGGAGTACCCCACATATTGTCTAGTATACTAGACACAGAGGAAGGGAGAACCTCACATATTGTCTAGTATACTAGACACGGAGGAAGGGAGTACCCCACATATTGTCTAGTATACTAGACACGGAGGAAGGGAGTACCCCACATATTGTCTAGTATACTAGACACGGAGGAAGGGAGTACCCCACATATTGTCTAGTATACTAGACACAGAGGAAGGGAGTACCTCACATATTGTATAGTATACTAGACAAAGAGGAAGGGAGTTCCCCACATATTGTCTAGTATACTAGACACGGAGGAAGGGAGTACCCCACATTTTGTCTAATATACTAGACACGGAGGAAGGGAGTACCCCACATATTGTCTAGTATACTAGACACGGAGGAAGGGAGTACCCCACATATTGTCTAGTATACTAGACACAGAGGAAGGGAGAACCTCACATATTGTCTAGTATACTAGACACAGAGGAAGGGAGTACCCCACATATTGTCTAGTATACTAGACACAGAGGAAGGGAGAACCTCACATATTGTCTAGTATACTAGACACAGAGGAAGGGAGTACCCCACATATTGTCTAGTATACTAGACAAAGAGGGAGGGAGTATCCCACATATTGTCTAGTATACTAGACACAGAGGGAGGGAGTACCCCACATATTGTCTAGTATACTAGACACAGAGGAAGGGAGAACCTCACATATTGTCTAGTATACCTCATATATTGTCTAGTATACTAGACACAGAGGAAGGGAGTACCTCACATATTGTCTAGTATACTAGACACAGAGGAAGGGAGTACCCCACATATTGTCTAGTATACTAGACACAGAGGAAGGGAGTACCCCACATATTGTCTAGTATACTAGACACGGAGGAAGGGAGTACCCCACATATTGTCTAGTATATTAGACACAGAGGAAGGGAGTACCCCACATATTGTCTAGTATACTAGGCATCGGGGAAGTGAGAACCTCATATATTGTCTAGTATACTAGACAGAAGGAAGGGAGTACCTCACAAATTGTTCACTATACCAGACTTGTAGTGACTAGAGAAATGAAACATGATACGAGGTATTTTAGCAATGCTGCATTAACTTGAATCTTTTTGACACTGAAGAAACAGGAAGACTATAAAAACAAGTTAATTTTTTCTTCTCATTACTTTTTTCATCCATGAGTTAAACATCCGACGTTCCATGCATGCACTCTATCAAATTTAGTGAATGAACATCATAACCAGGACGACGATGTTCTTTACACACTCATGTAATAATGTTTTGTTAATCACAGTTTTGATGTTCATAAATTCTATTCTCTAAATTTTCGCCATTGTCTTATGACCTTATATCTTTGACTCCAGATCAACTCACGTCCATACTTGGCATACCAGCTGAAATATATAAGAAATCTTCATTACTATAAGGTTATCGGTAGGAGATTTTAATAATTCTGAAAAAAAGTTAATTTTTTATCATAAAACACACACATTAACATTTTAAAAGCAGTGACATTCCCCTTTGTATAGTAAGGTAAAACTCTACTTGTATATAACACACATACATATAAGTCATTTGAGTGGTAACCATGGTAAACCGTGCTGCGATGCACCACTTGGTTAGAGAGGTCTCCTCTTGTTGAGCGATAGACTCAAAAACCAGAGGTCTATGGATTAAAACCAAGTAGGGGCATTGAAATAAATAATGACCTTTGTTACAATGACCGCCATGTGGGTACTTAAGATTAACATTTATCATTATTTTCACAAACATCGCTGGAACAGCTGTAAAATCAAGGACGGGTTATTTCCTGGAGGGGGAGTATGTTATGAAACATAACACTTGGCCATAGAGATCTCTTTATCTAGAGTTGTTGAATATTAGACTAGTCTACTGTAAGTGATGACTTTGAGATCAAGTGGAGACATTGTAATAAATAATGATCTCTCGTATTATACCAAATTTGTTCACATATGATTCTCTAAATTATCAGTTTTATTTATTTGTTTGAAATTTCAACTATCAATTATGAATTCCACATTTGATTAAATTAGATTAATTACTTAAACTTTATTTAATTTACAACAATTACGAAAGAAGACTCGATGAGAAATTCCACGTGTGCTGTTATACTGATACACAAACAGACATTTTGTTTTTCATTAGGACTTTGAAAGGTTAAAAATTGCATAGCTGACACAAATCTGTACACGAGACAAGAAAATAAAGTAAAGTTACTCACTATCCAAACAGTAAACCACCAAGATGAGCTGCGTGATCAAGCCTCTGCCAGCCCAGGATCAGCCCCAGTGTATCCATGGCGAGGAGGAACTTCACACCCTGTCAACCAAACAGTCGAATATCAGTCATCTGTGGCATGGCATTATCAAAAAATTACAAGTATAAAGAGGGAAACAAAACCTACATATATTTCATTTTCTTATTATAAAAGTTTGAAGAATACCATACTAATTCGTCTTTCAATGTTAAATATTTTATAAGAGAAACATATCATCCCACACTTAAATCTGACTTCCTTATACATCGTACTGTATTTATCTGTGAAAAAGACCTTACCCACACAATCATCAATCTAAAATTAGTAAGCTTCATAAATAAGCCCACCCCAAATTTAATAATAATTTTTTACACAAGAAAAGGGGACCTATTTTAGGGTTAATACAGTAGTGAGTAATATGCAAATCAGTTGTAAAATCATATAATTTCGTGATGATCAAATTTCACGGTTTTTCATAAAATTTTGTGGATGAATAATATTCACAAAATCAACTAGTATTAAAAGCACTATCACTATTACACTGTTTATCATTTAAAGGACAAAGGACTTCGTAGGTAAAGAATTCCACGAAATATAACTACCATAATAAAACAAATTGTATCATTTTTACCGCAGCTGTATTCACTTGGTTAATTTTCACTCACCCATTGTCAGAGAATCAATTCATTCAGAATCAGTAAAGGGGATTATTCACACTGTATCAACAGTCAGTGTTTACAGTTAAATATCACAATCCTTAAAGTCTTCACCTAAGATGCTTTGCATCATATTACGTGATTTGGATTTTCTGAGAAATATTCGAGTCTTGAACATTCGTTTAGATTATTACTTATTTAATCATTTGTAGCAGTGTTCAGTAGTATCGTCTGATTAACGTACAGGTAGTCATCCAAAGTCCCTCTTCATTTGTGAAGAGGTAGATTCCTTCCTTTTTGAATTTGTGGATGTTGTTTAATTATCAATAATGTACAATGCAAATTTTAACAGTAATACGCTGCATTTGTATAAATCATGCATTCATTGTATTAACGTATATATATCTTCTTATTAAATATGTAAATTTTTTAAAATCTTATGATCACACCTGAATTCTTACATGTAATTGTTTAGTGATATTTGCATAGTAAAGAATAGTGATTAAAGTTTTGGTGTTTTTCTTTTGTCAACATAAGTGACAAAAACCAGTACAAACTATCAAATTGCCATATTCATGAAGTTTATTTTCAGCGTTGTCTCCAAATATTGCATATCTATAATATCCATGGAATATTATCAGTGATAACCATTAAATTTCATTTCAATTTTTTCATCAAATACACTTTATATGTTGTCTCTCAATATTACACATCTACATGTCCATGGAGTATGGTTGGGGTATGTTTCAAACTATTGTCTATCTAGCTATAGGATGTCCTTTGAGTGTAGGTCTACTCAGTACTTTGAGTGTAGGTCTACTTAGTATGTTTTAGGTCCTTTGAGTGTAGGTCTACTTACCGTAGTATGTTTTAGGTCCTTAGAGTGTAGGTCTACTTACCGTAGTATGTTTTAGGTCCTTTGAGTGTAGGTCTACTCAGTACTTCGAGTGTAGGTCTACTCAGTATGTTTTAGGTCCTTGGAGTGTAGGTCTACTTAGTATGTTTTAGGTCCTTTGAGTGTAGGTCTACTTAGTATGTTTTAGGTCCTTTGAGTGTAGGTCTACTCAGTACTTCGAGTGTAGGTCTACTCAGTACTTTGAGTGTAGGTCTACTCAGTATGTTTTAGGTCCTTTGAGTGTAGGTCTACTTAGTATGTTTTAGGTCCTTTGAGTGTAGGTCTACTTAGTATGTTTTAGGTCCCTTTGAGTATGTGTAGGTCTACTACCGTAGTATGTTTGTAGGTCTCCAGTTTGAGTGTAGGTCTACTCAGTATGTTTTAGGTCCTTTGAGTGTAGGTCTACTTAGTATGTTTTAGGTCCTTTGAGTGTAGGTCTACTTAGTATGTTTTAGGTCCTTTGAGTGTAGGTCTACTCAGTATGTTTTAGGTCCTTTGAGTGTAGGTCTACTTAGTATGTTTTAGGTCCTTTGAGTGTAGGTCTACGCAGTATGTTTTAGGTCCTTTGAGTGTAGGTCTACGCAGTATGTTTTAGGTCCTTTGAGTGTAGGTCTACTTAGTATGTTTTAGGTCCTTGGAGTGTAGGTCTACTTAGTATGTCCTTTGAGTGTAGGTAGGTACTTACGAGTGTAGGTCTACTCAGTACTTTGAGTATGTAGGTTACTTAGTATGTTTTAGGTCCTTTACTAAGTATGTGTAGGTCTACTTAGTATGTTTTAGGTCCTTTGAGTGTAGGTCTACGCAGTATGTTTTAGGTCCTTTGAGTGTAGGTCTATGCAGTATGTTTTAGGTCCTTTAAGTGTGGGTCTACTAAGTATGTTTTAGAAGTTACAACGTTCTTACCGTATCCAAAGAGAAGCTGTGTGGCCAGAATATGTACACAAAAGGAACACTAAGTCTGCCTTCTGGTAGGAAATGCCAATACATTCCTAAAACGGCCATCAGAGCTCCAGACTGAAAATTAAGATTTATATCTATATATATTTATATATATTTCCATATATAAAAAAGAATTTTTAATTTCACATGCCTTCAACAAATTAAAAATTCTTAATATTTACTATATCTGGGTGCTCTGAAAACTTATTTGAAATATATTTTACATGTATAAATATTAACTGTACATAACATTAACTGTCATTCCATGTTAAGGATTCTAAACATGTTTGAATAAAAAGTAATTAAGTTAAAAACAAAAAAATGGGTTTTCATTTATAAACAGTAAATTTGAACTACTTCCCAAGGAGAACAATAAGACTATATAAAAATCATAATTTAGGTAAAGCACCAGATCTAGATAAAGACTTTTGAAATTCACCTTTGGCCATGAAAGGTTACCATCAAATTGTCAAATTTTAACTCCAACGGATATTAATCAAATTTTGTTCAAAAAATGTTTTTTCTCTCTATAAACATGAGTAAACTGTATCCCTTCCCAGGGGGAAATTTAAAACCTTGAGGACATAAAATGTACAATTGCAGTAAGCACTTTAAGAGGTTTCCATATATAAAAAAGCCCTTAATTCTACTATATCTGGGTGCTGAGAAGAGGATTTTTGAAATTTCAAAACAATGGACAAAAGGCAAATTTTAACTGAAACACACATGTAGGTAAACACAATAGGTCACAATGAGACTTTGTTATAGGTGGCTTTAAGTGTGTGATGAGTCTCAGCAAACAGAAACTAGCTTATCTTTTATCACATGAATGATTACATAGAAAATACAAGTTTCATAAAGACTCATACGAAATGAAAACTAATTAATGAAAATTAAAGTAAAAATGTGGAGAACATCAAACAGAATCATCCATTCTGTTGCACCATTTTAGTTTCATAAGGTAACAACATTGTCCATATTATGACATCACAAAATGTCCCGTGTATACAGTATCAGTGAAACTGATGAATGCTCATCGAAAACAACTTTATTTACCACAAAATTTCATTAAAGGGCAATAAATCTGTAATAAAGGAGTTGTGGTCCCTGAATTCAGCATGACCAATGTATGACCAATGTATGCATCAAATTTCATGATCCTAGTTTTAATGTAAACAAAGTTATTCTCATGACACAAAATTTCAACAAAGGGCAATAACTCTGTACTGAGGGGTTATGGGCCCTGACTTTGCTACCCTGCACCTTGTTTTTGTATGACTGATGTATACATCACCTTTCAATATTATTAACAAAGGGACAAAAATTCTATAATTGTGAGAATGAGGGCTCTAAATTTGATACACTATACCTTAGTATGATCTATGTATACACCAAGTTTCATGATCCTTGCTTATCTGCAGGCAAACATATGCCCCAGACATGAACGAATAAAGAAACAGAGAAACAAACAAAGTGGCGACTATATGCTTCCCCTGAAAAAATTTTGGGAGAGCAAAAAAATATTACCTGGGCAAATTCACTAGATAATAGGCGGATTATGGGATAAATGGGTAATTTCTCTGAATAAGAAAGTCATCATGAGGTAAGGTTATAAATACTTACAGCACCAAGAGAACCTGCAGGAAATGCTCTAGTTATCATGTTTACTTGACTCATCAGACTAGAAACCACAGCTACAAAAATAATAATATCGGTATGAATATCAAGAGACCAATGGGCTTTGACTTCACTATCTAAAGACACAAGTGTTACAGCAGTAGTGGTAGCAGGAACGACTATGAAACCATTAGCACTGTACTAATTTTATTTAAGGGATGTATGTTGAATTCATTTTTGATAACAAGTCATCATTCGAGGATGTTCTGTACAAGTTGTCAAATTTCTGGTTTTTTTTTTCTTTTTTAGTAAACTCTTTCAAACAACTTCTAAAACTGTTGTCGGCATCAAAATATCTTCACTTTGGGTCACTTTGTATCGGCAAAATGGTGTACGTCCACCCTCCTAATATCATAAAATTAGAATGTCTAAATATAGCACATTGGGGAATCCCAATCTTCATCACTGACTTGATCGCAGATTTGACAGAAGCAGTATTTTACACTAAAATGTATGACCTTCCCTCTGTCAACTGTCCATGAAGGTAGTTTCAATGTTTATGGTTTCAGTGGGATTTTATAGAAAAGTATCAAATTCTAGTCAATTGTATACTGTTTGTTAGAAGAATTGTTTTGGCAAGGATGACATTTCTGATTGTTAAGGATAAGATTTCTAGAATTTAAAATATTTTGCCCTTTGGATGGCCCTCCCCTGACTCACTGAAGTGCTTTCCCTAAGGATGCTTACAACCAAATATGATAAAAATAGCGTTGCTGGTTTTGCAATGTTTTCCTATGTAATCTGTAGTAAAATTTCACCAAATCTTTGCTTCATGTAACAACCAATGATTAATCAGGGTACCTGATAGCTAAATTGGACATGCCTGATTCATCCAGTTTTCCATTCTCTAAAAGATCACAGCGATAACTAACACTCAAACAATGCCACCAATGTTAATGTAACAAACATTCTGATTTGCAAAAGTAATATATTATGAAACAGTATGTATGAAGGTGGTGAAACCTTACCAGCACTAAGGTATACAGCCATGAACTGCTCGCGTCCAAGTTTGGAGGCGATATCCTTGAAAGACCAGAATACATACATGTTCATGAAAATATGAACAAAGTTCACGTGACTGAAGGAAGAGCACAGCATCGATAAACGAGGGTTATCTGTGGATGAAAAACAACATCTTCAATATAACATTACATCACTTTAAATATCAGCAAGATAAAATGGCAAAATATCAAAGTCTTTCAAAACAAAAGTAATAAATATCATATTGTCATTGAAGCTGTTTTCTTCACAATGTTAAATCACACTATTCTCCCTTGGATCTCACAGTAACCAGGAGCTTAGAAAATCATATACCGGTCATCATTGTTATTCTGATATGCATGAGAAAAAAACATAAATAAAACAAAGGTACAAATGTCAATGTGCAAATTGCCGCAACTCGGGTTCGAAAATAAGGAACCTCAACTAAGAGGCCACCTCTCTATAAAGGCCACTTTCATAATTTCCAAACAGTGACCGTTTAATATAGGTTAGACTGTATTTACATTTTTTTTACAAACAATTACATCTAATTTTGTTTAGATCAAGACCCAAGTCTGATATTCAGTGTCAGCCATGGTACGTGATTAGTCTTATGTTGACCAATATCAAATGCAGAAGGAACATTGCAAGTCAGTGTGTTTTTGTTGCTATAAAAAATTAGACCATATGGTGAAAAAAATACAGCCATATGCAAAACCTAGTGGTGGAACACTGCATCATTTTCATCAAAAGGTATAATATATATATATATATGTCTTACTCCCTTATTAGTCATGGTGTATATGGTGACCTGTTAGAAACATGGAGTGGTCAACAGTGACCTTTGACCATTTAATGACTGCAACTTTTAGATATAAAAGTTATGTCATTATGCAGTGATCTTGATAACAAGAGCGCCGTGGACACAATATACACCACCACAAAATATCAAGAGCGCCGTGGACACAATATACACCACCACAAAATATAAAGATAAAAAAGAAACGTGAAATCGCCACTTCCAGCACATCCACCCATTGTAGTAGTGACAATGAGCAAGTTTCGTGAAAATCTGATCATTAGTTTAGGAGGAGTTACATTCACAAGGCTCCACTATGAGCAAGCTACAGACACAAAGCTGAAAATTACATAACTCTTACAAAAATCAATGAACTGTAAAATCGCCCCTTCATGCAGTGTATAAAAACTAAATCTAACAAGGTTTTTCATGAGCGGTATCATTTGAAAAATGACCCTTCAACCCTAACTGCTGACAAACAAAATTTAATTGAAACTTGATAGTCAATTCAGTCGTTTTGATATGAACCTCTCCATTGATGGGTCCATGTCATATCATGTACTTAATCTTTCAATTAAAAACAGACACAAATGAATTATTATCACTCCATGAGAGCATAATTGTTTAAGTTTGTGGGGTGACTACTTTGCAGTTGTCCTGGTTTTAGCCAGGTCACAGGGATAAGCTGGTCATTTTATTTAATTTTCAATGACCATGAATATATCAAAATTAAAATCCTCCACGATGATCATTAACAATACAGAATTAAATTTAAATAAAATAAATTCTTACCAGCTGATAACAGGAAGTACCTCTGCAATGTTGATGCAAAGACTGGTACCCGCCACAACAGATATACAGCAAAGTTAGCAGCAATGATGCCGGCTACGACTTTGGGACCAGGTGGTATTTGATTCCATATATGTTCCATCTACACAACAACAAATCATTCTAAATGTTCTGGTTGGATAATAATTCAACATTTGTACCAAATCCTTAACACTGAGTTCATACATTAACAAGGACCGCCAGGGACAAGTTAAGCTCACTGATTGGGACAAAATTTAAATATGAAAAATAACAAAGGGTAATAAAAGAGTTATGATTCTTGTGCAAGCCCTCCTACTCATTGAAACCTATCTACCTAGGAGGTCTCATGTTAATACCCTTTATACTTTTAGTATCATGCTCCAGACAAAATATAACTATGGAAAATAACAAAGGGCATTAGTTCCTAAATTATGCAAAAGAGAGTGATGGTTCTTCCGCACTGCACTTCTCCTTGCTGTGATCTATCTACCTATAAAGTTGTATGTTGTCACCTTTTATAGTTTTTACCCCACAGCCCGAAAGGGTTGTTTTTTGTCGTCGCTCAATATCCAATATATAGTTATGGCCACCATCTTGAATTTGCATTCCACTCATTATCTCAAGAACAACATCACCTGCCATCACCAATTTCACTGGGCATGTGGGGTCTATGGACCTACACAACCCTATTGTTTTTCGTCGTTGCCCGATATCCAATATGGCGGTTACGGCCGCCATCTTGAATTTGCATTCCGCTCATTATCTCAAGAATGTCGGATGAGAACAAGAATTGAAACTTCCGTAGGTCCGTAGGCCCAACATCTCTAATGAAAATGGAGATTCGCAGTGATGTTGTGACATAGTGAGCGGAATGCAAATGCCAACAAAAATCTACAGGCTTATTTACGTCCATAGAGCCAAAATGCTCAGTGAAAATGGTGATCTCTGGGGATCTCATTCTTGAGATAACTTTCCACTCACCCCAACCACACATTTCCAACTTTATAATAAGGCTTTGGGGTATTGCCCGCGTTTGCGGAGCTATTTTTGTGTTATGCTCTAGACAAAACTACGACAGACTGATGGACTGATGGACAAATAGGCAATTATATACTCTCCCTTCAAGAGCAATAACAAATACATTCAAAATATGTCAAAATTTACATATCTCCTCATATTTGATCTGTAGAGATAAAAATCATCTTCATATGTATTCCATATGTGTTTGTCTATATACACGTATATTGATTTACTTATGTATTCCATATGTGTTTGTCTATATACACGTATATTGATTTACTTATGTATTCCATATGTGTTTGTCTATATACATGTATATTGATTTACTTATGTATTCCATATGTGTTTGTCTATATACATGTATATTGATTTACTTACATCTTGTCTGAAGCCAACCTTCTGTGTGGCACTAGCACGAAGGTGACGTTCAAACCTTTGAGTTTGACTCCTGGTATCTTCATAGTACCATATCATACAGCCAGTGAAACTGCATATACTAACCTACAAAGAGGACAATATTCCAATTCACTTAATTTTACCAATAAAATATTGAATTTTACTATCTTTCAGTCAGTGATGTTTTTGATTGTGTCAATTTGATTACACTAAAACAGATACTAAAGGAAGACCTATTATACGGGTATTTTGATGATTTCCTGATCAACAACCAAACAAAATTAAGAAAGGAACTTTTTGTTCACTCGATCCAAAACGTAAGAATTTTTTTTTAAACTGCAAATGCAAAGATAACCTTTTTAAAGACACTTACTCCAACTGCAAAAGCTAATGACTTCATTAAGGTTATCCCTGCCTCCCCAGTTCCTCCTCCTTTCGGTCCAGTCTTTTGTTGCCCTAACCCTCCCCTTGTTTCTCTATTTTTCCCGACTTTTTGAAAAGTTCTTTTTGGAGGCTGACATCTGTGTGTGTTTATCTGCAGCAGCTGTTTTGCTGGCAGACCTAGGCCTCTGTGTCTCACATGGATATGTGATGTATTCTGACTACTTCTACTAACAAAAGTTCTCATACATCTCAAACTGGATGGCGTGGCATGTTTATATGGTAAAGCCTGGCCATTGTATAGGATATGATGACAAACATTTTCACATTTCAGTTTCGATGAAAGCTGACGTAGAGATCCAGACTGTGTAGATATGCTGTGATAATTACAAAGTCCAACATTGTTGAGTGGTGTAACCCTGAAATTCAAGCATAGTAATTTTACATTTTTGTTAAAGTTAAAAACAAAAATCAAAAAAAGAAAAACAATAAAAAATGTAACGACCTTATCATTAAGTTTTTTCGTTGTCATAATTATGATTGTGGCGAGGATCGTGAGTAATGTATTCATGTTCGATCATCGCTTGACCTGTTATTTTATAATATATATCTCTGTTTGTAAGACCAAGTAGAGCAGAACAGCAGACATGAGCCAAAATGCCATTATGATTAAATGTTATACTGAAACTATTTGTTAAAAGTAATGTTACTTTCCGACAGCAAACAAGACTGCAATTTTCTGACTATAAAGATAACAACTTAATGTTGAAATTTATAGCGAGCACTTTATGGTATTGTGTGTGTGTGTGTGTGTGATAATTCAACTCCAACAACCTGCCCATACGATCAACTTTAAACGGAAGTATGGCAGGAACTTCATTACCCACAATACACTTGCCGCAGCACGCAATGAGAACTGCCGACCCGTTGAATGGATTAAAAATTATTTTGACCGACAAAATATCATTTTAAGCTCTCATGTAGAAATGAAATCATACTAAAAGTCTTAAATAATTCAGATGAATTTAACAAACATATACTTTAACGGTTTGAAACGAATATAACAAATATCTCGTTGAAAAATTGCAATTTTAACCATTCAAAATTTGAGCTCGATTGTGCTCTGATGTACCTGATTTCCAGTTTAATGTTCGGGACCTTTCGTCACTTTCCGTGAACGAGACGATGTGTTTCTCGTTCACGGAAAGTGACGTAAGGTCCAGATTTGACGAAAAACTCGCCCATCTCCTAACTATATTAATTCTGCAAGATGAGGATATTCTTTCGATAACTAATTATGATCATGTATTTGAATGTTTAGAAAATTTCCAGCAAACACTTATAAAGCACAATGATAAAATAACTATTAGTGGTGATTTTTTTTTTTTTTTGTGTGTGTGTGTGGGGTGGGGGTGTCCAGAATAATGCAGTTTATGTAATATATTGTGGCTTTCAATAACAGAATAGTCTCAACAGGGTTTATAACTTTACCCTCTATTTGCTACCAGGACAAGTTAAAATTGCTTCAAAAAACGAAGGTTCTGAAGCATTTTATGATTTGTTAATGAACAAAACGTAAACTCTAAATAGCAAAGAGAAAAGAAAACTGTGGGAGAGAACATTGTGATTTTAATAATGAAAACTTGTTAAACATAGCACCACCTTTACAAATCCGACTAAAACTATAATATATTGTCTTTCACCATATTTTGACAAAATCCTTTCTTTTTTAAAGCAAAGATGATAAAAAGTCCTCTCTCCAATATCTGTAACTCTAAAAGGGAAACTCTTATGCATTTATTTTGAAGATCTTTTTTATCAATTGTTATAGTCTAGATATGTTGTCAGTGACTTTTTTAATACATTTATTGTTACCACTGAAACTGATGACCATCATCAAAATTTCAGTTTTTCTGGGCCAATACTCTGACAAGGTAATTGCTCAAAACTGTTTACACTTAATAAGCTAGTAGTCTCTTTTGCTATGGGGAAGATTGCCATTTAATACTTTTTTTCTGTTACCAGTTATCTTAAACCATTCAAGGTAATTACCCGATACTCAATACTTTGTACAGGCATCAAGTTAGTACTCTAGTAGAAGTTCTCCATTTCAATACTTTGTATGGAACAATTAGAAATAACAAATAGAAATTAACTTGTTGTAATATTAATATATATGTATATATATATATATATATGATTGTGTGTTTTTCTTTTAAACAGCTTCGCGAAGGGAAAGTGTCACATTTTGCGTTATCTTGTCGTCCTTGTTTTGTTCTTCTTTATCTGCCTTCATGGTGTATGATTGTATGTGCATGACTTACTTACATATGGAAACTTTGTTATTTCAACTTATAAAAATCACACTTGTTGTAAGCAAGAGAGGGGTCTAACTTTGGGAGGAAACCTTTATCCCTTCTATCCCTTCAGGGAATCGAACCCCGAATGGCTAGGTGATAGACAAGTGTGTTACAACTGTGCCACCAAACCACCACCTGATCATGGTGATACAATATTTTCTAGAAGAAGAAGATGTGTTGCTGCTGCTGCTGATGATGATGATATATTGGTACATATGTATGTGTCAATGTTTTGTTCAAATCTTGCGAAATATACAACAAATTATAAAAAAACCACGCTTCAGTGCAAACATGGATCAGGCTGTTCAAACTGTGCATCTTCTTGACCAACTTGCGCTCGTTTTTAGGCAGTGCCTACTTCATATTATCGGTTATGCTGGTATCAATATTGATTTTTTCACAACCCGTTCTGTTTCGAGGCACTGTTAGTGAATGGGTTGGACACAACCTGAATCACTTGTGGGATTCTTTAACAGTTTTGTTGTTCAATCTTTGTTTACCTGATGTTGACGCTGCGCTGAATTTTGACGGATGACGTACGCTAAAATAATTGCTCTGAGCAGAAGTAAAGTTTCAAACTTCAACGAATATGACAGCGATTTCGGACGTTGTGAGATAAGCTAATACATACTGAAATAGCAGGAATCATACATAAAAATGTCATGATTTCTTTTTATTTCAACAGCATAATAGCTATATTTCACAACGTCCGATTCCAGCGATTGTGATCAGGTAGTTACACAACTACTGACAGTTATCTCTTCACGTCTTGCATCTGACATGTGATTTTCTTGATGACGAGAAAAACCGATATCTGGAGCTTTCTTTCAAAGATAATACTTTTGGATATGACCATGGTGCATAGCCTTAACTTCAATATATTCATTATAACTTACCGACATAGTCTCGAAAGAGATGAAATCAGTCGCACGGGAGCCGCCATAGTTGGTTGATAAAAATCACACACAAAAACAAAAACACGAAACGCAATATTTATTCGATCCCAATATACTTGAAATTTGACAACATATGGACAAAAATGAAATATATTCTTAAATGTAAAGTACTTTTACATTCACAAAGAATTCATGAGAAAGAAACAATTAAATATCATAAAGGCATATACCTGGAAGAGCTTTCCGTATATAATATATGTCTGCAAAGGGACTTTAGGTAGCATTCTACTAATGCAAAATTTCAATGTTTACCTCTTTGATAAAATCTTTGGGAAGCAAAATTCGTACTATTTTCACGTAAATTAGGAAAATATATATACTGCTGGGGTGTACTCTGGTTTTCCACAATTTCTGAAAGTGTTTGAATTATAGCAAATGTGAACCTTAAGGTAATTTTTTAGGAAATCCTGTTGCACTCCATCCAAGGTACTTGCATGGAAATTGTTAAGGTGTTCTGAAACTTGGTAAAGGATTCTAAAATGTTTGACATTGTTGAACCCATTGACCCTGAAAATAGGTCAAGGTTATTATATGAAGAAACTTATATTCTAGCATTAAATTCTAGGCCAGCAAAAATGTCTGCCCCAAGGAGAGTGTTACCAACTCGCCTGATTTTTAATTGACCATGTATCATGGCCTGCTAAATTCGTGGAAAATGATAGAATCAGCTGATATTTTGTTTCTCTTTATCAGTATTAAAAAAAAACAAACCAATGTTGGATCTAATTAAATAAAAAAAATGTTAAAACATAAAACATGATTTAGCTACACACAGATGGGATAACTATAGAATTGATTGTATGGTCTTTTATTGTACTTGTTAACCCTTTAAAACACTGTCAACCTTCTGATTTCGAAAGGGCTATGATCAGATGTTGGATGACAAGATATTGACGACACCGGGAGAAGATTTGTTCAGTAATTAATACATCTAACTCCGAGAAATAAGTCGAGGTCATGTAGCATTAGATTCATCTTCAGATGAAACAGAATGGTTTTGGTTAGTCTTTATTTATATTTTCTTTGTAGGGATACATATTTGACCCCTTTGACCTTGAAAACTGGTCAAGGTAACCTAAAAGAGGAAACTTTATAGCACTCTATATATCTGTACCCAAAGCCCAAATATCAAGACTCTTGGTCTTCTAATTGAACTTCAAAAGTTTTTTAAACGTTTTTGACACTTGTGACCTGGAAAAAAGGTCAAGGTCCTACAAACATAAACAACCTACAGAATTTAACCCCAGGTGCATATACTAGACTGTTCTTTTGGAACAATGTAATATTTGGAACATATTCTCAGAGATTTTACATAAATGACGTTAAAATCGTTTGTATAAGGAAAATATAGCTCTTTTTCATAGACATAGTAAAACTTTAGGACCATGGATCATGTAAAATTTGAGAAGATTATTGAAATTGACCCCTACCTGTGACCTTGAATATAGCATTTACATTAGGAAAAACTTCTTTACTATTCCATCCCACATACTTCATGGCAAAATATCAGTACCAAGTTGTTTATTGTTGTTTAGAATTTTATAATGAAATGATGAATGGACTACACCATAAGTTCACTAGATATGTTTGTATGTATAACTTGAAAGTATGGACAGTGTAAATGATGTCAGTGGAGATTATGAGCCCTCTATTGTGAGAAGACAAATTTTGTAATGTTTCTTGGCCAAAAGATTCTTTAAGCTCACATGAACATCATGCCATGTGAGGTAAAATTACGTTTTTTTTTAGATGTTCATCAGGTGGTTGGTCTTTCATTCATTTTTGCCTGTGGCATTTCTGTCCTTTTGTTATGTAAACTCGATTATGTGTCTGCCGTAACAGAATTATATCAAAGAGCTCAGTAAAACATTTGTCAAGGTGCAGGCAAAGAAACTTGCAAGCAGTAAACTTTGCATTTCTGTTTCCATGGTAACAGAGAGCTCAAATATGACATTTAGCAGATAACAAAATGGCCAAGAGCAACAACTAGCTTGGACACTGGACTGGTTTGGGAACGAGTCTTATATAGGTCTGCCGTGTTGTTGTCATATATATACCCATTGAAAATTTGACTGGATGTTCATATGTATACAACATCTGTCTGGAGATCTCCTCTCATAGTATTCAACCTATCTTTTTTAAAATCATTGCTGGCATAATCTTCTGATTCGTTGTGTTTGGAGAGTTACTGCCCTTTGATTTTGCATGCCGTTAATCTAGTCCTTGGGTCTTCAAAGCCGTCTCAGTTTTTAACCAGCAGTGGTCAAACTTCGCAGGTTTTATCACTATGACATCAATCTGTTGTTTACTGAATGGCAGTTTGATTGAACATTTTTTTGGAGCAGTTGTTTTGCACATTTTTAAAAATTTTAATTATTGTAACAGGGGACTAAACACTGTCGAATGAAATATCGAAATCTCCCACTATAAAGCATACCTGTCCAGAGTAACTGAATGATGTCTGTCAAATGCTTAACATACTGGAGATTCAAGTGAATGCATAATAGCATTTTCACGAAGTGGAGCACGAGAAAAAAAACACAAACTGTTGTGAAACCTTTTATTTTTCTTTTCTCTTTGTTGACATTTGTTTTCTGTTCACATTCACACATCGTCATCAACAAACAGAAGACTAACACAACATCTCACTCATGAACTCATTCTACATGATATCCTGGTAAAAGCGCAACAATTTCTCAGTAAATGTTGTAAGTAAACATTACCGCATTAACACAAGCCAATGACTGACCTGACAAGTAAATCTTTATATTTGTTTACCAAAACAAATTCCCATCAGTATTAACACAAGCCAATGACTGACCTGACAAGTAAATCTTTATATTTGTTTACTAAAACAAATTCTTTTCAGTATTAACACAAGTCAATAACTGACCTGACAAGTAAATCTTTATATTTGTTTACCAAAACAAATTCCCATCAGTATTCAGTCAAGTCTTCTTTGCAACTATCGTGTATCATTTTCTAGAAATTTCACTCAAAAAAGAAAAGTGGCATAAATTGAAGAACCAGGTACTTTAAAACAACACTGATTCACAGGTTTATAAAGCCTTGCAATCAACATTTACCTAAACAAATATTTTCATAACTGCAAAAGTTAGGAATTCCCCATTTTATTAACCATTATATTTGAAGAAACTTTTGATGTTGTAAGTATAAAATTTTGATGAGATTGCTTACAGACAAATTTGAAAACAAAACTGATTCTACTTCTGCAAATGGCATTTATATATCAAGGTAAATTTTCAAATAGTTTCGGGTAGTTTCAGTGATATCTTGTCACATCACCGCCAGAGACCAATTCATCTGTATTACTGATACCTCAACACTGAAAGATCAAACTGTAGTACCGTTACACAAAATTTAAATCAATGTACTAGCATCATACAAATAAAATACTAAAGATATTACAATTACTAGCTACGACCCAGGTTATCAAATACATACCAGTATATATATCTATATATAGAAAATCCTTCCATTCATTTGTAACGCATACCAAACAAATTAGCAGAAGTGGCAGTAAAGCGATTGGTATACTACACCTTCGGTTTGAAAAATAAAAACAAACGAAAAAAAAAACAAAACAAAAAAAAAAAAAAAAAAAAGAAAAGAAAAGAAAAAAATAAACAAAGAAATTGATATTTTATGCAACAACAATAATATTGTATTACCCCAGTAACTGAAACAAAATATCACAATCCATTTCACACAGCATTGCTATACATGGCAATACCGTTGTTTGCGAGGACTTTTGCCCTCATATCATCTCTCACTTCTTTATTTGTAGCAGATTCTGCATTTCTCCATTGTATTAAGTTTAATCACATGAATTAACACATTTAAATAATTATACATTTTCATGAGAAATGAAGACCTTGAATGAAACATCACCATCCAAAAATACACACAAAATTACTAGATCTGCAGGACAATTTTCAACACTTAACAGCAAGAAGGTTATCATCAAATGGCCAACACAAGCTGTAATAACTGGACTTTTCTGTACTCTAAACCAACATTCAAACTTACATGGAAGTCAGAAACTTTAACGACCTATATTTCAAATATTTTGAGCCATTGCCTATGAACTATAAAAATTCACAAAAAATCCATACCCTTTTCATCTTTCAATTTTTTTTTCTTTTTCACAAAGATTTCTATAGCTTTATTGTAAACCATAGGTTAATATATTTCAGAATGAACAGACAACACATTCTTATTACTTTCACAATTCCCTTGTGATATTGTGTATGCATGATGAAACTCTGGATAAATGTGAAAATCTACTGGGCTAACAGTAAAATATATCCATTCTAAGCACAGAAAAGTACACTGATTAGATGAAGAATGAAAGCCAAATCAAGATTTTACGACCAAAAAAATGAAAAAAAAAAAATAAAAAATAAAGAATCAATATCAGTTCACGATTTTAAATGATAATAACTTTATTCAAAAATTGAAAGATAAAATAATCTATAAAAACACTGATACTATACCAATGTGTTCTATTATAGATAAAATTTTACTGAATTCCTAGCTTTAACTGATTTTTAAGTGAAGTGATGACAACAGTATTAAGGACGTTTCTTACCAATGTATCATTGTCTGCCAGACTCAATAGTTCTCCTGGCGTTAAACCAGTCTGGCACATGCAGGAAGATATTTGTAAATTGCAAATGAAACATTTATTGTGTTCTTCCATATGTTACCAATAACAGCATTTTGAAAAAAATCTATATTCTCACTGAATTTCTTCAAAATATGTCCACACAGTGCCCCTTTAATGTAAGTTATATGAAAACTTGGTTTAAATTTTTGACGAGTTTGATGTTAAATTTTTTAGTGTCCTACGAAAACATGTATACAATTATGTACAAACTTTACGCAATGTCGTCCCTTGGACAGACTTAGTTATCAACATATGAATGAAATTTGCCTGTAGCGAATTGATTCAACAAAAGATTGACCAGTTGAAATAAAAATGCTATAGAATACATATATTCAGATGTCACTAAAACACCTCACTGTCGCTCATACCAAAACATTTATCCCTTTAACATACACAAAGAAATTCTGGGGGTACTTTAACAGATGAAATTCCTTTTCTAAAACTATTAAAGTAAATAACACAAATTTATACATAACTATACATGTCACAATACATGTTCAACATATAATGCAGAAAATGATCACAAAACTTATAATAAAGCCTTTTTATGTCAATGTCAGGGTGGGTGTGACCATGGACTACACGGTCAGACAAGTGGGTGGGGTGTTTACAGGTAACTGTTTTTTGTGTTTTGCACAGATTCATCACACACATCAATCTCCAGATCTTTTAATATAAGAATCAACATCACAGACCATGAAACTTCAAGGTCATATATTCTTCAATTAAAAGTCGCACTAAAAATACCCATGTTGTCAACTTCATTGTCACATACAATATACAGGACAAAAGAAGTTTTTCGAGCCTCAGATAAGGTGATGACTTACATCAGTTCAACATAATATCTTTCTTCCTTGCAAATCAATTTTGTAATTTAAAAAAAGGGATTCAACACATCATTTGTAAAGAATAGTGTTCTTTCTCCTAAATCACAATCGTAAAACTGTTTGAAGGGAACTGTCTCGTGCCCTTGAACTAAAGACTTGTCTATATTTATGCTGATGCAATCGTCAAAGGAGCATATTGAGAGTTCACATCCTAAATACACTTCCTTATAAGGATAAAAAATATCTGGAAATATAAATTAAATCCATCGAGCTCGTTTATAAATCCTATTCTGTAAAATGTACACATTATGGATACACCAGTTCATTAATGTATTCCATTTAACAACTTATGATAGTCAAATATTACAATGCACCAAATATGTACCTTTTAACAGCATCAGATTTATCAGCACACACAAGGTATTATATCAACTGAGTTTGTCACCTGTTGCACCATCAGAATCAATAATCAAGTATCCAGTCCGCTACAAGATCGTCAAAGGAATCGGTATATAGATATCTTGTCTCAATAACCAAGAAATTATCCACATCAATCCAGATACCATGCCTTTTGAAACAGTGTATTAAGTAATATATATATCCAGGGTCTTTTTTCCTGTTTTGATAAAATTCCTGGCTTTGTCTGGAATTACACTACACTGTGTGTCCTGTAGCACTGTCTTCCAGAAAAGTTATCTTAATGACTTGACTGTTGTAGGATTGATATGACCAAAAATAAATCTTGTCTCCTGTAGATCCTGTTGTGTGAAGAATGGTCGGGATGACATCTCATCCCCGTGGGACTCTCTCAGGTTCTTCCCATGAACTCCTGTTTAGGACGGTAGTGACCAATACACATTCTGCATCCTGGAGATTCCTTACAAAGTAAAGCTGATATACAAATATCCTGCCTCTTGTAAATAATGTTTGAAAAAAAAATATTATGTAACCTTCAGGATTTGATAAGGACCAGTATCCCTTTTCCATCAGAATGTGTCAGAACTAATGTGCATCAAATCTTCCGGACTGTAATGACGTGTAGGTATGCTATTAAATTGCCTTCTCCAAGTCTATTTCTCTGAAAGACGATGTTAGGATAGATGGAAGGATAACTGGCCTTCCTTTGTGGCCAGATAGAGTTTCTCACGCATGATCTCAACAGAGGAATAGTCAGGTAATTTAAGATAGTTCACACATGTCATCACAGAGGGCAAGAAATTGTCAGCATTTTCCGAGGCTTCAAATGTCTTTCTTACTACAGTGAGAGGTGGATTTAAACTCCGGAATCCTGCAACATAAAATGTGCAAGGGTGAAGTGAGAGCAAAATAACACACTTCCATAAAACAAATTCACACCATCTAGGGTGTAAGTGAGCTTGAGCTTTTCCGTTCCATGACATTTTCACAACAACAGAAAGGACCAGGATACTGACATTGGGTTCGATGCATGCTGGGATGAAGGCAAAGTTTGTTCAGAGGAATTACACTGACCTTACCACCTAACATTATTTGAATTTTATTTGTTCTTTAAAAACTTATTTTTTTCCCTATTCTATTCTTTCCTTTGTTGTTGTTCTTAATTAAATGAAAATTCTGTAGAAGAAATTGCAATAAAAAATCTATATATGTCAATACCAAGATGGTCATCTGTTTGTTTTTCAGATCAGTCTCAAAATCAAAAGGGCACAACAACTAAGGACCAAAGGGAACCTACATATGAAATTAGAGAAAGACCCATCCAGTAAAAAATAGTGATAACAAGAATTGTTTACAGATGGAAGACAGAAGGTGATTATTATAGTAATTTATTAATTATGGTGGGGAGCTGACCTCCGATGACTTACTCTTAATCAAATTAATGCATGTGTCCACAAACTGTTAAAATGAGAACAAGTAGATTTATTGAGCTTTATTTATCCATTAAATCAAGTGGCAATCCAATTCCAATGTTTTTTTAAAACTACAAAAATTGAGCCAAATGAATATCATTAGCAAAATTGATATTATTTCATGGCGGTACTTAAGAACGCAGAAAATAGAAGCTAAGGATGTAAATAAATAATGTTATGCTGGGATCATTCCTTCATAATCACATATCATTACACCAGAGAGACTAGAATTTCAGCTGTATAATGGAACTGCAAAGGTCATACAGCAGGAAATATACTAGTGATATAGACAACCACTCACCTCCTACAGGAAGGCGTGGCGATCCAGTCACAAACTGGAGGAACTTCCTCTGTTCTGTTCCATCATATGAACTAAGCACCTCGAACAGGAACTTGACCGCCCGACTGTCGTGGGTGTATCCATGATCGGAACGGCAGCTCTCCATCAACATCTTTACATCCCATGTGTCTGTGGCATTCCCACAGAATAGTTGCTCCAGCTGAGGGATGTGAAAGATATGAACTAAGCATTGACAAGAATGTAAAATTGTATGTATATATATTTTTGCTGTAATCTACAGCAATTTAGATATAGGACAGAAACATGAATGCCTCTGGTTCATTATAAAACTAAATGATAATATCTATGAATAGTATCAATGATATTGATATTGGAACCCTAGAACACAAAATTATCATCTAATTCATTTTCATTTTTGACATTGAATCAACTTCATAATCCCGGAGGATGTGAAATTGATAAGTTATGACTGACTTCAGGGTTTTTCGGGCTGATAAACCGTTAAGTGAAATTATTTCATGTTGCAATTTGCTCCTTAAGAGATCTTCCCAATTCACCCATTTTCTTCTGAAAGCGATGCTAAAATGCCCCATCAATAAAAAAAACATGATGAACACCATTTGCTTAACCCACTCCACTCCCTCCCCAAAAGAACAACAAGAGATCCCAAAGGAATCTTGGCGCCCATCATTGTTTGATCTTAACTTGTTCTGTGAAAGTAGAATCTTTTCTCTTCTTTTCTCTCCTCTTTCTCTTTTTTTCTTAATGATAAGACATTTAAACATTCCTTTGCAAAATTTCAGAAAGATCCATCCAGTACTTCTCAAAAAATAGCGATGACAAAAATTGTTGACTGACAGACGGATGGATGACGGACAGACAACAGACGTAGGGCAATTTGAATAGCCACCACCATAATGTAGAATTAAAGACAAAAAAAATTAAGATATCTCAATCAAAGAAATTGAACTTAGGTGAGAGGATCCAGCAACAGGCTGCCAAACCTGTATACGATATTAGGTCTATCAACAGTATGGTGATATTTTCAATGTCTGCAGAGTAAGCATGGAAACAACATACATAAAAGAATTTCAAATATATGTACCTCTTCTGGATAGAAACTCTGTAGTGTGCTTAGTGGAAAGATGGACTCAAATCCCTCTCTGAAGGCTTCAAATTGTCTGGAAACACTCTCCACCAAACTCCAATGTACCACTAACTGTAAAAAATAAAATCCTTAAACATTAATACAAGGTTTGTTTCTGATACACATTTTCATATGATCAGACAATTATTTATAATCATCACTGATTTGTCAAAGACAACGATGAGAAAAGATAATCTAGAAAATTACATTAGGACATGAATGCCACTCCCCACCCTCTTCCCACTGAAGTTTACATTTATCCTCAAATGATCAGGTGTAACAGTTGCTGTTATGATACTGTACCGTGAACATGAAGCAAATCTGTAGAGAAACTCTGAGGATATGATATTATTTAGAACAAGATGTGGAGTGATGTGACAGGAGGACACATCACTAATATTCCCAGTCTTGCTGAATAGTAGCCATTGTAAGGTTTAACCAATTTGACCCTTTTGACCTTGAATATGGGTAAAGGTAATTTCTTTCTGCAAACTTTGATAGGATTATTCTTAGCAATCTGTCAGCCAAATGATTGTTGATTCTAGGTCTTTTGGTTCATAAGAGGAAGTTGTCTGAAATTTTTAACAAATTTGAACCTTGTGATCTTGAATATATAGCTTGAGGTCATCTCTTTACAGTCAATTATGTGGGCATTTTTTTTATTGAGAAAATAACAAATTTGAAACTTTTAACATTCCTATTTGCAAACTTTTTCATGCTTCAACTCTGGAACATTCCAGCCAAATATTATAATTCTTGGCATTCTGTTGATTAAGTTGAAGTTGTTTACAAGGAAAAGATGATGCTGGATGAAGCTAACTTGGCCCTTTGGCTATATGGCTAAGTGAACTAGTAAATCAGCTTTGTGATAACTGAGATGTATCACTTCAACAAGTATCAAACATCACTGCAACAGACCTGTAAATATTCCTCAAGATTATCCAGGGTTACAGGAATGTCCTTGCCACCCTTTTTCAATTCGATATGGGCAGCCCCTGGAAGAGTAAGGTCGAGGGCCAGATCCTCTATACTACATCCTTCCATTGTTACGTTGTCTAGAGCAAGCTGTTGGCTTTCCTTTGTCTGCAAAATAAAGGAATTTGTCATGAAAACACAGCAAAACTTTTTTTCTTTATCTTTTCTCTCATTTTCTGGGAATTTTTTTTTCGAAAATAATTTGTGATTCGTTCATGAAAAGATGAGCAAATGACAATATCAATCCATTCAACAAATGAACAAACAAAATTCAAAGACAGAAATATTCTTTCCGTTGAAGGTAATCAAGACATTAAGCTCTATTTACATGGGATTTGTCGGCCAGGATGCGTTGTTTTTGACGGACAACATCTTCTAGTTGTCTGAAAGACTTGGCAACCACAGGATCAACATGCTGGAGGTCGCTTGAAGTGAGGCTGTGCTCTTGTCCCAGCATCCATTTGTAGAAAACCAAACTCAATGGCAGATCAAGCTAAAGGGATAAATATATAAAGATTACATCAGAACCAATTGATGAAATTGATGAAATACCAAAATTTAAATGCAACTCATTTGTCATTTAACATATTTACAAATCAGTTTGGTTAGAGAAGTCTGTCCCAATTCCAAAGTAATTAATATCAACAGAAAACTAAGGCCTTGTAATCATTTACAAACAAGTGGATTTTATACAAATCAATCACAAAAATTTGCAGAAGACAATTTCATCATGTTGCATTTATTAAACAATCCAAACACCAGTATACTTTTAGTTTAATTGTTGACATCATGTTATTATTGCAATAATGTAATATGTTTTTCCTATCTCTACTCTCAGTTGAGACAAGGTGTGGAAACACTTGTCCAAAGAAGAGAATTATTTCAGATACACTGCAGACAGAGCTATTAGACTTTTTTAGCAGAGTAAAATCCCACTTTGTTGAACTTGCATTGAATATTTGTAAAACTGATTATTGAATGGTCTCAACCAATGCCTTTGATCTTTTACCTTGAATCATTATTTCTCAAATACATTCCATTCATTGAACTGTTATTTGTCATTCCCATCCTTTAATCAAATAGGCGTTACATTCAGTAGACACTATCCTATTAAGTAATATTAATTGACATAATCAGGTGATACATTCAGTAGACACTATCCTATTAAGTGATATTAATTGACATAATCCCTAAGAGTTTGAGGTGGCAATGATTTATTGTAATACTAAACAATATCAATCCTAGACAAACTCTGGTGTAATTACTAGTAGAAATATTCCATGTCTAATTGCCTTAATAGAATGAGATCTTACCATTCTTGAGTCCATCATAGCTTTAGCCATGAACTTGCCGAGGAGCTTGAATTTGTTTTTCAGTTTAGTAACCACTGCAGCTTTTGCATTCCGAGCGAGAGGCAGAGGGAAAAGTCCACAGTTAGCATGATAGTATTCCTCACCTGTTTCTTTTCCTGAAAATGCAACACAAACTTTCATTATGAAGGTACAAAATATTGATACAGGATAATATTGCTGCATGGTTTTTTCTACTGACGAACAAATTGTGAGAGTGTTTTCCCCAACAATTGACATACAGAACTGAATTAAATGTACGCATTAAAAATTTCACCTTAATAACTTACAATGCAGAAAAGATTTGAATCCTACCTTCACTGTCCACATCCTTGACCACGTCGCCCCTCCACATCTCATATTCTCCCTTCTGTAATTCTTTAGATACAAGGGCATAAAATTCCAGTGTTGGACCCAAGCCGGTACCCACCTACAAAGAAAAAAATAGATACAAGAATAAGTATAGGATCATCTGATCATTAAGTAAACATGTTTCATCTACTATATTTTTTGTTATAATATCATTGATATTTTCCCCCCTAAAACACCATGAGAAATTAAATTTAACAAAATCATCACATCTACCTCTAAGTATGAGATTTAGTCGCTAAAACACATGATTGATCCAAGTTTGGATGGTCTAACACTTGTACTTTGTTGGTCTAGCACTTGTACTTTGTTGGTCTAGCACTTGTACTTTGATGGTCTAGCACTTGTACTTTGATGGTCTAGCACTTGTACTTTGATGGTCTAGCACTTGTACTTTGATGGTCTAGCACTTGTACTTTGTTGGTCTAGCACTTGTACTTTGATGGTCTAGCACTTGTACTTTGTTGGTCTAGCACTTGTACTTTGATGATCTAGCACTTGTACTTTGTCCGTAATAGTAGCATAAAACTTAAACATTGTGGAATTAATCCACAAAGTTAAAAACTTTTCGTAAATTGTACATGAAATTTGGAATCTGAAATGTGTTTGGGAATGACTATGTTTAGACCTACTTATTTCCTAGGTTATGGAAGCATTTGTTTTTAAGTAAACAACTCGAGCTAAATACAAAACTTGAACATTGATTTGACAATTAACAAAGTCCAACTAACCTCAAGTATAGGCTAAAATCATAATTGAAACTATATATATTGAACTATAAAGAAGAATCAGTGGTATCAGCTTTAATTTGTGATTATTGAAAAATTCTGAGTCAAAAAAACTAATGTATATGTCTCATTTAGTGATTCTGTTGTAGGCAACATAGTACAACAAAGAGAGAACTTTCCTTTTAACTCTTTCCTTTCTCAAGAATAGTACACTGTCAGAACCAATTTTACTGACAAGTCCAGTCACATACCTCATTTTCATACTGTATTTCCAGTAGAGCTCTGGAGTTTCCAAGGTCTTCCATGACCTTGTCAGCTTGCTTCAGTAGATCAGCTCGAGTCACTAGCCGCTGCAGAATATTAAGTTTTGGATTTACACATGAAACTAATGACAGTATTATCTGGACATATAAGATAATAAGTACCTCGGATGGATAGTAACCTTTTAACAAACACACAAATCTTAAGCTAACAAATATAATGAACAGCTACAAAATCTGAAGATTTTCTTTTATAATTTTGACCTTAATTGAAGATGATACACAAACTTGAAGATTATACTACCATAAGGCCTATAGCCATAGAAAATATCTTTTCAGACTTAGAAATTAAATTGCTTGCCTGCTGACCACAAACAATGTGATAACCATATGTATCCAATATTTTAAAAAATATTGACATTGTTTTTCCGAAAGTTAATTGTAAAACCATTGCAGCTTATTATTTGAATCTTTAGTAATCACTTTATCTTTTTTTCATAATCTATAATATGGATTTCTGTTGCTTACCCGTCTGCGGTCCAGTCTCGGGGCCACACGCTCACTGCTATCATTCGTACTGGTATCTCCTGAATTGTCCTGTAGACGCATTAGTGCTCGGTCACGGTCAAATGTTGTAGCATAGAATAGCAGCTGTCTTGTCTCAAATGGGAATAGGAACGGCCTGTAAAATGAGAAATGTATATCACTTAGTGACCTTGAAGTGTCTTCACAAATCTGATGACTAAAAAAATATTTTCTATAAAAGGCAAGAAATTTTTTTAATTAAAAGATTCAGGTGTGAGAATGAAATCAATATATGCGGAGTTAGACGCATAATATCCTGGAAATATACTAACTTCAAATGTGGGACTGCATTACATTCTTAACCGAAAGAAATTGACACTTTCTAAAACATTAAAACAGGAAACATCAATTACTATTTGTCAAGTGATAACTGTTCCTAGGTACTAGCATGTCAGTTATATTTGGTGAGATTCAGTAATACGTACGCAGCAGCTGCTATTTCTGCCAGCCAGCAAGGAAGGTTTCCTGTCATAATCACAAGAGGGTCCTGCAGCTGACGATTGGCTTTGGCTGTGAGCTTGGAACTTAGGAAATCGGTGAATGGAAGGATGGGCTTACTGGAAAACATCACCTGTAACACAAAGATATAATCACTGATTACCATCATAACTTCCTTTTGTTCTCATATGATTCAATATATCACACTTCACCATCCTAAAATGTAAACCATAATGCCTGCTTTTTAAAAATTTTAAGTGGAAAAATCGATTGATGTCCCAATTAGCATCAAAGACAATTCTAACAGATAACACTAAAAAAAAGGTTTCACTATTTATTTTGAAAACTGTTTTTTTTTTTAATTTCATTCTTAGATTTATTCATAGGACTTAATGTTACGAATCTATTTATGAATCTGATCGTATCAGACCACTCGATGAGTCACAGGGGTGTGTTCTTTTATCTGAAAAAAACTTATTAGTTGACTTTTTTAATGAAACAACTGATGCATAAATTTTGACAAACCTGTAGATGTTAATTCAATCCTTTAAAAAGTCTATGTTCAGTTAAGCCAGAAAGTCAATAAGATCACTAACTATGTCCATCTTTCATCAGGTCAATATGAATAAAATGTGCTAAATTTTGAATGGCAAGGTTTACGGCTATTCCAGTAAAATATCTATCTCATCCAAGGACTCCTCGTTCTGTTTAGGGCTATTCCAGTAAAACATTTATCTAACCCAAGGACTCCTGGTTCTGTTTAGGTCTATTCCAGTAAAACATCTGCACCACCCAAGGCCTCCTGGTTGTTTTCCCACTCCAGGACTTCTGGATTTGTTAAAAGCTATTCAAATAAAACATCTATCCTACCCCAGGACTCCTGAGTTTTTAAGGGTATTCCAGAAAAATATCTATCCCACTCCAGGACTACTGGACTTCTTTAGGACTATTCAAGTAGAAATATTTATTCCACCCAAGGACTTCAGGTTTTGTGTAGGGATATTCCAGTAAAATGTCTATTTCACTCCAGGTTTCATTTACGGATGAAATCCATAAAATTTTATTGATAATTAGCTTAGAAGAATAGGCAGGAAACCCAAGCAAGGATAGAAGTGATTAAATTCGGAGTCCTGGGGTCAAGTATATGTTTACTGGAATAGATCTGACCAACATTAAAGTCTGGCCCTCTCTGACAGCAATGGTACGGGGACTTATAATTACTGGTGAGATATACGCATCGATGATGAAATAAATTTTCTTTTCTACCCAAAACAACACAATTTCACATGTTTACCTCATACATGGTGGACCAGTATCGGTTAAATGCATGGAGAATACGTAGGAGGGCAATTACATCTACAGATGCATCTGTCACAGTAACAAACGCCGGCAACTTGTCAGTGAGGTAAGCATTTAGAGCAGGAACCATCATTGGACAGTGTCCTTCTGCAATGGGAAGGAACTCACAACTTTCATCACAGTAATTACACATAAAATATATAGAAATTTGCATTAATTTGACATTTCTGTGTATTTTGAGTTGCACTGTCAAAAAGGTTATCATTATTTTCCAGTGTTTCTCCCTGTTATCTATATGTTATAACATTAATGCTGATCAGTACCTGTCCACAGTTCATCCACCTTTTTCCTGTTAGACGACTTGGGACCCTTGATCTCAGGACGTGTTTTCTTTGGACTCGTGGCCATCCCTTCCTCTTGTTCTGTTGCCTGGCGATACCTAGAGGAAGAAATTTTACGTCATTTTTATGACACACCTCAGTTCTAAATGTGATTTTTTATATTATTCCATTACATCAAGTCTATCTCAGGGGAATGCTTACAGTTAAATTGGATTATTAATTTTCTATATTCCAGTTCAACCTTTTTGTAATAACTTAGCTATATCCTGCAGGAAGATACTTTCGAAAAACTTTCCACTGTAAGGCCATAATCATTAGGCTATTTCCAGTAGAAAGATATTCAGAATTCAGAAGATATTTTGTTACATCAGTATAATTATTCAAAACTACACTACAATACATCCTCAATTCAGATTAAAATATTGACATGAATTTGTTTGGAACTGTGTACAATAGAATCTAATAAAATATTGCATTTTCTTGATGTCAAGGCACATTAACTGTAAAATTGTATTTTTCCACGGGCTGACTTTTCATGGTTTTTTTCCTTAATTAAAAAATGTAAAACTGTATATGAATTTTCATTGATCTTTTAAATCTAAAACTGTGAAATTGTATATTTCCCTGGGCTGAATTTTAATGGATTCTTTTCCTCAATTTAATGACTAGTTGGAGGACACCCGATTTTGCAGATGAACAGAGCCCAATCAAGCTACTTGCACTAATTTTAACAGTTCACAGACATATGAATTTGTGAATAAGAAGTACCCTTGAAATCACTGAAAATAAACCCTCCATGAAAATTAACCATTTTACAGTATATGATAATTGTTTCCCAAAATATATTTATATGATACAGAATTATTGTAAGGGATAAAATATAGATATCTCTAAACGGAAAAAAAAGAGTTTTATTTCTATATGCATCTAGTGATGGTTAAAATTCATAGACTGTACCAGATGGTGTGTGTTTGCACCCAAATGCTGGCATGACCAACTGGGTTCTCCGTGTCTGTATCGGTTTCACTGCTGTCTTTTTCCCCTGGATTACTGTAGTTCTTGATGGCCTGGTACACCGTCATGTTATAAGGTAATATTCGTTCTCCTATCAAAAATTCCAACTTGTGTCGAGCTGTTCCCTGGCTTATAAACACAGCCGCCTGAAATGTTCCCAACATATTACCCTGATTATTTCAATATCTGATAAACTATGATAAACACAGCCATCTAAAATATCTCACAATCTTAATGTTGATGATAAAAACATCTGTCTGAAATATTCCTATCATATAAATTTGTTAATTTAAAAGTCTTGAAAGTCCAAGATCATTCTCAAAACTGCTATTTTCAACCAATCTGACTCCAGGAGAACTTACCAACATGGCTTTACATGAAACTCCTTGTCTTATAACTATGGATGTAGACAGATACTCTGTTTTTATATCCATAGGTTAATATACTTTAAAATTTTTTTTCAGTAACTACAATAATTATTTTCTGATATATAATCATGGTTGGTGAAAATGTATTTCAACACCAAATTTTTCCAATGACTATCAAGATTAATTTCAAATCTTAAGTTGCTAGATGTAAATACAGAGTTTGTTTCAGATTTTGACAATCCTTAAACTAAATGTGCATTTCCAAATATCAAGCTTGCAAGCTTGAAGATCCATTTGGTTACTCTCTGGTCCTGTTGGGTGTTCATTATATTTTCTTAAAATCATGATGTCGCTGCTCGATCTCCGGTATGCCAGGGTTGGAATACCAATCCTTTTTAAGCTTTTAAGCACTCTAATTAAGGTAGCTCTTTCAAAATGTTGTAATATTTTCGTGGGTTTTCTTTTTATCTCTTCTATGCATTGGCAATCTTCCTTTCATATAAACTATACAGTCTGCATATTCCAGCTGGTGTTTTCATAATGACTTGAAAATTTGTTTGAAAATATTACATCGTAACAAGTCCCAATACATTGGGTTTTATTTACCGTTTATGACAGTTAATACAACATTTCAAGTCTAAAATCTTTAAATTTGAAGATTTCACATTTCAATATGAAAGTATCAAGATCAATCAAAAAGGTGATTATTAAAACATACCATTGTATCATCCACATCATCATCTGAGTTGTCATCATCACTAATATCATCTTCTCCATCCTGCGACAGAAAAATGTTACATGCAACATTCCTTCAAAACTTTTGTTTTCTTTATTTTTTTCAGGACTATGTTTCACTTGTATCATTTTGCATGCAATTGATTGCTGTAGATATACATTTGATTCATTTTTGGCTCCACTGTATCTAATTATAAATTTGTAGTTAAAGGGTGTTTTATATCTGTGTGTATGTTATACAAAACAATATATATAGGTATTATTCTATAGCATACTAAGTACGATTTAAAATGTTTTATTGGAATACTGACCGGTTTTAATCTGCCATAACCACGAATAACTAAATATCTTTCAATAGCCTGGACTAAAGCTAAAGGATCAATTTTCACTGGTCCACCCTTCCACTGCCTTAGAGATGTACATGACGGGTGACGTTGTAGATTACACTGAAAGAGCAGACAATGAATATTCATTCAAAGAAAAACAATTAAAGAGGTAAGGATCATCATGTTTTCTTTAAATTAATTAACAAATTTCAAACCGAGGCACAAGTAAATAAACCTGAAATAAAAATTACAATGCTCTAATAGGTAGATAATTGGACAAGGTGAATCTATATCATTGCATTACATCAAAGACTGGTAAAAACAGACCATTAAACATTTACCTTTAGTTGGTGTGTATTGAAGAAGCGAAGGGCATTTGAGCCTCGTCCACTTGACGTGCTTCCCCCTGGGAGGTCATGAACTTTGACCTGAAACTGTAAACACAAAAATTTAGTAAGATCAGTGATAAAATGTGGAAGATATTTTACAATTTTTTTTAAGCCAACAACACATTCCAAAATTGAAATTATAAAAATCCATCCAAAATTTTGGTTCAGAACCAAGTTTTAAACTCTGAAAGAAGCATTAAGAATTCCATATACAAGTACTACATAGACGAAAGAATCATCAATAAGAGATTTTGCTGAGCTCTAATAATAGTCTCATAGAAAAGTTTGATTTAAGAATTTCTTAAGGAACAGTGGTAAAATTAGACTGCTGCTATTGTTTGTTTTCCTATTGTAAGCCATAGGGTACCTCCAACAAAACAACATTCATATTGTCATCAATTTTCAATAAATATGATCACATTTATATTGTCATCCTTTTTTGATAAACATGTTCAATAGCGTTTCCAGTTCTTTGATCACACTTCTCACCTGTTCAAGTTGATGAAGACATCCAATCAACTTGCTGACTAGAGCACACAATGAGGGAATGGTTTCTAAGTTAAAGTTAGTCTCCTTCACATACAGTACATCAGGTGCCTGGGCATAACAAGAAAAAGTCATAAACATTTGTGTACTGTAAACGTGGAAATTTTTATGGATACACTTTATGTGGGGTGTTGGGGATTGGTTGGTTGGTTGGTTATTTTCACCATCAATTTTCATTTCATTTCTTCTATAACATTTAAGCACATTACAAATTATTATGCACGGGGCAGATTATCGCATGCTAATGAACTTCGCGTAATTAGCAAAAAATCCCTCCTTGCGTTAATTTCCACGTTTACAGTTTAATTTGTATTGTCTTATAGATTTAAGCAATAACTTTGAATAACATACAATTATAATGATGAAAGAGGAATATTTTTGAAAATGACAACATAAAAACAAATAATCCTGTGTTTTTCAATATGAGGTGCACAAGTTACTGTATCTGTATCATCACATCATTGTCTACAATGCGACCTTCTCTATCAAGGATCAAAATAAATTTATCATAAATATAGAATCTTTAAAGTTTGAAAGGATAATGTTTGACTTACTGGACAGTTGAGGAAGACGTGAAGGAAGCGTCTGATCCTAACATCACGAGGAACTTCTCCTGTTGTTGAGGTCAGATACTGAAGGAACTTTTGAACAAGTCCACTATGGATGATTTCAAATGGAGAAACATCATTCTCTTTCATGATCTGGGCTATAACCTTTAGACAGTCTATGCCAGAATCCTCCTGAAAAAGCATATAAAATGTTAACGACAGCACAATCTACAAAGTCCAGTTCATTTTGATATAAGTGTATTCAATCTCAGGTTTCTCTGTTAGACATAATTCTCTATAGCAAATACGATTATGTCAGTTCTAGGTTTCTCTGCTAGACATAATTCACTATAGCAAATAAGATTAACACTATGAATTCATGGATCATCACAGACATGTGATTACCTTCCTTTATTAAGTGGACACATGATAAACCATCAGCAGCAATGTCTATGACCTTCATGTAAATCACAACCAGTGATAAAATGAGGATCACTGTTACCTTTAGTACTGATATGCCTTATAGCATGTCAACAGAATCTTGATTCAAACTCAAATTTAATAAATTTAGAGTGAAATATGAATGGAATAAAGATTCACACAGTCCCCTGAAAATCTACAAGAACGATAAGACCTGGTGTTTTGAAAGGGTAAGCATCTTCTGCTTCATCAACACCTGCCAAGTAAATCTTGGCCAATTGTAATTGGTTTCCATATGAGGACACAGTTAACAACACCATCCCTAACAAGTATCAAACATGGGATAATAAGTATCAAACATGTTTGATTGCATATCATAAGGGAAGTTAAATATTTCCACAATAATATCATTATGACACCGAAACCCTCATCAACCTGCATCTCTAAAAACCTTGTGTTTTAAGTCAATCTGTTAACTGTTATTATACTGTTCCTGACAGTACATACTACCTACCTCAACAGACAGATTTTCTGTTGCAGAACACAACCGGTTAAGGACATTAAGAGCCGGATGGCTGCTTCCCTGGCTTTCGGAATTGAAGTACTGATCAAGGAACCGAATTGCTGTAGACACAAGTAAACATCATTTACAGTAGTTGTATCTCATAAAACACCTAACAGATCACATCAAGCTAAAGCTTTTGATAAATTTCTTTGAATCTATCTTCAACATTGTGATTTAGCAATGCTTCCAATTTCAACATGGGATGATTTTTGTACCAGTACCGTAAAGAGTAATATATTATACACCACACTTCATACAATATTATTTCAATTATGGAAAAATCAGAGTTTTAAAAACTTTCTTAAATAAAATATAGAGTCAGAAAATTTGAACACTTTCTTAAGGTCACTTTAATATAAATATTTTCCTAACTGAGAATTACTATGAGAATTACTATTATCTTTGAATATCAAATTCTGATTTATATCCTAGTGTTGTCACAAAAGGATTTATTGTTCTTGTTCTTGTTCAAGCAAAGTAATGTAAAGACATGTCAACTGATTTGGTTTCTTCACACGATTCAGGTACTCCCCTACTTCATGATATGAAAAGATTTGGATTTATAAACTTGATGTTATTTAGTATACATCACTACTCTTCAGGAAGAAGTAACAAGAAATAACAAAGATAATGGCTTCCTGATTCATAAAACAAAATTGTGGGCAATCCAGTTCCCAACTTTGTTTATAAAACCTATAGCATACAAAAATGCAACAATCTTAATTTCAGACTAACTATTCCTACACTATACATGGAAAATGTAGGTGTCAGCGAACAAGATAAGAAGGGCCATGAATAACTCTGGTACAATCAAACCAGCTCTCTCAGGATCTCACCTTGTTCCTTGATCCAGGTCTTCACTTTTTCCTTATTACCAGAGCTAGAAATACTGATCTGCTTTTGGACACTTAAATCCTAAAACCAACATCAAGACAATTTTAATTAAAATATGCCATTCCATTTCTTTTCAAGCCAGCACACTATTAAACTTGTAAAGCTATTCATACCACTGAAAGAAAACAAGAAAACAATCATATGTTCCTCCAAATTCTGTTACTCAAGCTAAGAACAACTATTTCATCAACAACTATTTCATCAATATTTTAGACTGCCTTGAAAACAACATACCTTTTGACTGTAAATTATCCTTTTCAGTTTGAGTATACAATACACATAAGAATATAGTTTTCACCATATATACATATGTGGCTGCATATATTTTAGATAATGAATGTTTATACACATGGTCCTTGAGTAAAGAAGTATGTTTCATTTGCAGAAATGCAAGATGTTTCACTAGTATTATCTTCACATTAAGTGACAATAAGACTGAAAGGTTAAAGAACTCAGTACGACACTATTTAAATGTCATACAAGACTGTTCCAAAGTGAGCAGGGACTCACACTTACTACAATCCCCCATAATCAGAAAACAGTTTATGTGAATACTCCTTGAAAAATTCTTAAGTGACCTCTGAGCCTTTGATTTTAACAAATGACTACCACAATCTTTTTCCTGTGCTGGAGTGTGCAATGCCATATAAACTAATAAGAGTTGGAAGGTTGGTTTACAACACATCTTGTACACAAACTTTTCAATTTTAAAATGAATAAGTATGACCTTTCACCTTTAACCTTGACAGATAACATTCAAAAGAGAATGTTCCCCCCACTAGTATTAAGTGAACGGGTAATAAACATACATTTCGTGAGAGATTAGCGAGTACTCTTGGTTGTCCAGCCTTTGCTAGGCTACCCTTGGGTAATGAAGGTCGATCAGAACTGTTGGAACTCTTGCCCCAGCTGCGAGGATTCAGACTTGGTAGGAAGGACATTTTTGAACTTGCCCCACTGGACTTTGCTTCCTTGCCTTTGAAAAACAGAAAATCAATCATATTAACTGACTTTAATTATTTTGTGAAAATGAACATACTTTCATATTATGAATAGGCTTTTTTTTATTATATTTTTCAAAAACAAATTAATGTGATTACAAGACAAGGTAAAACAATTATTATTCACAAGCTCAAAAAACATGAAATATTACAATGTATTTGACCTGTCAACACAATGCAGGACAACATACTGTTTCTAATTTCCAAATAAAATGGTTGCATAGTTTCTGCATCAGTTTCGAAAAAAATTCTCCTGAATGGATGGCTGAACAAGCCACCATATACATTTTCTATAAATGTTCAAAAGGTAACATATATCGCCTGAATGCTTGGCTATGCCCATACAACCAATTAATCTTATGTTTTCAAATTATTTCCAAAACCAAACCTCAATTACTTTACAACTACAAGACTTCTTGGAAGCCACATATCGTAACTGAAAAATTGTAAATGCAAATACTTTTGAAAATGAAATTACTGGCAGCTTTCGTCCTACTAGAGCCGCGACTTGATGTAGGGGTAGTGGTCTTTGTAGCCAGATCTGTAGGTAGTTCCTCAGCAGAGTTACGTCCCTTACGTCCCAGGGACCTCTTTGGAGGTTTCTTTCTTTTTAGCACATCACTAAGCCGCCTAAGTTAAGAACATGTTGTACATCAAAATATTTACTTCAACTTTTTTAATTAAACAATCACAAAACAAATTAAAGGAATATATACAGTCAGTTACATATATTTACATATATATCAATTAATCATCACTAAGCTTCATCATTTTCATGGACTATAAGGACCAATCAGAGTCACTCTGATAATCTACAATCACCATCTTAGCTAGATATTTCTCATCTGTGCTTGATATACCATGGTTATGCTAGTGCAAATATTTTCATTGATTTATCGAAAGTCATTTTATATCCTGAATGAATAAGATTTAGAGGCGTTTTCTATGATAGAACGATGAGGTTTTACTTACATTTGTGTTGGACTACTGCATTGTTCATCTCCAGGGGTGGGGATGGAGGCCCCTCCCAGTTCGTGCGACCCAAGACCAGCATCCCGCCCCCCTAAGGATTCAGAGCTTTGAGATATACTGCTACTTGACTCCATTGTGCTGGAACTGCTCAAACTACTAAGCGAACTAGAGACTGAACCCGCCCCTGAGGGGTGGTTCTCTGGAGGGCAGGGTGGCTTCACTGGTGACACAGCCATGGGATCCGACTCGGCTAACTTCTTTATTTGGTGCATCACACCTAAAAATTGAACAGCATATAAAATCAATGTTGTGCTTAAAATTGTTGAGGCTGTGAATAACAGATTTATCCACTTTATATAGCAGGCAGACAGACAGTGACAAACTTCTAACTAAATGTCTAAGATCTTCACAGGATATTTTATTGCAATACTTTCCAACTATCAAAGAAGAGGTCATCTGCTTTAAGTTATATATTCAATGATAGTTGGGAGTTTTGAAAGCCTAACTATAAGTTAATTTCATAAAAGTTATGGTAAACTCATATTCAAAATATAAGTTGTGTCCTTTGAACACAGTCATTTCATCATCAATACAAATACATGCATGGTATAAGAACTTCTACTTCGTGGTGTTAGTTTCAACATAGAATCACCGTCAACGATATCCGGATCTCCACACCACATAGCAGTGTAGCATATTCTATGGTGACATAATTTAAAGAACAATCTTGGTCGAATCTCTCATCTTTTTGAAGATTTAGGCTGTACAAATTCATCTCAATCAGATTCTGAACTCAGTTACTGAAGAATGTAGATCAAATTCCGCATGTGTTCAATGCATTCTATAAAATAACCTGATTGTAAAATTTCCAGTTTCAAAGAAACTGATAATTTTTAAGATCAACACAGTTCTTTATAACCATACAGAGCCTATACAAATATCCTCTACAAACATCAATGAGAGGGTACAATGAATATCATTCTATTTACCCACTTATTTTGATTCCTTCTCATTAAGTTAAAAATCATGCATGTTTTCCTAACAGATACAGCGTTATTTCACTTAACAAAAATGTTACCTTCTCTTCTGAAAAATACACTGAAGATGTCAGCCAACTTCTGCATGAGGATGTCGGCCATCTGAATAGCTCCAACCACCACCTTCAGGTCCTGGGATGCCATCATGGCTGCTATGTGGCTACAAGGAAATGAAAGATCAAATCATTATCACACTGACATACAAAACTAAATGAAACATCAAAATGTAAGAAATGAATCATGTTTTTCTATCGACAGAAAAATTCTGTCAAAAGTTCAACGCATTCCCCTTATTGACATCTGTGATAAGTTTTCTCTCTCATAGAACGGTGATGGCACAAAAAAATGCATTGACTACTGCCAAGTGATCAAATTACAAGTACAATTTCACTCTATATAGTTAATGATGTTTTAAGACAGTTTACGATAACTTAATTCCTAGATTAAATATACTGATAAAAGGTAAATGCTTTATCTTGAATTTTTATAATATTTACCTTGAGACAGGTTGTGTTTTCAGGATTTCTTTAAGTAAGTCAGCATCCGCATAAAAGATCATTCTCAGTAATGTCTGTAGACATTTATGTCTCACAGTAGGCCCAGCCTGTCAACACAATATTTACATGATACACTTTTCATCATTTTCATATTTTGGCCCTATAGTATTAAGATGGTCTAAATCATCTGCCATATATGGACACCATTAATAATACAATGGCTGGCCTACATCTCTTCATCAACACTTCTTAATTCTAGGTTAGGTTATGTGCAGTGAATGTGAGCAACTTTGTTGGATGGTTGACAGGTTTTCTGTTTCTTTGACTCTACCTATGCCGGGTATTGTCTCATCGACAAATGTCAGTACTCTGACAATGTAATCTTGTAACCTTGTTTTGCAAAATGTTATATAATTTAATTCTTTAAATTGAACTCCTTGGATGTGGTCTCATAATAATAAATGTAATGTAATGTAATTTGGCAAATAAATGGCAGCTGACAAGTTTCAAACTTGAAATCAAATCGGCAAATTCCAATTCTGACACATCTGAATCCTCATTGTGTTGCTACCTTGAATCCTCATGTGTTGTCAAGGTAACAATTTTGAAAACATCTAAGTGAAAGAACAGGTTTTCTTTAAGTGATTTTTGTGCACAAATGGTACTCAGAAGTTAAAACAAATTTGTTGTGGAGATGGGAAGAGCAGATATTGGTGTATACATACCAGGAGATATAAAGATGAACAGATCTGAAAGAAGGCAGGTTGTCATCGTATATACTTACTGAAGAGCTGTATACCTCATACAGAACAGCGAATAGTGTCTGAATGAAAGCTGAGGCCAGAGCCATGTCTTCTTTAAGGATCTCCGCTCGTGAGTCACATCGTTCAATATTTGGGTCAGACGCAAGGGAAGATACTGACGATGCAGACGATGATGAGGATGTCAGGGATGTGGCTTAAAATGTAAAATACGGTAAATCAGAAAAACCTAAATTAATACAATGCAATAAGGGCAGAGGTGCTGAAAAATCACATCTGACTCCAGGTCAAGATGATGGGCTTGTAAATGGAGCATGAAATGTCATTTGTTGGTAGTAATTATACTGAAAAGCAAAAGGAATATGTGGGCTCATTTATCAGCATAGGCAAATTACAGACCATTCATTCAGGCAAGATAACAGCAATGTCATAATGCCTTATACAAAAATAAATTTTCACAAATCTTTTAACCTTCAATTTTGTACATGAAAAGGTACCACACCCAATGAATATGTCACCTACTTTAAGCAAGTCTATTTGTCCTTATATCAATCCTTTACAATGTTATTACTTTGCCAACAGATTTTTTTGACAAGTTAGCTTTCAGCCTTATCATTTACTAAAAGTAAGTAAATGTTCTAAAGCTTTCAGCCTGATCATTTACTAAAAGTAAGTAAATTTTCTAACACTAAGTCAAAGTTAAAATATCAGTTTAGAAGTAAGAAGACTTACCAGAGGCCTGTGGTGCACCAGGTACAAAAGGATTAACCTTCCTCTGAACTGGCCGTGCTGTGCCTGTATCCTCATTAATCTGTTGCATAGAATTAAAGTCCAGTGTGTAGGCTCGCCCCATAGTGGAAAGACTAACCTCATCCTCACTGGCCAGGTGGGCAGCCTAGTAACGGAAACACATCTTACGTTTATACGGTCTGGAGGTAAATAGTTAATAAACCACAGATAAAAGTCACGTCTTGTCATAGACAACACCAAATCATTTGTTAACAGACAACTTTGGAGACAGTATTAAAGAACAAGCCTTCTTTTTAATTTTTTTGAATCATTTTGAGATGAAAATAACATTGGATGACTCAAGATTAATTTCTGAACAAAAAAATATAAATTATCATCGCAGACAGATTAAGATTTTGTCAAATACTGCCTGTTGTACAGTGACTCACCTCCACAATCTTGCTGTCAATAGGTGTATAAGGGTGCCAGATACCACGGTCATCTCTCCATTGCCAGGTGATGGCCTCCAGTTGACCTGTGGACCCCTTACGCAGCATTGTATCAATAGAAAATATTCCATCTGTTGGCAGCTTGGGCATCAGCTCGCTAATGAACATTAAGAAATAAGCCATGATTTAATTGTTTTTAATAAGTGGCAATTACACATAATTTGTGGTTTTCCTCTTCATGACTCAAAACAGGTTTACAGTGATACATCCAAGCTGTATTAACATTTCCAACCCTTTAATATCACCTTTCTCTATATCTACATTTCCCTCTCTTTAATATAACTTTCCTTTGCATCTTTATTTCCCTCCCTTTAAAGCAATCTTCCTTTACATCTTCGTTTCCCTCCCTTTAATATCACTTTCCTTTTCATAAATTTACTCCCTTTAATATCACATTTCTTTGCATCTACATTTCCCATTCCTAAATATCAGCTTCCTCTATATCTACATTTCCCTTCCTTTAATATCACATTCCTTTACATCTATATTGCCCTCCCTTTATTATCACCTTCCTCTACATCTTCATTTCCAACCCTTTAATATCACCTTCCTATACAGCTATATTTTTCGCCTTCCTTTACATCTAACAGTTCTTATCCTTTAATATCATCTGATTTTCCAAGGTATAACAATTATGTACCCACCTCATATCCTCAGTCTTTCATCACAAATCAAAGCAAGTATTATTGCTGCAGTCTTAGAATTACATCGAACTTAATTAAGTTACCCACTTACCCAATAAGACACACTATCTCATATAGCTCCTGAGGTGTTCTGGATACAAGCTACAAAGAAATTATCCAATTGGCCCTTGTTAGTTACCATCAAATTTCAAATCTGTTATGGTGAGGTACATTTCAGAAACACATTTATTGAAATATAGCAAAGCATTTAATTTTCATCCAATTGATTGCAATATTTAAACATTAGGAACCAGAAATATATTAGTACTTTCAGTTCAAGGTGGTTAAAAATTTGTCAGCACAGTTACATCTGACAAAGGTTTAATTCACAATAAAACAAGTACAGATTTTTTTATGTATCTACATATTAAATATGAGACCAGTAACTTTTTTCTACATAGTATTTTCTGTAGTTTTTTCTCTTTTTTTCTAAATGGTATTTTCTGTAGTTTTCTTTCTATTTAAAGACGTCCAATCATATCTCACCTCTATATTTGGACTGGCTTGTTCAGAAGTTCCCACTAGGAGATAACACAGGGTATCTGCTATTTCTGAAATAAAACCAAGGACATACAAAAAACTTCATCCCTTTGGTATTTGATTTTTCTAGCTCTCCTGTAAAATCTGCATTTAAGATAAAAGATATCAGAGGAGGAGGCGGAGATGCTTATTTCTAAAATTAGACCTATGCTGGGAAAATCGACAAACAAGGGAGATATGTTTATCTCCAATGATGAGATTTTCTAACCTAACAAGTGGTAAATTACCTTTTACAATAAATGGAGCAAAGAATGTATATAAATAACACTTACTTTGTTTGAGAAGGAGGACAGCCAGGTCAGGACAGCTGGCACACATAACGGACAGCATACGTACAACCATCACAAACGTTCCCGTACTAACCACTGGTGGGCTGACTACCAACTATCAAAATCACAGTAACCAATTTTCAGAATCATAAACCGAAATTTGTAGCAGATTTAAACGTTATACCTCACACTGTCAGAAAGGTTATAATTTGATAAATCTCCCAATGAAAGTCAACTGTTGAGGTTGTCAGAATCAATCCTGATAAGCAATTCTATAACAAGATACAGTCAAGTCTATCTAGTCCTACCCAGCTTTTGTGGAATAAGACATCATTTTTCTATTCAAGATGTCAAACTAACACCCACAGCCTGCTGTAAAACTATAATGAGTTACTGTCCATTGCATAGAAATCTATCCAAAACTTTGTTAATTTTGATTCAACGATGGAGAAATTAGATTTCATATTTACAGAGTATGATGCCAATTCCTACCTGCAGTTATAAGTTTAAACCTTGTACTAGTAAAGGTGAAGGAAACAAGACCCAATAGTTTGATAAATATTAGGCGGATAACAGGACAAGAGAAAGCCTTCTCTATCTGATCAACAACACCTACCAGTTGTTGTATATTGGTAAGAAGTCCATGTACTGCTATCTCCTTCAGAATCCTCTGATCGCCTTGAAAATTGTCCACCAAACGGGAGAAACACAAACAACAGCTTTCAACCGACTTCTTATCCTAAAAAAAAGTCAAAATTATGCCTAATTTTTACTTCTATGTCTTAAAAAAATTGGAACTTAAGTACTGTGAAATCATTCATTTTCATGCAACTTTTATTTTGATTTTGTGAGTACACTTAATAAAACATCCAAGTAAGCATAAACAGACAGAATTATTGTTATCCCTGAAATGAAGTGTCTGGCAAGCGATCGAAACATTGATGTAAGAAATTTATCTTTTATTCCTGGGGTCATATAGATGTTTTAATGGAACGGACCCCAGAGGTTCTTAAAATTTATTCCATATCAAAAGCAATAGGATGGACAGGCAAGGGAAATGATATATCCAACAAATAAATGGGTGGGGCATGAAAAAGAGGCCTTTAAGAACCTTGTGCCTGTCTATATATTATCCTCCATGATAAACATTAATTAGAATTCAAATGTTCTTCTAGCAGGCTTGAAAAACAGACATATGGAAAGACACAGTAATTACTGCAAAATTTCAGTAGAAGTTTTGAAGTACCATACACCTTCAAATTCTGTTTGAAAATACCAGTAAAGATCTGTTAACTTGAGATTGAGGAATAAATTATACATTAATGGCCATAAAAGGGGACCACTTTAAGGAGATCTCTGTGAAACAGTCTACATAACAGGACCTGTTGGGTACTTACCTGATGGGTAAGACGAGCACTGAGCAAAGCAAAAGATTCCCTGATAAGGTGGAACTCTTCAGGACTGAGGTTCTGTACACAATTCGCAGTAATGGACAAAGCACTCCTTTGTGCCGACATGCTGAAGAAGTCCAGAAATGTCAGACAAGCTGATATACCTCCCTGTGGTAGGAAAATGGTAAAATCTCTTATATCAGAAAACATGAAGGTGTTCAGATCATAAAATCTCTTCTTGCAATGAAAAAATCAATAGCTCTTTCACTCTGCATTCCAGATTTTTTACAAACATCAAATTGTCTTATATTGGTGAAGTGTGCTACAGTTTTGAGAGCTTTTGACATTGACAACCATAATGATATTCCCTACCAACTAAACACATTATAACTTACAGCCTGCAGGATTGCTTTGCTGTGTCTTCGTGACAACATTTCCAACGCCGTCAATGACTGTTCTGCTACATCCATACACTGGATAGCTCGTAACTGTTGAATAATACAGAAAACTTTCATCTAAAGATGGACACTTATCATCTTAAAAATATACGCTTTTATTTACAAGTAGTTAATAAAGATTAATTTTCAGGGATATTGACGTATCCTTATTGAAAAATTTGTTCCATTTTTTCTTTTTTTTTTACAAAGAACTCCATTATGTGGAAGACTAGAAAAAAGACTGTCTTCTTTTAGAGGCAAAATATCTCAAAATAATTTTGACTTTGGATATTTCCATCATCGATTTGGTGAAAAAATGACAAAATATCCAAGAGAATCAAGTGGACTATAAACAAGTGAAAATTCTGTACCTAGGTACATCATCATCATGGTTAGTGATGTTTCTTTCAATTTAATAATGCCAAGTACCTTTTCCAGGAAGACTGGCACAGCATCGACAACCACCGCAGAGGACCGAGGTAGAGCTTCCATCATGTAGGTAAGGGCACGACAGGCATGGTTCATCATGTCAAAATTGTGCTCCATCTGTAGAAGTGTGATGAGGGCTGGCACGGCCTGTTTTACTGGGAAGCCTGCTAGAGTGTCTTCATTTCCCATCACAAGTAACTATTTGAGATAATGTCATATTATTTCATCAATAAATATCTTAACCCATTGAAGTATATTGTACAACAAATATATCAAATCAATGAAACATTTGCCTTTTACAGTAAATAATTGTATCATCATTCACAACTTATCTTGTCCTTGACAACCAGATCCTTGGTACAAATGGTGTACAAATAGTTCTCATCAAAACAGATTTAACTACCGAAGGTGTGCAAGTCAAACATTAATGAACTTTTTTCAGTTTAGAATGATTTCGCATTTACAAAATGGAGTAGGCTTTTAAAGTTTCTTTACTCAACCAAAGGAATGACATGTGATGAGGATAGTAATGTTGTTAGTGAGAAATCAGTTACCTGGCACATTTCAATAGCAGATGTGAGCTGCTGGTCCTCGTTTCCTGTAGACTGTAGGCCTTGTATCAACTGCTGAGCTTTACTGACTGTAGAAACAGATTTCATCATAAATCAATGTATATTTTTCTCGTAATTTCCAATAAACACAGCAAAATTAAATGTTTGCATTACACAATATATACCACTTTACTAAAAACATTTCACATGGTTGCTGTCACAGGTTAGAACTAGCTTCTTTAAGGACCAATGTGTCCTAGATGTCTTCCTCCGATTATATTTATAGCATGCATGCCTGTACATTCAATTATTTGTAGTAGCAAAAGCCCAGGTCCCGTTTTTTAGTTTTAATATCAAAATGAAATGTCAAAATTATTATAATCAGGAAATAAAGAAACACAAAGAATGACGATCTACAATAACAGATTAGATGGTATATCTACAATTGTCAGTCTAGGCTTTCAAAATCTCTAGGAATCTGATACAAAAAAAATTCAGAGTGTATATCATCTTACATGAACAAAACTGGCTACTACAGTGCTATACGAGTGCTATGTAGGACCTCAACCTACCTAAAAACTATATAATTTATTACATTGAAGTTGATATTGCATTACAGCGTGTCACTTTTTTGGGGTCAAACACTTTCAAAGCTATCATGAACGAATAAGTACGTCAGTAAGACATCGATACCAAACCTCAAACGAATGATGTTGTGGCCTTTGACCCTTGACTCATGACTAACAATCACCTTCACACACTAAGGCGTAGAACTTCATGTTAAGATATTATGAGATAAATGAACCAAAATTATTGAGAGGTTAGGTTCTCAACATAGATGTAAATACAGACAACAACAGAAAGATATATGTTAACACTCCATGCCTCCAACCACCTCCTCCAATCAAACTTCATAAAAACCCATCAACATTTGTACCATGAATGATCATCATAAGTGTACCCAGAATCTTGATCTCGTTAAATATTTGTCACTGGTTAATTACTTTGTTATATAGTCCAACACGCTACTGAGTGAGCTGTAAAGTAATTCTCCCTCACAGCCAGTTGGTACTTTACATGTGTTTTATAGTGATATACAAGGTACAATATAGAATCACTGTAAATTATGAACTAAAAACCTTTCAAACTGATATTGATTCAATGTTTGATGAAAGAGTCACAAATTGAAATGAATTTCCTATACATAAATATATAGAAATATTTACTATATTTATATGCATAAACTATATTTAAAATTTGATGTAAATGCTAAGAAAACCGTTTCCTTCATACAGGCAAATATATGCAATCAATGAACGCATTTTGAATAAACCAAAAATCTTCAAAAGGAAACCAGGCATTCAGGACAAGTGATACAACACAAATAATTGATCAGAAATTCAAAATTAATATTCTACAGTGTATTCTTGACAAAATTTCAACTGTAAAATCAGAATGACTGTATTAAGATTCTTATATCAAATTCCATACATTTAGATCTAAATCCTAAAGTTGGCCAAGAGGGAAGTATAAATAGTGTTATAATCTAAATTCATCTCTCTGCGTCAATTCATATTCTGAAGGATGCATACATTTGTAACAAATTACAGTCTGAAAGGTGTATACATTCTCAGAAAAGCAAGGGACAAAAAGCATGAAAGGAAAGCAAAAATAGAGATCAAAAACTGCAGAATGCAATAATGAATTTGATTCCAGGAAACATGTGACAGAGGAAATGATAAAGATTCCAAAAAGATTAATCACAACTGCATAAAGAGAATGTAAATCACATTTAAACTGGGAGATTTTCCTGTAACATTTCTTACGCCTATATTTATGACATATCATGTAAAAGAAAGGGTGATTACAAAATGTTTAAGAATATTAACTTCTTATTTTACAAAACAATTTTCAAAATTGATTCCCCACATATCCCAAAATGTTACTACCTATGTCTGAATCATGCTACATGTACCATTGCTGTAGCATCTCCCTGTGAACATAATTTTGAAGTATTTACCCGCAGTTACTGGTAATTGCCAAGATTCAGTTTGGTTGAAATGAAAGAGAAATTAGTAGTTAAAATTTCATTAATATTAAACTATATGTTAACTGTTAAAATACAAACTGACAAGGAAAAATTTATATATTGAAGAATACTTTCAGAAAAAAAAATATTAGAACTCATAATACATATTGTACTTCAATTATGAAATATTTCAGACGTATATATAATGCTTGTGAATTAACTGTCTGAAATCAACACTATTAGTATAGTAAATACATAAACAAGTTGAGAATTCTATTTTAAATGAAACAAAATACCTCAAGGCTCCCCCCTGGAAATGTGACCCATTACTGGCCTAAAAAAAGCCCTGTACCTAAAATATAATGTAGATAATGAAGGTCCTTTGATCTGTCTGGAGAGCTTGAAAGCGTTTGAACCCCATGGCCTCTATACATGAAAATGCTGATTTTACTATCAATATAAGGGTCATAATACATACAAATTGTAACTGAATGTATTCTTCTTGTAGAACTATCCTTTCAAGTAGAGTATCCATACCCCAAATGTACATGTACTGGCTGACTACTAAGTTTTAAAATTTACTTTTTATATATAGAAAAAGACCTAAATCCAATTCATAAACCAAACCTGATTTCCACACATACCAACAAATCCAAAAGGATTTGAGCACATACCAAATATACAAATTTTAGGTGACAAAGTTAATAAGATAACAGCATAAAGTGTTCCACAGACAAAAAAGGTCAATAATCATAGGAGGTGAGAGGCCCAACATCAGATTTCCGTATACTTCAATCATCTATCCCACAAAATAAGGGAATGGCATGCAATTTGCAGTTGTAGGTGAAAAAAACTTAACCAAGGATAAAGTGGCTTACAGGTTGATGGAAATAGTGTGATACTGTAGTCTCCTTCGGTAGTACAAGAGCGGTTATAATAATCTTATCAATAAAGTTTTAAAAAGTTAAATGAATAAACGGGACCCAGCTGTACGATACCAAAAAAACGTTCCTGGAAATTTTGTTTCATTTCGTAAGAAACCATGTTCAAGAGTTGAACAACTTTATTTAAGGATTCAAACATAGAAATACAATTTCTTTTTAATTTAGTTTGAGATTTTTTAAGATATAAAGAACTCAGTACTTCTGGGCCTAGCTTCAATAAACCTTAAATAAGAAGAAGAGGCCACTCACTGTTGCCTCCTCCCATTGTCCTGTGCAGGAGCTGGTGCATTCTGGGACCAAGTGCCCCAAACAGCTGGGAGGGAAGGCCGCGGGCCTCAAGAAGCGCTGGAACCAAACAAACAAAATCAACGTAAACACAAAGCCGTAAATAAATTCACTAAAGCTCACACAAAAGTACCTCCACAACATCCAAGCCTAGTGCTAAAGTCACTTGGTTAGTATTTACTGTGGAACATTGTCAGATTTACCTTGCCCACATTACCTGGTAAGCTGGAAAGTTTTGAAGACTTTTCCCTAAACCTTTTCTTATTATAAATTCTTGGCATCTGCCTAGTTTTTCAGATAACAAGACTGTAACATATAACAAGGTTCCACTGTATTCATAAGTGCATATTAAGTAAAAAAAGAAAAAAAAATGTTAAGAAACACTATATCGTTGTTTCAATCCAACCTGAATCTTGATCAATATCAACTCTAAATCTTGAAAGAAATCCTGAGAAGATCTGACATAGCACTAGACCACACAATGTGTGAAGATAAGGCAAAAGTCATAATAACAGTGCTGGAGTGCCAGGATGACCATACCTTCAGATGGTAGCTTAGTACGTTTGTACTTTAAACTCATTTTCTTTATGGTCCTGGCTGCTTTGAAATTGGAATAAAACAAATCAGTGCATCAAAATCACAAATGTTTAGATGTATGTAATTTAGGCCTATATTACAATACTTATTTCTTAAAATATCCCAGATATACACCGTAAATAATGACTCAAACCTACTTTCCTAGAAGATGGTACGTATTTTGGATTTTGATGAAACTGTATTTCCAAACAGCAGACATCTCCAACTTAGATAAAGAATTATTTCAAACTTGAAAAAAAACATTCTTTGCAACATAAAACATCAGTTTAAAATTCCGTAAAACACCCAGATGTAAATTGAGATGCAGAAAAAAAATATCAACATGTATGAAAGACACCAACAAATATTTTGTAAATCTGTGGTCAGATTGATAAAGATTTGACAAAAGACATGATCTTTTCTCTTTCTTCATTTTACAGTTTGCAATAATATATTTGAGCAGAAAAATTAAATGTTTGTATCTCATTTCCCATGAAGAACTCAGTCCATCTGCTCTTATGAAGAGCCTTATAGTTTTCATTCATTGATCTGGAGATGCTGTGTTCTCAGACACCCTTATCCACACTCAATTGTCTTTTTAATAATAAACATTTATTTCCTATTTTGAGCCCATAACCCTTTTGTCACACCATTCACATTTCAACATTCCTTAATCAAATGAACAATCAAAGCGAAAAATTCCACTACAACACAATCTTTTAAAATAAAGTTTGCGGTGAAAGACGCTGAGCACTGTATGGTATTACAGTATCAGTTCATACTGTTCTTGAGCCCCACAAGCTAAACATTAATATCACCAAGTGTTAGAACACTAATATTTCTACATTCTCAAATCATGAAGTAATGCGATATACACATAAAACATGGTAACTTGGCAAATGTTCACAATTTTCTCAGATTATTAAGAAAAGATGCATGACTAATGGCAGAGTAACCTGAAAAGTGATTGACAGAGAGACTTTCCGTCCCTGCCGAAGAAATATTGTTGTAAAGATGAACAGCAACGCAGTGTGTGAAACTTTCTTATGGATTACTAGACAAGAAAATTAATTCCATATCACAATATTTTTTCTACTTTGTTTTATCAAAATTTCTGTTAATTTTTACTGGACCAAACACATTTAAATTTTTACCAAACATGTCTGATGGGCACACAGTTTTGTACACAGATCAAAACTCTCATTGTATATCGAAATTCTTTTCTACCAATTTTTCATTCCTGGTTAACTTAAGTTAAAAAATTGTAAATAGCAAACTCTACTAGCATTTTTAATACAACATTAAACAAGACATCAGCAGTACTGGTATCATTTGACATACATATAGTAACTGTTACAAAATTTATGAAGTCTTTAGATTAATATCATAACCTGTACAATCTTTGCTTAATTCATGAAAACCTCTTTTATTAGGTTGCTTCATAGAACACTTTGTGGAAACATTATCAAGGACTCAAGGCTTAGGAACATGCTTTCAAGATTTCACAATTGTAACACCAAAAATAAACCCCCTTTCAGCTCATCCCATCAGCCCCCAAAGTGCATACACTTGCTAATTGAATATATGTAAGCAATAAAATTACTTAGTAGCGAAGTTGAACCCAAATATTAATTGTTAGTGTATACAGTTATGTGTACAGATCTATACAGTATCAAACTGAAGCAACCAACTGGGGGCAAAATAAAACATTTTGAAGAAGGTTCAAAAGAATACCCTCCAAACTTTGCCTGATTTGTATACAAAGTATCTGCAGGTACATACCAATTCAAAATTGAAAATTATTTTTAACAAATATTGTAGGAAATATTGGGACATAAGAGGAATCATGAGAAATGTGAAACAAACAGCTTACCTTGAAGTCTCCCCATGTCGGCTTCCTCGCTCTCACTCTCTGATGTTACTGCAGTGGCACCACCAGAGCTGGATGCTAAATATCAAGAGCTTACATTTACTTTCTAGTAACAACATATTATTGTTAATAAACATACAAGACAATATGGAAAATTACAGTCTCCCAACAAATACAGAATTATATACCAAGAATACACTGCAAGAGTACCTACCCATGGCCAAAAAGAAGAATTTCCACTGACTAGCAGTGTAGGAAACAGGGTCCAGATATATTTTTCTTTCATGTAGGTCAAAGGTCAAAATGTAGGTCAGAGTGACCTACTTTCAATATATGAGAGACAGAAACCAGAACAACCCTTTTTATGTAGATCTAGGGTGAAAATGTAGGACACTCAGACCTACTTTTTGATGCATGGCACACGACACCACCAAAGTTAACCAGTTCCCCAAGTATGAAGTGCCAGTAACTAGTTGTGTCGGAGACTGAGTCCAGACAAGGTAGTGAAAGGACAGATAGACAGAGGTACGGATGAACACAATGCAAAACTATAGTCCTGTCAGTTCCCATTAAGGGATAGAGGACAAGTAAGAGAAAACAACAATACAACAGAAATGTAAATTTCTCAGATTGTTAGAATATAGTGACCCATGCAGCATTTTGACAAATATGTATTGAGTAAGTTATTTTTTTCTGAATCTAAGGTTAAATTCCCTTTCAAAATATTATTGTAAGATCTCTGATCTGCCATGAGACTGCATTCAGTGTGAAGGATGGATTTGGAATGAAAAGTATGACTGTGTTATCATCTTACCTGCCACCGGAGGTTGTGCACCCTCCTCAGTGTTACGTGGTCTAGCGCCACTTCCAGTGTTGTCTGTAGGGTCTGACATTGTGCTGGAATGTGGTTTGGACGTCCCTCTAGTGTGGCTAGTACCACTGTCAGTGCCACCTGGTGGTCCTGGGCGTGATGTTGAGCCTCCTTGGCGCTTGGACAATGATGAGGAACGTCGACCACTTGAATGACAAAACAGCTGATATTTAAATAATTGTCGTCAACATAGTTAACTTAATGTTACATTCAAAACTTCCTTATTCCTACTCAAATGAACAAAATTAAACCAGCAATTATAATTTAAGACACCCGAACACACCTGCTACTAGCACAAGATCCCGTTTTCCTTGTGCGTCTGGTCCGCCGTAAGCCGTCAAGCCCCGGCGACTGGTTTTCAAGAGTAGGTGGGGATTGCTGGGTACTGTCTTTGTGTTCTCTAGCTGAACTGCCTTTTCCTCTTCGATTACTTGATTCTTCAATTTTTGCTTTTTTCGCTACAGAAGGCTGCAAGCTTGGACTTTGAGAACCTGACTGAACCTGTAATTACGAAACAAGCTTGATCATTTTTGCCCTGCCACAACATTAACTACATTAAAGTAGTTTCTTCACATCTTGGTCAATTTGATACTGTACCCACTGAAAAACGGTCTAAAATGTGATTGCACTAATTGCATAATGTTATCTATATAGAAATCATACGAAATCATCACTGTCTTCATTTACCAAAAAGTGATGTGCCAAATTAAGTATGTTTGCAGTATACTTCTTAGAAAACACAAAAATTCCCAACTCAGTGCTAATTAAAAGTTGTTGTTGTTTAAAAGTTAGGTTCAAAGGGCTTGGATGTTGCTGTTTCATCTGTATTTTATAGAAATTGATGTAAAACTGTCACAAAATAAAATATTGTGAATTTCTATCATTGACAATGATTATCATTATATCAAGAAAACGTCCTCTTATTACTCCAGTAGCACATGCACTTCAGTTTAACCATTTACTGTTGGAAATTTCATCAACTCATTTGCCATGGGCACCATTTCAAAAGTACTGAAGAAATGTTTCTCATAAAAATGTAATCCAGTTTGTGAAAACAAGTCCAAATGAGATCTTTGTGCCTACCTGTGAAATGCTTCTTTCTGCTGGACTGTCACTGTGTGATGAGAAGGATTTCCCTAGGATTTCTATATCCACCACGTTACTGTCTGTATGTAGTGATGAAATGGAACTCCCAGTGGCAGATTTAGTACACACTTTTTTACTATTACTCCACTTGTTGAAAGTTGTGTAATAGGGAATGCCTTCAATGACAGACGCGTTTGAATTGGACCGCAGGTTCTTTGATATTGTATATGTCTCTGGATCAGACTGATCTGTGTTTGATAAGCTGGTATTACTAGTTACTGTTGTTTCAGCCTTTTGTAGTTTCTCAATAGCTGATGATTGAGATATGTTGATAAGTTTTGCACCTTTCCCAACAATACCAGCAATTGTTTTTGAGAATGATTTTTTCCCTTTCTCTTCTACCTGGGAGACAGTTATGTCATTTACTTCATGTGCTGACACTGAAATTGATTTCCTCTTTTCCTTCTTAGCAGCTTTCTTCTTTTTCTTTGACGAACTTGGTTTATATGAAGCACTGTCGTTCCAGTCAAGTTCCTTGTTTGGGGTTGCAACCTTGCTGCTTGGGACTGAAACTTTGTTAGGAACAGTGACCTTGTTACAAGCAACAGTGACCTTGTTGCTGGGTGCTATAAACTTGTTACTAGTGCAGTGCTGACCTGTATCCTTTGAACACGAGGCACTTCTTTTCCTGTTGTGTTTCTTTTCAGTTGTAGACTGTGGCAACCTACAAAAAATATTTTTGAAATATGCTTTTAACACTTCTTATAAAGGAACAAGTGACTGCTTTCAAGTTTTCTTAAAGATTTCTATTTATGATTTTAGAAGTTTAAAAGGAAATTGGAGATGACCATTAATTCTGAATAGAAGTATTTTAAATTGTTGTCTTTTGTTCAGGCAATGAATTGATCAATACAGGATCTCTTGTTACTTTTAGCTATTGTAAACACAATCGTACAAAAACAAAACAAAAACAAAAGAAACCCATATATATGCATATAAAAAGACCAATAAAAGACAGAGATTGAGAAACAGTCAATTCCAAACAAGTGACCATCTACCATGTAACAATGGGTCTTAGGGCAAGTGTATTTGGGGGAGGGGAAAATTAAAAAAAAAAAAAAATCCCTCATGACTGTAACAAAGTTTCAATCTTTTGATACACTGAATAATATCAAGACTTGAAATGTCTTGCAAGATTGGGTCGAAATGGACAAAATGCAAACATGTAATGTTAGGTGTTTCCATGGGACATATAAGATACATAGATACAGAATTTGGCAGTTTTAGTAGAGTAAAACATAAGATCTTGATAAAAGGACTATAAATCCATTAGAACAATAAATATTAACATCAACTACATCTACAGGCCAGCAATATAGATATTCTACTGTACTGAATGTTTTACTATAATTTTAATCTCTGATCATGAACTTAAATGTTATGAATGTTAACTAAATATCAACATGAAGGTATGCTACTATTAGCCTTCAGCTCCCTTAGACACATTTTCCTTTGTTCTGTAACATCTTAGTATACTTCATGGACAGAATTTCTTCTTTTGCTGTAATATACTTACTGTGCCTGATCTTTAACCTTTGAATTGTCTGGAGGTTTGTTATCTGTCCCAGATTGGTGTCGTTGATTGCGTCTATGCGACCCCCCAGGCTGAAACTCAGGTTGGTCGGCCATAGGCGAGCTCCTGTCTCTGGCTCATGCCAGATGAAATATACCCTGAAACAGCACAAAAATCTTTCCTGAAATGTCGGTCTTTTCCAATTTCCATGTCACAATGTGATCTGTATCTGTTGATGTTTTAGAATAAAATTTTTTTTTTAAAATTGCAATGGACTTTGAATTTCAAATTTCAGCTTTTGAAGCCTAAAACGACATTATGACTTTTTACCAAAATATCTTGCTATGTTAGAAACATTCAGAATCACAATCTTGTTTACTATAAGTAAACAGAAGCTTTGCTATACAGGAACTTTGCTGGTTCACATTCATAGTAATGATCCTGGGTTTTTATTTTAAAGCAATGCATTCTCAAAACTGAAACTGATTCTTTCTATTTTCAGTTCATTTTCATTCAATGAATAGTAATGGCCTTTACAGGCTTTTATGATTATATACAGCTTAAAATGTCAAACTACTAATTGATATCCAGGGGTCCACAGACATCATAGAGCAAGGAGATGTGTTTTCTTTCTTTTTGAAACTGTCCACTGGAGCTTAATTTGAAAAGATTTTGTTACATTTTACGTCAAATTTGGATACCACGCATAACCATACATGACAGTTTGTCAGCTGGACTAAGAAAATTGTTTTGAAATGACTCAAATTCAGATGGTAGGCCTATTGCAGTACAATGAATTGTAAACATGGCCTTCTTGTCAGATTGGTATTGCTCTTAACCTGTCATTTGTCAACAGGACCTACACAATAACTCAAAGGGATGGACTTACTGAAAGACACCGAAACAGAATGTGACCAGGCATTGGGTTATTATTATCCTGTAAATACACTTATTAAGAGAGTATTCACAAGGTCACACAAATTCAGAAAACAACCATTAATTCCCAATTAGCAGTTCCTCTGCTCATTTTAAATTCCAGTCCATCCGTCTTTTCCTAAATAATCCCTCTTGACTTGACTAAATATAATATGTACAATATATCATAAGCAGTTTTGGAAAAAATCTATCCATAAAGAATGAAACTTTTCAATGAATATAGAACATTTTCACTTGACCTGACATAAAATCTGGTACCCTAGGCTTTGTTGACTGTCCAAAGAACAATTTGCATTGTTTTTTCTTTTCTCTTTTAAGAATTGTTTTCACTCATTACTTTATATTCTTTATACTTATTTAACTATTTACCACTGTACACAAACTTTTTAAAAATGTATTGAATGAAAATATTGGCCTTAGTAAAAGGATTTGAAGCATCAATGTATTTAAACTTAGACACAATATCTATCAGGACTATTGCACTGCACAAAAATCAATAAGTTGCTGATGTGCCTTTGTAAAAAATAACCAAATAAAATGGATTTGCTGCTATTTTGTACAACAAAAAGCATAATCAAATTACCTTTGCTTATAATTTTTTAATTATGATGCAAATTTTCCTATAACAACGCTGTTGACAACGACATAAAACAGCTGATTTTGATAAAAGTACAATTCTATACAAACCAAAACAAAATATGTGTCTTGGCATGTTTGCGTATGTAAGTAAATATGTGCTCCAATGTCACAATGTGCTTGATTCAAGCTACACGTAAACATACAAGAATAAGAAACACATCGAAAACAAATGGTAAGGATCACATTTCAACTTCAAACGCTTGTAACATAAGATTTGACTAGACTTCGTGGCATCCGAAGTTCCACTCTTCCTCCTCTCGGGATTCTCGCGTGATATCCATGAACAAGAAAGGAAAACAGCGACAATTAAAAGGCAAAATATTTCACAAAGAGCTACTTTTGATAAGAAGACACGGAATTAGACGATCATGTCATTGAACCACCAAAATAGCATGAACAAAAGCAGATACTGGTCTGGAAATTTCGCATCTGCTGCGATCTGACCATTGAACGGATTTCCGACTTACAGTTTTGTCATTTCTAAAGTTTACAATAATATCATAGAGTGAAAAAGATTCTTGTGGAATATTTCGAGAGTTGATTACCTCTTACATCCAGTTATTACAGTCTACTAAACCCTACAACATTGTAAAATAGATTAAAATTGCTGTCTTCTGCAGCCAGTTTTTCTTCTCGACTGTGTCTGTACAGATGATCAATTTATAGATGCGCACGCATGTCATGTTCCAACTTCCTGTACAATACACATTTAACTAGACCACATATTGCAGGTTCCAATGCCAGCACAGGTTTTTTTTTTCTTTTTTTTTTCTTTTTTTTACACATTTTCTTGTACTATTCTTTCTCTTTTCCACAAATAAAATCTGATATTTCAATCTATGTCCCATTCTTTTTTTCATTAAACCTATTTTTTTTCAAAGCTGCATAATTCAATCAAGGTACTAATGTTAGCATTGCATATATTTCTTTCTGATATTATCCTACCCCTGTTCTCTCAATAAAGTTTCTACGAGCAAGGTAAGAACATATTTCTGCTTACTTTCCTTATCAAATTCATTTAATTCTATTCCTAGTCATGTTCTACAAAATTCCAATATACGTTTTTCACATACATGGGTTTCCATGCATTTTCAACAAGAAACATGTTCAATGAAAAAAAAAAAATAATATCAAACATTTAACTAAATAAAATGATAAATTTGTACTGATTTTCATGAATCATATAAAAAAGGAAAGGAATGTAAGATTCTGTTTAAGAACTAGTTTATATATCTTGTAAGTGCATGTATTTGTTACAATAGTGTTTTAGACTGATTATGAAATGCAAATGTGGCAATATTATGTCTCCTCATTTCCTTATTTGGTGACTGTACAATGTATATGATGTTATGGAGATTTGACGTTATAGCAAAAATAAATGGATTTCCTAAAGTTAATCACAGAAAAGATAAGTAAACAACTGTAAGCTTATCTTTCTGTATTAATCCTAGCAGACTAGCAATGCAGGAGCATGATGTTTTCTCAAGCAAACCAAAGCACCATTTGATTATTTTCCCTTTTTTTAATTACAGAATCCATACAAATGTAACGAGTATGATGATTTCATAACTTGTTCAATAATGGGCAACATATAAAATTTTTCCACATTCAATTGTAAGTGTTGTTATTTTCTACTCAGGGGATTCAATTTTTCAATATTTTCAAGGATAGAAAAGAACTATGAAAACAGACTTTACAATAAAACTTATAAAGGAAATAATATCCTATGCGATGGTTTTCGTGAAAATGCATCCACTAAACATCATTCTTGTGGTAAAACTGGGAAAGTTTGCACGACGGAAGTATGACTTTGACAGTACTAAGCTAAAGCCAAATGAAATGAAGAAAAAGGTGTAAGGTGTTATGATACGGTTCAAATTATCATTTTTGAAACAAGTACATGTAATACCAAAAGGAAAATCAATTTAGAAAATACTTTCGATAATAGTCAACATTTTCTGTTTTTCTACTCTGAGGGAGTTTTCTCTTTTTTTTTTTTTATTAGGTGATTTGCTGTTGAAAACATACAACAGCTGATTTATCCTTACATCTATTCATAATCATACATACAAAGTATGGTGATCCAGTTTTAACCATTGCTAAAGTTTTGTCTATGAAAATGAAAAATGAGAGTAAAGAGGCAGAAATTTCAACCAATCGGATGCCTCAGTATGGTTGATATGGAAACAAAACTCATGTGCTATTGAGTTTACACTCTTTTAAATCAGCTCAAATACTACAGTTTTATCATAAATTTTGGTTTGGTTGCTATGGATGACAGCATATATAAGCATACTCTATATTTGCACACCCACACCAATACCTTACGGAGAAAGATTCATATGAATCACACAAGTAATTTTTATGAAAACTTAAATTCCATTTTTAGCAGTAATTTTCATGACCTTTGACCTTCAGTTATGAAGATCTATCCCATCTGACGATCCAGACAAGAAAAATCTCAAGTTGGAGAAAGTTTCCAAGAAGTTGTCAAGTTCATGTATGCTGTGGTTCATCTGCTGGATTTTCCATGGAAATTAGACTTGACAAAGTGACTAATTATGATGTCTCCCCACACTAATGTGAAGGAAGATATGTCATCCTTAATTAAAAGAGTTTTATACTCATTCATAAAATTTGTTACTGATCTAACTGAAATTTAACAATCATGGATATATCAATTTGTATACAAAATTTAGTTAAAATTGAACACAATAATATGGAATTCAGATGTTAAATAAAAACTAGTCACCAACTTCAAGTCAGGGTGGCATCAGTCTAACAGCAAAGTCAGCCTTGTATTGGTTCACCAGAACAAATTTTGATAGTTCCAATCAGACTGAAACTGATAAATGCTCGCCACACACAATTTTATTAACACAAGATTCTAACAAAGAAGAATAATTCTGTAATAAGGGAGTATTGACAAATTGGTATGACAGAGGTATACACCAAATGATTATCGTCTTTCAAAATACACGCCAAGTAATGCTTTTAACATGAAAATTTTAATAAAGGGCAGTAACTCTGTATCTAAGGGGTTGCATGCCCTGAATTACACTGCACATTGTATTAGTATGACCAATGTATACACCAAGTTCCATGATCCTTGCTGAACTATGGGCAAAGTTATGTTACAGACATGAAAGAAAGTAAAAATGGACAAAGTGGCAACTATATGCTCTCCCAAAAAATTTACAGGAAGCATAAAAGTCAGTCATCCTTGAACTTGACCTCTGGGTTCTGTAGAGATGCTGAATCTTTGTATAAGCTTGTGTTATTCTTTTCCGACAGCTATCAACTTTTACATTTATTAACTTTCAACTGTAACGAGGCGTCGCACACAATACAAATACCCACATGCATCAAATTTGTATGACATGGAAAAAGTTAATGTAAACCTACATGTGTTCACAAAACATCGCCTCTTTTAAGAGCTCGGATATGTACCCTCTGCAGTGCAAATGTAGGTTTCATTTTTTTTTTAAATGAATATCTCAGTTGAAGTCTACTGTAGTCAAACTGCAGCCTTTAGAGCAGTGACATCTAAATTTCAGCGAATTTCTATTTATAGTAAAGTTGACCTAGTTTTTTTACCACAGCAGGTCAAAACTTGCACTTGTAAAAAAAAGCAATCTTTGTGCACATGTGTGAGGTTTGTAAGAATCGGAGAAGTGATGGAGCCTTTAGAGCAATGATGTGAAAATTTTGTTGGTTTCTTTTTATAGTAACGGTGATTTAGTATTTGACTGCACAATGTTTGAAGTCAAAATCGTGTAAAAAGTGATGTTTGTAATCATGTGTCGGGTTTGGAATATTTGGATGAGAAATGCAGCCTGTAGAGTGGTGATGTCATTTTTTTTTCTCCATACAAACATCTTTTTTTTTGATAATGTTGAGGTGCATGTTTTAATGTGAATGTTGATGAGGTTAACAATGTATTTGTAGATGATGATGATGCTTCATTCAGTCATTGTGATGATGATGATGATGATGATGATGTACATATGACATGGATAGGATGATGATGATGCATGTGTTTTGATTAAGATGAGAATATGACATACATGTGCTTATGAACGTGAGGTTAAAAATGTAAACTATTGGATGATGATGATGATGATGATGATGATGATGACGACGACGACGATGACGACGATTGTATTGATTTAGGATAATGATGTACATTATAGATGAATTTCATGATGATGATGGATGGGTGGATGTTAGTGTTTTTGTTGATATTTGTATACTTCAATGTTTAAAATTGAAAAAAAAAGAAGTAAAATAAAAAAAGAAAAAACACAACTGTTTGTACAGAGGGTTTGATAATACTATATTACAGCTTGTTCTCATTGTCTTCGTTCATAGCAGTAACATTCGTGAATTTACTTCAATATGAAAATTTGCGTTAATTGCATTGAAAAAAGATTTTGTTCACAGTACTCCTAACAATTGTGCTAAAGAAATAACAAAAGTACAGACAATCATGAAGCACATTTTAATTTATATCTAATCAAGACACACATTTGTTTCAGAGACACACTCACAACCACAAGATACATTTTCTTCATAAAATAACATTATTGAAACGTTGCTGGATTTGAAATTTTCGTTTGCTTTTCCTTTCAAGTCAAAACCGAGCAACAAAAACCATTGCATTCTCATTTTTCTGAGATTTATTGAAATGCTAGATTTCCTGTTTGAACTTGCATATCCTTAATAGCAGGACAAAACTTTAACCTTCAGATATGACCTTATGCAAAGCATCTGAAGTTGTTTGTAAAATTCGACTATTTTTTCATTTTTGCATTTTTTTGATATTATCAGGTAAATTTTCTTTTCTAATATAATGTGTATTATGTAATAATTATTCCAACTTACAAGAAACAAACCTGTTTACATATTGCCTTGAACATTTAATTCAAAATTGCTTCTATAACTTTCCACGGTACTTAGTAAAGGCTGTTCTACTAAAAATATCTCCCAACCCAGATTCTGAAATAAATCGCGAAGTTCTATTTTTGTCATTACCTCTACGGGTGATTACAAAAACCCAACTTGGATGTCATTTCATTAAGTATAGATTTTATCACGTCTTCACACACTAACATACTGTGATGATTTTTATACCTATACTGTTTAGCCACAGGTTTACATGACTACACTGTAACATAGTTTTCTTCTGCAATAAGCGGGTCAATCTGTTTTTCCAAGTACATTTCAAGATAAGCTTTTTCGCAACAAGATCCAGGTAGTCATATAATGAGCTGACAAACATATAAAAAGACTTCTGTTTCAACCAGTGAAATCGTTGTAAGTTATATGAGGGAAAATTTGTCTTGATTCCTTGTAAAACCTTCTAGTTAAAACTCATTCACACCAACTAACACACACACCCTTAGATCACATGCTACATATATTACAAAACTAAGGTAAATCACACTAACTAGTATGTAAAGTGTACACAACCTTTACAAGCACTTTTTATACAAAATTCTAAAATGGCGATACATACTTGTGCACATAACATCAAACTAAACAGGGAAAGCTATATGTTGTGTCTTTTCTGGTAACGATACCATGATCTGAAGTGACAACAATGAGTAGTGGACGATGAAACAAATTCCTCATGACTGGTTCTGAATCGTAAGTTTATATACATGTGTATCAGAAACAATTACTCTGATGTCTGAAAGGTTTGCTCGCGTGTTCAGTAAAACTTCTATGATTATACAACACATTCAAAAGTTAACAAACCAGTCCATAATGCATAAATGAAAATGTGGTCAAAGTTAAATGTGCCATCAAATCAGAAAAAGACTGGTGAAGGTCACAAGTGTGACAAATAGATAGATGGACAGAAAGTATCAGAAAAAGACTGTGAAGGTCACAGGTGTGACAAATAGATAGATGGACAGAAAGTATCAGAAAAAGACTGGTGAAGATCACAAGTGTGACAAATAGGTAGATGGACAGAAAGTATCAGGGAAAGACTGTGAAGGTCACAGGTGTGACAAATAGATAGATGGACAGAAAGTATCAGAAAAAGACTGGTGAAGATCACAAGTGTGACAAATAGGTAGATGGACAGAAAGTATCAGGGAAAGACTGTGAAGGTCACAGGTGTGACAAATAGATAGATGGAAAGAAAGTATCAGAGAAAGACTGTTGAAGGTCACAGGTGTGACCACCAGGATAGACAGAAAGTATCAGAGAAAGACTGGTGAAGGTCACAGGTGTGACCACCAGAGGATAGACAGAAAGTATCAGAGAAAGACTGGTGAAGGTCACAGGTGTGACCACCAGAGGATAGACAGAAAGTATCAGAGAAAGACTGGTGAAGGTCACAGGTGTGACCACCAGGATAGACAGAAAGTATCAGAGAAAGACTGGTGAAGGTCACAGGTGTGACCACCAGAGGATAGACAGAAAGTATCAGAGAAAGACTGGTGAAGGTCACAGGTGTGACCACCAGAGGATAGACAGAAAGTATCAGAGAAAGACTGGTGAAGATCAAAATTGCACAGAGAAAAAGAAGGGTAAGGAAAGTGAAAGGAGACACAGAGGGCGGGTGTGTGGTTGATTAGAGGGTACTGGGAGGAAGGGTAACATAAATGAAATGAAGCAAAGGAAGTAGGAGGGAAGAGAAGTGAAAGGAGATTCAGAAAGTGAAAGAGGGGAGGTAAGGAAGGGGAGAGCAAAAGAAGTGAATGGTGACACAGAAAGAGCGAATGAAGGGCAAAAGTGAATGGAGACACAGACAGCAGGAGGAAGGTAAGGAAAGAGAAAGAAGACAGAAAGTAGGAGAGGAGAGTAAAGGGAAAGGCAAGAGAGGGAAACGGAGGTAGAAAGAGAGGGAAAGGTGTAAGCTTTACAGATTAAGAAATAATTCAATGCAATTGTAAGCAGTGGGGGGAAGCTATGCGTAATACTAGAGACATTAACGTGAGACTAAATAAATACAATTCTATCACTATACAAATAAAATATTTGGAATGATAAGCCATCATTGGCACAGTGTCCATATTTCTAATCAACAGGATATATACACAATATCATGTATCCAGAAAAAAAAAAAAGAAGAAAAAAAAACAAAACGTTTTGAGATAATATATCTCAAAATAAAGACATGAAGTTGAGAACAATGTTCTTCTGTAAAACATCCTATATAGACTTGTGGTTTCAGTGCCATTTAAAACTGATATGTTTGATTTGCGATAGATCTGGTGTAAAACTTTTAAATTCTTTACACGATGAACCTGAACTACACACAAAATATTTGTATGTCAAGTCAAGAAATTTGTCAATTCATACAAAATATCATATCCTGTGTCACAAAAAGGTGTCAGCTTTCAAGGTACACGAGAGATGTATGAGGATAATAGTGAACCTTGAAGTGTAAAGATTCTGTCAGCATTTAACAGTATATACCAGCCGTGTGTTTATCATGGGGTAGTTTTATATTGATAGTTAATCATCATACACACTTGTGAGTACATTTGTACTCAGCTGACACATTTTTACCACACATGCTACAGAGTCAGATGTAGTTTGGCACACATTTTTAACCCGATTAATGAAAGTACGAATTAAGTAGCAATTTAACAAATTCAGAAATTAGGATACATTCGATTTTCTTTCTATACCAGAAAATTTTCATCATTATCAATGTTACAAACTGATACACACTTGTGTAAAATATTACCTACAAGTGTGTATGTAGCACCTTATAGCAATATTGGTCTATGACCTTAGAGTAATACTGACCATGAACACTAATTATCTCCCCTTTGGAAGCACTTGTTAGCATTTTAACCTAAATGTTAACCTGTTCTCAAATGCTTATCTGATCTCACAATAAAATTGTTCTTTTCACATTTTTTTTTTTACATTTGGCCTTTTATTGAAATCACTATGGAGGAATAACGACTTATAATAACATGAACAGATATCGTATTGTAGTATATTTAAAGACAGTAGATGTAACCAATAGAAACCGTGATATGCCAAGTTGCTGTATAAGGACACAACTACAAAGAGACTAATTTCCGGTATGAATCAGGTCCAAACAGGACAAAGAAAAGAGGATGAATTTCACCTCAGATACCGTCTTAGTTTCAGGATGTGAAGTATTAGGTACTGCTGTTTATCATGATCACATGTGACAAACACCCAGATAATTCTGCAATTGTTTTTGTACTACAACAGAAATGCCCTGGTTCAACATTATCATTGCCCAATCATGCGGAAGTTCTTTGGTTGAGAGAACCACTTTGGAAACTATGGTAGTTCCACACTGAATGTCATGGTCATCAGGGCAGTTCTTTAAGGGAATATGCTCCCAAACTGATAGTGTCACTTTCATCATATAACGTAGTAGAGCTGGCAAAGCTACCCAGTGTTGGTGAGATGGAATCCTGTAACAGAGAAAATGGAAGAATATAACTACATGTGTTTCTAACATCAAGCACAGATGCATTCATATCTCATGGAATAATTCTGTGTCATCTTGAACCATATCAACCAGGTTTCACTAATGGTGATGAAATTTTTATTGTATGCTAAAATCAACAGGTCAAAAAATCTTCATGGTCAGTCCCATTCTGGAATATCCTTGACATGGAAAATTAAGTGTAAAATCCTAATATTTGATTTTCTTTATAAACTCTGGATACCATCAGCTATGTATACCAAGTCACTTACAGTGAGGTCCATACAGCTAGCCAACCGTTTGCCTTGGAGGTTCCCACGGGGAGTACCTAGGTATCTCTCTCGGGAGTCTGCGAATGGACTGAAAGCATGTGATACACTGGACACAGCTCTCTTCAGCCGACCCGGGGTCTTGTTGAAGGAAAATGCTCGACTGACACGCTTACCCAGTCTGAAAAAAAGAAAAAAGAAAAAAAAAATATATATAGAAGCTAACATAACGTGATGGACATACTAATCAATATGCACCCAAGCTCCCTCTCCCCCTCCCGAGTTATATGATAAAACTGAATGAAAATTTTTATTTTTCTAGAGAGATGAAAGTTATTAACTTTACACTAATAAGACAGTTACAGTCTAAAGATAACCTGAAGTTCTTAAATTAGAAAAAGTTTGAAGTGTTTATTTTGACCATAAGTATAAACACATCAACAGGTTTAAGTTCACTGATTTACTGGAAGATATTATCTTTGAGTTCCCTGAAATCTTGATCAATAAGTAAAAAACGAACAAAAGGAAGAGGTTCCTGCAAATGCCAAAAACTGGCTCAGTAAGACAGCAGTATGTGAAAATATGATATTTGAAGTTTCAAATGCTACAATTCCGGCATGAACACAATAGTTTACTCCTGTCAACTACTTTATATAACTGTTTAATGTACATGTATGTCCTTTGCCTCTACTTCTGTAGACATGATACACAGGGTTGTATGGAGGGGAATCCCCATGTTGTACTATGTCAGTTATATCACCTGATATCTAAATGAAGCTGATGAACTAGTGACTGAAATTAGGAATATTCAAGTACTGACTAGTAAAGACAGTGTTTATATATAATACACAAATTTTCTTTTCAATTCCATGCTTATTTCATCAGTCAGGCATGTGTATTTGAATGATTCTCATTTTAGACATACACTTTGAATGTTATCAAATTTTCCCGTGGACCTGTTAAAATGATCTTTCTTTAAATGAGAAATCAATCTGACTACCAGCTTCCAATTTATGTGGTAAATATTAGCATAGAGTGCACTGAAATACCTTATGATAAAAAAAATCTGAAAATTTATATTGAAGTGTTTCTAGTTAAAGTTAAGAAAAAAATGTCCCATGCATCCCTAATTGTATATATCACTTTTACTTTAAAAAACTAAAATTAAACTTGTAAAAAAATTCCCTCTTTAACAATCACAGGTATTACAAACAAATGTTAATATTTCAATCGCAGCTTGTAAAACTACCAATTTAACTACAGGAATGATGATATACTTTTAAACATACATAATGTTAACACATTATCACTTTCCAGCAAATTAGCGCAATGATGGATTCTTGTATCAGTAAAATATGTTGTACATGTATATAAACAATAAACAGAAGCGACAGCGCAGTAATGTTTTAGAGTTACACTTTCAGCACAAAAAGTGCTAAAAGCAGACTACAACTAAAATACATGTTTACAGCATTCTCTCATATCTATACATGCACAATGGTTTATCTGATAAAATACATTAAGGAGGTTTTACTGGCAGTGTTCGATGTTTATCGTGATAAATACTAGATTTTTTTAGTTGAGTAAGGAAAAGAAAATGCTGTCTACAGTTTTTTTATAAATGGCACATAACGAAGAATAAAATATGATCCTGAAAAGCAAACATAAGCAAGCACTTCCTTCGAGCAAGCACTGGACAAATTCGGAGTAAAATTGGTCAAACAGAACATATAGTACAGAAGTAAATTCACAACCTTAACCTTTGACCTCTGGACCTGAAAAGCGACCTTAAGCAAGTACTTCTTGTAAGTAAGCAACAGATGATGTTCCTGGCATAAATTGACCAAACAAAACTTAAGAATTGTGCATAAACTGATTATAGAAACAGTTATCTTGACCTCCGACTGCTGAACCTGGGCAACAATCTCTAGCAAGCCCTTTCTTCAAAGAAGCACCGAATGTAGTTGGAGAAAAAAAAAAAAAACAATTATAATATTGATTACTGGTGCAACAGTTGATGTTTTGATCCATTGATAAATAGGTAACCACAACGAGCATGACCCTAACGCTTTTAATTATCTTCGTAAACAAACTCACGCAGGTGCCTGACTTAACAAGCATGGAAGGCTAGGATAATTGGATAATTAACAGCCATTAACAGGTATAACACGATGAGTATGAGGACACTGATGACACCCGGCTTGGGCTGAATGTGTGCAATTGGTCAGAAAATGGTGTTTTAAGTCTGAAAATGTTCAATCCTACCTTATTCCCATAAAAGCAGGTGATATGTTCAGTATTGGTATGATCTTTCATAGTATCTGTTCCCACCGCGGTGTCCGAAAATACTTAATGAATCCAACATTTAGAAAAACAGAAGATGCCTATAGTCACAACCCCTGACTAGAAAGGCCGACAGGGGTGGAGAGAGCTGTATAATTTCATATGCAATTGCAGACACCAGCATTGCTGCCAGTACATCAGAACTGGATGAGCGTGCCATGCAAATCCAGAGAGGCCATAAGGTCACAGACTTCAAAGTACGGACGATAATTATGAAAATGATTATGACCTGTTTTACCACAACAACGAAAAATCTACCGAGGCAGATTTCCCTTCAGTGTTCTTCTTTGACAGTGACAATGATGAGGAGGGATTCCAAGGATTTCAGTGACTGTGTTTGTGTAGTGCATCGTAACGAAAGTGATCGGTGACTGTTTAGTGAAACATAACTTCAGTGCTATGAACTGCTTCAGTCGTAAGTTGTTTTTTTATATATATAAAAGTAATGAATTGCATTTCGAAATTTATCTTATTCTTTGTTGTCTTTATCTTAAATCTATCATATACGACCAACGACTCTAAATATAACTATGTGAAGGGAGGTAATCCCAAATGGCGCACAGAGAACTGGAGAATGATAACGCCTAGAATGGCATGTTCCTGCATATAGTACGCACCCCCTTTTTGACACGACAGTTTATGTCTAAAAAAGTGTGCACTATACGTACAAATTTACAGTATTACAATTCCAATCTCTGATCAGAGGAATAAAAAAAAAGTAAATTCTCCGGAAACATAAACTAGTTCTGAGCTTGTCTGTCTTCACTCTCTGTTGCTCAGTTAATTATCATTGGATTAAATATCATCACTTGTTGGCTGGATAATAAATTCTAAAATTTAATTCGTTGCTGTTAAATGATGAACTACCGTTTATATTTATACTTTGTGCTGCATAGCCGATACTGGTAATAAAAGTATATGATTATTTCATACCTTGCTGCTTTACTGAAAAACAAAAGGCAACCAACTGTCATAATTTGCTGAAGTAAGCCAATGGCACACTGTTTTATGGCTGATTAATAATCAAATAAAAGTCATCATTTTCTGCTTAGCTGATGAATAAACAATTGTGCTGTTTAGTAACAATGAAATTCTATCTTGTTAACGGTTTGAATGACTTACCTTGCTGCTTTACTTATGCTATGCTTGCCCAATTCACTTGTATTAATGTGGAGATCTCGGCCAACGACAGTCACCATTAGAGATTCCTATCACAAAACATATAAAAATCATACAGTGTTCAAACCGGGACCATGTATAAAACGTCACTTGATACATAGGCATGCTCTGGTAAGTCTACACAGCTGTATGTCTGTAACCATGTAATTTCATAACTACATCAACATTTAAAACCAGGTGTGGAAACTTTAAAATAAATCCCAATTCGTACTCAAATTTCAGAGCATCACGATGGATATGTCACTCCAAGGGTGGGGAACAGTCTGAGAGTCATGCAGATTGTGAAAAAGCATGACGGAGATACTTACGTGATCAGCCATACACACTATATGGGAAATACTCTTTGTAAGCTGCGTCATAAATTCTTTCTTGCTTTCTTCTCCATCTACCATGAAGCTGAATAATTTTTCTGTCATCTCGGAATTACTTTTAACTATTACACCAAAGGAATTTCGACAATCTGAAAGAAAACGCTATGGTTAACTGCGCTTGAGAATAGACTACATATCCATGTTCATGATGATGCAAATGCCTCGGATAAAGAACACCTTAGTCTCATTTCTGTGACCTTTCTGTGACTTTTCTGTGGCTATTTGTCGCAGGTGATAAAAAATGCATGAATGTAATAATCAAAAGTTTTGTTTTTTTTCATCTTCACATATTATGATATTTTTAACTGCAAAAATTCAACTTTTTTTAAAAAAGAAAATCTAAGACATGAACGTCACTGCTCCTATCAATATATGTAGCAAGTTCTCGTGAATTTGCAGAAGCTGTCAAATATGACCTGTATCACATCTGTTACTGCGGAATTCGAGAGAGAGAGAAAAAAACGTAATATATTGTGTAGAACATGATATTATGATACTAGGGGATAAATGTGAACCAAATCTATTGAGAGGTTCTCTAGATATGACATATTGATTGGGAACAGGGCTAGATGGAAATGGGTAATACTGTAACACTCCCTCCCCCTCCTATAAAGTGGAGGAGCAATAGAACTGCAGTGACATGCACTTGATTTTTCACCGACACAAATAGATACCTCTAACAGTTCATGTGTTTTTCAGGAGAAAATGTCCCGTAGAAGCAAGCTCTTACCCTCGTTCTCTACACAGTCTAAAACACGTTTGATTGCCGCCAATGGTATTAGTGTCAGGTGTTTGAATGCCTTCTGCGGAGTTTTCAGGAGGGCTGGTGACTTAGAGCTGTTGAGATACCGCGACCGGCGCTTACATAGCTGAAACAGCAAAGGAATGTTAAATTGCAATAAAAGATTTATACAACACAAAGTTATTAACAGTTCACATATCTTCTTATGGCTGATGCAGATACCACAGGGTGGTAAATGAGGTAGAGGAAAATATGTAAGTTTTTTCTTTATAAAAGACTATTACAATTTTATGGCAAGGAAAACAAGCTTCTACAAGTATGAACAAGGATATTCCTGTGACAATATCAATGTTCCACCTCCAAAGGATCTGTATGGATCTATTTTCATAAAATTTCTTAATTAACTATCAATACATATGCAAATGCACTTGCAGACTGAACCAAGTTTTTGTCTAATTTTTTAACATTGAGCATTTATTTTTCTCTTTAACTTTTTTGAAAAGAAGGTTTACCAGGGTAATAAAAGTATCATATATTCTTACCTCCATACTGTCAGTAAAGAGAAACAGTGAAAGGGGCATTCCTCGACCACAAAGATCATCCGACAGCTCAATCACATCTATACGAGCGACAAACCGTCGATGTGATGACAGCAATGTGGGCTGTTGGTTACAACAATGAAAAATGACATCAAATTACAGTAGCTATGGTGAAAAGTTTAATATACAATGTATTATAGTTTAATTTTCATTAGAAAAATAAGACCTGTTTAGCTGACATTCTGTTTAATCAAATCAATACAGCGTGCCCAGCAAGGTGTATGGTGAAACACGTTCTGGTGTATCCTCACATGTTTTTAAGTATACAATGAACATTTCCACTGATGGCATTTGCTTTTATGTTAAAGTGAAACATCAGAACGTCAACTGTTTACAATGGTCAACAAATTTATCTGAAACATTCACTCATTATCAATACAGGAAACACTGGTAATTAATGGAATTTTTTTTAGCTTAATCAAAAAGTTACCATTTTCACCCCTGATACCTCAATCGCTAGTTGCTGGCAGAAATAGACTAATTTAAACTTGCTATAGATTCATATTATTTTAAGACTAACCACTTTTTGTAAATTTTTAAGATAAAACGTGGCATGCTTTTGTATAGTGTATTAAACTTTTTTTTTTGTATCAGAATGATGTGTGTTTACTAATGATGATGATGATGATGATGATGATGATGATGATGATGATGATGATGATGATGATGATGATGATGATGAAGTTGTTGTATGAGCACAGATGACAATGAAGATGAGAATGATGTGTTTACTGATGAGGATGATGGTGACATTTTAATTTTTAATTTAATGTCTTCATATGATAAGTATTGTTATGATCATGTGCTGTATGAAAATCTTGAATTTTTTTTTTTAAAATTACATAAAAAAAAAACGTGGTTAATACTTACAGGACAATTATCTATGTCATTCATGATCTCAAACATGACCACTTGATTCTCGGTCTTCCTCTTGTCCTCATTGATGTGTCTGTAATTATACACACATTGTCAGTTTCTGTCAAACAGCAGATATCTATTCTCCAGCCTTATCATCCATCAACCATCGTTAAATCACATTCATATAAAAGCATGTCTCAAACAGAAGAAAAACACTAACAGCTAACAGATTTATAGACCACATTTGTGTACCTAGTGATATGAATAGTTGGACCCGACCTACTGATCTTAATTGCTTACCTTGACAAACCTTTCAAAACTAATATCAATATGTGCAGATCCATCATGATTTATGCCTAAAATGTTACATTTGAAAAGTTAACGAACCAGTTTTTCTGTGGCAGCAAAAGTGGCCATAATATTAAATTTCCATATAATACTGCGGTCGAATATAACATATTGATTGTATATATGTAGTACGACACTCCCTCCCACAAAGCGTTTGTTTCACATACCTGAGAATATCCTTATCCATCACTGGCTAATACAGTGTTTTATCTGCTACCTTTCTGTCTAGACTATTTCTAACAAGATTTTTACATCAAATGAAAACATCAGTATTATTACACATTAGTTGTTTCCTGAAATCTCACTCCTTGGGAAGACATTTTTTTTTTTTTCAAAAATACCCACTGATACATATATTTAAGAACAAGAAAAGTAAACATCTTGCACTCACGTCATAACTTCTTTGAGGATATTGATGGCCTTTTCAAGCTTACTGTTGTCAATGTTGTCCTTTGGGGTATGCTTCATAATATCTGTATACAAAATTGTATAATTCTCACACCATACTCATCACATTATCACCTTACACAAAGGTATCAGAAAATTTCTTTAGAAGTCTCACATTGATATTTGAACCAATAATTTTTTACTTTACATTATAAATCAGTGTTGTGATTTTTTTCTAATAAAAAATACAGTCCAGTAATACTCTAATAAATTTTCATTTTTATTTCTGATTTCAGCTGCAGTTTGATTTTATTCTAAGACACATGGATCAATTAGCTAAAAGCATAACCTATCTATCCTTTACAACTTAAAGTTTTACAAAAATGGTAGTTTTCCCTGTACTATTGTATCCATCCTCGATAATCCAGGGGTTACACTCACTTTGGCTCTCTGTCTCCCGAGGACATGTCATGGCTAAATTGAAGGCACAAGATAAGTAATTTGCACAGAGTGAAAGTGATCGTAAACCCTACAGTATGCAGGATGTATTGTATTAAACTTTAGTAGATTCCACTAAAGTCACATTTGCAATGACAATGATGATCTGTTAAATTGTGTTTCCCAGTTTTGGAGGGGGGGTGTTAAGGTTGGAGATACCAAGCATTAACTAGCAGCAACTGGACCGACAGTAAACACAAACCATTAAGTAGTAGTGCAATACTGGGAAGTCGCTGGACAGGCCGGATTAACAGCTCGGTCAACGTCTGTCGTCCACATTCCGGTTTCGACTGACACACCTGTGCAATAATACGATATTCTTTTTATCAACAAGGTCTTTAACTGATATCTTGTAGCTTACTGTGACAGCATGTATTTTTGTGGGATCCAAATTTTTGTGTGATTTCAAACTATGCAAAATCTGGACTAAAAAATTTCAGATATTAACATACCTAACCACCTCATGTGAAATGGATATCATTGTCCATTACCCTATAAAAAAATGTTATGGTGCAATATGGAATTCAGTTAATCCAAAGAACAGTTCACATACTATTGTAATAGATCATGAAAGATGTTGTGACACATACTTACCTTCAGAAAGGCGTGAAATCTAGGGTTAGTTTTATCACATTTAGCTATGGTTTCTTTCGTTTGTTCAAAATAGTTGACAAATGGTGGGTACGCTTTCATCAGAGCATCCGCCTGAAACATCAAATGTTGACACATTGGTATTAAAAGGGGCTGTTTGAGAACAGCATAGCATGGCCATAGATGACCAAACTCATGTATATGCAAATTTACTCCATTTAGGTCCTATAAATTAGATAATATAGTTCAATATATTGCTATATCCTCATTGAAATTTGCGATCTAGAACAGATGGAAGGAACTTCAGATTAGAAAACTTTACATTGTGAGGTAGGATGCCTCTGACACTAGCGAGATTACATCAGTACCCCTATTCCTTGAATAGAAGATTTAAAAAGAGACGTCTAGAGGAGCTGCTCGAAACCAGGAATAATAAAGAATTTTACCACAAATCTAGAAGAAATAAGGAATCTTTGTGAAACATACAAGATCAAACTCCAATACTCAATTACAGAAATGGCTATTGAGGGGTTAGTCTAATATAACTGACATTAATTCATCACAATCATAAATTTAACAAATATGGCAATGATTCAAGATCTTTGTGATAACAACAGACACAAATCCCACGTACATGGTTAAGGATGACATCGCCTATTCCTTTATCTTCACTCCAGTTCTCCACGATGCCCTGTAGTTCCTCCCAAATTTGACAGTGGACATCATAGATTGGTGGAATGTTGCCAAAAATGACTTTGACATGTTGTGGAGCCAGCAGGGCTCCACTGTACTGATTGGTCTTCTCCACCTCTGCTTTAAAAACCTGGTCATATAAAAAAAAAACCGCAACATTAGGGGTAATGTTGATAGATATAACACATTTCTAAATGACTACTAAAGCTTGAAATTGAAGAAAGGGTAACAGAATGAAATTTTGTGGGTGTCATGTTAACAAAGAAAACAAAATTCTGTCGGGGTTGCTAGAGGTAGCAAAAAAAAATTGTGTGGATCATTTTATTGGATTTGACAAAAATTCTATTGTGTATATGCATGGGTATTGAATAAATCTTATTGTATGGGTGGTTAGGGTGAAAAAATAAGTGCCTTTCTCCATTTCCTGACCCCTCACATTTAATTCTGAAACAGCTCTAGCGACTAATCGCTGCACTTAATCAAGGTTCTAACGATCTGTATTTTAAATGTTTTAAATTTGGGACTTCACATTCACAAGCTCATGGCTTCCATCAGCTGAAAAAAAAACAGTAGGAGGGCCACATCATTGTTCTATCAGAACACCAAGGTATATACTGCCTAATAACATTAACTTGGGATTAATGGGAAACATATAATTCAAATAAAGAAAACGATCACTGCCAGAGTGACTTTACAGATGCTGGCTCCTTGAAGTAGTTGGTGGGTACCTTAATGAACGTCATACAGGAAGTATGTTTTATGCCATCAAGAACAATTAGGGTGTTGCCCATGGACACAACTACCTCTGCACAGACAGGTCAGCTTCTCAGCTTCCTGAGAAACACAATCTGCCAACGGTAACTTTAAGCTATACGTCTCAAATCTTCACCTGAGGATACGTAGGCCAACGTTTTACAAACTAAGCTATCATGGCCCCTCATAGATTGGCATTATGATATTTACAGTAAGAATTGTGCTCAGGATTCCAACGTAGTTTTTTTCTGTCTGTAAAAATTCCATTACAACCTGCTGTCTGGGCGTGATCTTCATTGATAAATTGGAGACTTTCTCTTTCTGATCTTCTAAGGAATAGAGAGTTAAAGAAATCATTATCAGGCAATTACAACAGAATATTGAACAGGTGTATCCAGATCAACTGGTTAGGTATCTTAATGTTTGTAGTTTATACAACAAAACCAAAACAGTCGATACATAGAAGAAATCTTCTAAAAACAATCAATTATTTCAATAGAGTTAGGTTTTCAAACACTCTTAAATACTTATCATCATTTCAGCAGTTTTCTGATGTCTGTAAAAATACGTGATGATTTATGCATAATATCAAACTTCCAATCTTTAATCGATATCAAGAATTACAGACTGCTATTTATTGTTAATAAAGTAAAAATAAGTGAACTATAATGAGATTCTCAACCAGCAAAAACAAGATCAGGCTTCGAAAATTAAGTGAGAAATTTAGACGATAAGAAAACATAATAAGAAAGCATTTAGTGTCAATTTATTTCAAGTTTATATCATCCAACTGCATTGCCAAAAATACTTTTATACTCTGCATTGTGAATTAAATATAACAACAGGTTTTGTTTTCACTGAAACTGGATTTAGCCTATCAAAAATTCAATTTCAATCACATTAAACTTTTATTCCATACAATTCTATCTATAATGTTGTAACTTATCTACATGTTCCAGACTTACCTGTAACATAATCAGATTTATCAGGTGTATTGGAGGCATCTAAGAATGAACTCGGACTCATGGAGGTACGTCCCATCTCACTGGATCTTCGCTTGTAGAGTGGCGAGTCAAAGTCGCCCTCACCAGCCAGCTGTGCAATGTTTTCCTTTAACCGTTTCCTCTTCCGTGACTTGGACCCTGACATGCATCGTCCAGGTGTGAATATCGGGTTAGCAGAGGAGGGCATCTGTACACAAGAAATATATCTTATATACAAGTTTTGTCTCTTTCATAAAAAACAGCAGTAAAACTCATTGAAGTTATTATATTATGGAAGAAACACTCATAAAATATTTGCAAAGTGATAATCAGTGACTATAACTGAAACTTGTTTTTTTACAAATCTAGTCGTAAGAATTCAATTCTACTAGGTAGATCCAGCCTCCCAAACCAATGTCTAGAAGGAAAGCTTGTTTCAAGTACCTTCACTGACCTTATAATTGTAAGCATGCTCAGAATTTTTTCTATTCTTTCAGCACAAGAATTCATATTTACTAGATTCAGCCTCCCAAACCAAAGTCTAGAAGGTAAACTTGTTTCGAGTAGATTCACTGACCTTATAATTGTAAGCATGCTCAGAAATTTTTTTATGAATTTGTAAGAAGAGAATACATTCCAACTCAAATTCCAACATAATATTTAATCATTATCAAAGACTGGCATGTTTGAATGAGTGATACTGTTAAGGGTTTTTAGAAGTAACAACTCACCTTCTGATATTCTAGCAGGTTCTCATCAGCACAAGCCTCCATCTGTATACTTCCCCAAAACCACTGAAATCATCATCAAAAATGTCACACTTAAAATGATTCAGACCAAAAGCAAAACAGTTATTTATATTTTTCCAATACTTTGACAGGCAGTTTAGTCTTGAATGTTGGAGTAAATGGAACAGTGTGTCGTAGTAAATCTCTTTATATTTTCAAACTTCTATAAAATTTAACAGATTTGGACAAGATGGACAACACCTTTGAGATTTAGTTGAAAACAAGATCTCATGCAACTATATGTCTCACTGTCTTCCTTTGACACTTAAATGGATATATGAAAAAACAAAAATAATCCTGGAATGATACACCCAAACAAATACTAATTTTTTTTTTATCTGTTTCACATTTCTATGTCTTGCTTACATTCCTCTGTTGCTGTGAGACAAAAATATTATTGTTTCTGGTTTTGTACTTCCAATAAGATGTGAACTATCTACCAATATCTCATAACATAAATGCATTTTAATAAGAATGGCCTCAATTCCTCCATGGTTCAGCCAGACTGATTGCCACTGACCTCTGCCTTGACAACATAATGTGGCAGCATGGTGCTAGGTGGCAGCTCCTTGGTGCTGTGGTCATCCACCACCAGGTGTGTACTCTCATCATCTCCAACTGCCCCAAATGTGCCCCCTTTTAAAAAGAATAGTCAGTTAACAGTTAAGTCACAAGAGGCTTTCATAGGCCAAATAACTCATCCTCAAGTATGATACTTTCAACATTTATTGGCCGCAAGCAGAAGCATTTTCATACAACTTGCAAAAATTTTAAAACATGACTTTAAAAGTCTGGCTTTTTTCATTCATATTTTTACCATGTAGTAGCATGTCATAATAATTCATTTCTTTATAAATGACACCAAATTGGCTTGAGGTATCGCATGTACTATACAAAACTTTACACCAAAATATTTTCGCCCTCTCTTTTGTACCAAAGACTGAGGATTTCTGTGAGCTGGACAACAAAGTGATTTCTGAATTCAAATCTATTGATATCAATCTGTCGGTAATTTTAGAACCTCTCACCATTTTCTATAGTCAATTCTTCCATATGTTTTTGTTCTTCTTTGGAAAATCCAAGGAAGCTGAGACAGCACTTGTAGAATGGAGGCACTCTGTGAACCATCTGAAGAAAATAGAATGGATGTAATGTGTGAATGAAATCAAGCATATGTTCAAATCTACAACTGACTGCTCTTTTTGGATTTTTTTCCATCAGTATATTTCTCAAGTACTGAATTTTTCTGGTAAGAAATCCCTGTGTCAGAGTAATCTTGACACGTATACTTGAAAAGTATTTTGAAAATTATTGGTTCTGTCAATTTTTGTTTTTCTCTAATTTGTTTAACTTATGATCATGTCAATAGTAACTGCATTACGTGGTAATTGCAGACTACTTTGACTGAAGTAACACTTCTATATAGACGTTAGATAGACAAGTAAACCAAGCACATGAAAATTAGGAAAATACCCGGCAACTGCTTTCTAATAAATAGCAGAATATTTTGATATAAATCTTATTGGTTATTACACATACTTCAATATGCCACCAAGTTAAAAAATTAATAACAGCACAGCAGGAGGAATTTAGTCATGAAATTAGATAAAGACTGTGCATGGTGATGATAATTGTTCAAGTAAAAATCAGAAGTGGTCACCTGCTAGTGATCAAGTTCTCCCAAAGTGACATAGCACATGTGCCTCCATAAAAAAAATTGAGAATTCCTGAGATGGCAATCCACTGGTTTCAGTGTTAAAATACTATTACTTCAAAACAGACTTCTTCTGATTAATAGGAAAAACAAAAATTTTCAGCCAAAATATTTCATTTCAAACTTTTCTGAACTCTATATTAACTTATATTTTTCAAATATTTTAAGAGAAGCTTACAAGTTTGGCATCTGTGCCTTTTATCCCAAGATTGTTCCGTTCCTCCCATACACGATACAGCCAGTCTGAACTCATTATGGGGGTTCCAAAACTGACAGCAAACTGAAAACAATGTCACTATTATTTTAAAATGACAATTAAAAATGAAACAAAAGGCCTAGTGGCCTTGACTGTCACCTGAAATAAGCAATATTGAATATAAAGGTTAATGATAGTTATCAAGTGTCATGATATAGAAATTGTGACACTGAATATAGTAAGCCAGTGTCAATACATGCATGCCATTAAAACTGTCATCCTATACTAATAATTCTTACAAAATTATTTCCAGTGGGAAATAACAAACGTTATGCAATTTCACAAGTAACAAACATGTATTCCTCTAAAGGAACAATCGCATGAAAGTAAATTTTATATGACGTCTATAACTTGATTAATAATTGTTTGCGGTGTTCTATTGATGAAGGGAACAGCCATCAGAAGTCATACGCTGCAGTCAATATTCAGGTCTACTGCACAATGCAGAATTAGTATAATTACCAGGTATTACGATTTTCAGATTCATTTTCATATATATACAGGGCTCTCACTCCCCATTTTGGGACTGGGGCCCGGGGCCTTAGAATTGGGAAAAATAATGGTGTTTTCCTTAGAATTGGGAAAACTTGGGGTCTAAATTGGGGAAAAAAGATACTATTTTGCATTGGGAATTCGGCCCCAAATCTGGCAGATCGAGAGCCCTGATATATATATATATATATATAAAGGTGGTATTAGGGTGATCTGAAGCATCTAAGGAGATCCACAGTGTATACAGCTATGGTGTTTCATCATAACGATCAAGTTGATTGGGACATTTTTCAACACATTAGTATTCTTACCCTGTACTTTTCACCCTCTGTACTGTTGGCCACCAAGTGTGTGACCTTGGTGGTAATCTCCTTACGTACACTGCCACCCATGTGGTGAAGGAGGTCTGCAAGAGGTGCCTGAGGACAAAAACATTAAACATCTAGCAATCTACATTTAAAGGACGACTACCAATATATATAAATTACTGTATTACTAGTCCAATATTAAAATCTGAATATAAATTGTCAAAGGATAAAACAAAATTGAAAAATTGATTTTCAATTACGTTCAATTTGTTTTGATTTTTTTATTTTGTTGGATGGAAACTGATGTCATTACAAGATGTTGGGGAAGGTATCATCTCTGACAACTCACCAGTTCCTCGCGTCTGTTGAAGCCTGTGAAACATGTGATGACGCCCTGCATGGCTGTACAATAAAGGGGACGACTGTGGAACGGAATTGGCTGTAACCATAAATAATAGTGAAATTGAATTGTCTGTAAAATTTACAGTCATATGACATATCTCATTTAGATATATGACCTTCTGAAGTTATTTACTGGTAGGTTGGAAGGTTGGCGCAAAAAGGGATTCTGAAATTTTACAAATGAAACTGACTCAAAGAACTGAATATATGAAAACATTTATTGGACATAAGCCCATGCCTGGTAATAAATCCATCCATATCTAAGACTGTTGTTTATCCTTCAGTAGGCCCATCCATATCTGTAGCTGTTCTGTAGAATTACAAAAAATACCCCTCATCCCCAAACTTTTAGATTGGCGTTATGCATCCCCCTTTCTTGCCCCTCCCAACCCCTCCAACTTTGTAAACTCTAGCTGTAGGCTTAATTCAAGATAATTATATACATTTGTCAGTATTCTAGTTCCTGATGTTTGAGGAAGGTTTGTCAAGTAATAGTTAAGAGAAATGACTGGTCAAGGAAAATCTTCACATATTTACAGAATAGGACAAGACATATCTTAACATATTTTCAGGTCAGGACAAGGAAATTCTTTAATTTCCAATCAACTATACAGATCTATTGACTGAAATTGTTCATCAAGTATATATGTAAATTTAAACATAACATAAGAGATGATGCCAAGAATGAGTAGGAAGACCTTTAGAAGTTTATATGGTGTGAACATATAGTGTGTAAATTAACCTACTGAGTAGGAAGACCTTTACAAGTTTATATGGTGTGAACATATGGTGTGTAAATTAACCTACTGAGTAGGAAGACCTTTACAAGTTTATATGGTGTGAACATATGGTGTGTAAATTAACCTACTGAGTAGGAAGACCTTTACAAGTTTATATGGTGTGAACATATGGTGTGTAAATTAACCTACTGAGTAGGAAGACCTTTACAAGTTTATATGGTGTGAACATATGGTGTGTAAATTAACCTACTGAGTAGGAAGACCTTTACAAGTTTATATGGTGTGAACATATGGTGTGTAAATTAACCTACTGAGTAGGAAGACCTTTACAAGTTTATATGGTGTGAACATATGGTGTGTAAATTAACCTACTGAGTAGGAAGACCTATGGTGTACAAGTTTATATGGTGTGAACATATGGTGTGTAAATTAACCTACTGAGTAGGAAGACCTTTACAAGTTTATATGGTGTGAACATATGGTGTGTAAATTAACCTACTGAGTAGGATAACCTTTACAAGTTTATATGGTGTGAACATATGGTGTGTAAATTAACCTACTGAGTAGGAAGACCTTTACAAGTTTATATGGTGTGAACATATGGTGTGTAAATTAACCTACTGAGTAGGAAGACCTTTACAAGTTTATATGGTGTGAACATATGGTGTGTAAATTAACCTGACAGAATTACACGACTTGTTTTAGTTTGTATATATGACATAACCGATATATTTAAAATCAGCTGTAAGTGTTACTATTCACCAAGGAAATGGGGATATACACACACTTACATATTTGTTTTTGGCACATTGAAATACAATTGGGGGCCCGATGATCCTTGCTTCAGCCTTTAAAAGCTTGTGGTATACCTCCCCCTCAAACGCACTGAGGACAAAGACACTTTCTATCTCCGAGGCCCTGCGTATCAACTCCAGTCCAGTGTCAGACTCTTCCTGATCAAGTTCCAATGCCTATAAAATATCACAGAAATGTAGAAATAGGTAATGTATGTTGTAAAGGTGCTGGAGACATAGAGATAAGGAATTAAAAGTGACATGGTGGAGAGAGTTACAATTCTTGTCTTTTCAAAGTTTTGAAAAATCACAGCAGTGACAGCAATCTCTTGATGTTTAATCACCATACCACTGGAAGTATCTAATGATCATAGCATTCAGCTTTAATAAATCATAGCTCAGTTTCCTAAACAAGATTTCAACAAAAGATCATAATTCAAAAAGAAAAACAAACTGCCTTGTACAGTTCTGATAGACAGTATAATAACATTTATTTCACTGCAGTATTTTTTCCCTCTATTTTACAGCTGTTTCCCCCAGTCAAAATTGGAGTCATTTTCCCAAAATGAAGCAACTTCAAAAATATTTTCCTAATTTTCTGAAAATCCTACTTTATTTTTCCAATTCAACAAGGCAAAGGCTGCTGTAAAATCAACATAGAAAAAACGCTGTACTGTACCAAACAATCACTAGTATATGACATAAGTAATGCATGTTACTGGTATGCAATAAATCTCATATAATTTACAATCACAACTTCAGAGACAAAGTGCAAATACACTTTCACTGAGTGTGTACCTATGTTTCTAGATCTATAAGATGTGTAAATACACTTTCACTGAGTGTGTGTGTGTGTGTACCTATGTTTCTAGATCTATAAGATATGTAAACACACTTCCACTGTGTGTGTGTACCTATGTTTCTAGATCTATAAGATGTGTAAACACACTTCCACTGTGTGTGTACCTATGTTTCTAGATCTATAAGATATGTAAACACACTTCCACTGTGTGTGTGTACCTATGTTTCTGGATCTATAAGATGTGTAAACACACTTTCACTGTGTGTGTGTACCTGTGTTTCTAGATCTATAAGATGTGTAAACACACTTCCACTGTGTGTGTGTACCTGTGTTTCTAGATCTATAAGATGTGTAAACACACTTCCACTGTGTGTGTGTACCTATGTTTCTAGATCTATAAGATGTGTAAACACACTTCCACTGTGTGTGTGTGTGTGTGTACCTATGTTTCTAGATCTATAAGATGTGTAAACACACTTCCACTGAGTGTGTACCTATGTTTCTAGATATGTAAGATGTGTAAACACACTTCCACTGTGTGTGTTCCTATGTTTCTAGATCTATAATATGTGTAAACACACTTCCACTGTGTGTGTACCTATGTTTCTGGATCTATAAGATGTGTAAACACACTTCCACTGTGTGTGTACCTATGTTTCTAGATCTATAAGATGTGTAAACACACTTCCACTGTGTGTGTGTACCTATGTTTCTGGATCTATAAGATGTGTAAACACACTTCCACTGTGTGTGTACCTATGTTTCTGGATCTATAAGATGTGTAAACACACTTCCACTGTGTGTGTGTGTGTACCTATGTTTCTAGATCTATAAGATGTGTAAACACACTTCCACTGTGTGTGTGTACCTATGTTTCTGGATCTATAAGATGTGTAAACACACTTCCACTGTGTGTGTACCTATGTTTCTGGATCTATAAGATGTGTAAACACACTTCCACTGTGTGTGTACCTATGTTTCTAGATCTATAAGATGTGTAAACACACTTCCACTGTGTGTGTACCTATGTTTCTAGATCTATAAGATGTGTAAACACACTTCCACTGTGTGTGTACCTATGTTTCTGGATCTATAAGATGTGTAAACACACTTCCACTGTGTGTGTACCTATGTTTCTAGATCTATAAGATGTGTAAACACACTTCCACTGTGTGTGTGTGTGTGTGTACCTATGTTTCTAGATCTATAAGATGTGTAAACACACTTCCACTGTGTGTGTACCTATGTTTCTGGATCTATAAGATGTGTAAACACACTTCCACTGTGTGTGTGTGTGTGTACCTATGTTTCTAGATCTATAAGATGTGTAAACACACTTCCACTGTGTGTGTGTGTGTGTGTGTGTGTGTACCTATGTTTCTGGATCTATAAGATGTGTAAACACACTTCCACTGTGTGTGTACCTATGTTTCTAGATATGTAAGATGTGTAAACACACTTCCACTGTGTGTGTACCTATGTTTCTGGATCTTTAAGATGTGTAAACACACTTCCACTGTGTGTGTACCTATCTTTCTGGATCTATAAGATGTGTAAACACACTTCCACTGTGTGTGTACCTATGTTTCTAGATCTATGAGATGTGTAAACACACTTCCACTGTGTGTGTACCTATGTTTCTAGATCTATAAGATGTGTAAACACACTTCCACTGTGTGTGTACCTATGTTTCTAGATCTATAAGATGTGTAAACACACTTCCACTGTGTGTGTGTGTGTGTGTACCTATGTTTCTGGATCTATAAGATGTGTAAACACACTTCCACTGTGTGTGTGTACCTATGTTTCTAGATCTATAAGATGTGTAAACACACTTCCACTGTGTGTGTACCTATGTTTCTAGATCTATAAGATGTGTAAACACACTTCCACTGTGTGTGTACCTATGTTTCTAGATCTATAAGATGTGTAAACACACTTCCACTGTGTGTGTGTGTGTGTGTGTGTGTGTACCTATGTTTCTGGATCTATAAGATGTGTAAACACACTTCCACTGTGTGTGTGTACCTATGTTTCTAGATCTATAAGATGTGTAAACACACTTCCACTGTGTGTGTACCTATGTTTCTAGATCTATAAGATGTGTAAACACACTTCCACTGTGTGTGTACCTATGTTTCTAGATCTATAAGATGTGTAAACACACTTCCACTGTGTGTGTGTACCTATGTTTCTAGATCTATGAGATGTGTAAACACACTTCCACTGTGTGTGTGTACCTATGTTTCTAGATCTATAAGATGTGTAAACACACTTCCACTGTGTGTGTACCTATGTTTCTAGATCTATAAGATGTGTAAACACACTTCCACTGTGTGTGTACCTATGTTTCTGGATCTAAAGATGTGTAAACACTTCCACTGTGTGTGTGTGTGTGTACCTATGTTTCTAGATCTATAAGATGTGTAAACACACTTCCACTGTGTGTGTGTACCTGTGTTTCTAGATCTATGAGATGTGTAAACACACTTCCACTGTGTGTGTACCTATGTTTCTAGATCTATAAGATATGTAAACACTTCCACTTTGTGTGTGTACCTATGTTTCTAGATCTATGAGATGTGTAAACACACTTCCACTGTGTGTGTACCAATGTTTCTGGATCTATAAGATGTGTAAACACACTTCCACTGTGTGTGTGTACCTATGTTTCTGGATCTATAAGATGTGTAAACACACTTCAGGTATACCTTAACAGCAGCCTTAAGTTCTTCATTTTCTCTGCACTCTTTTCCAATCAAAATTACCAGTGGTTCCTTAACATCTGAAATTAAACAAGGACCAAAATTTCATTGAAGAATTTTCTATTATTACATAATATAAAAAGAAACAATTTTATTTACAATATTATCTGACTAATTCAGACTAGGTAGTTGTACAGGTGTTTGCTTAAATCATATCCTTTTCACTTTTACACAAATATAGACAAGACTGGTAAATTATGATAACATAATACATATCATTCTGGCTAGACTACTTTTTTTTAAAATAACAGACATAAAAATATAAAAATTAAATTATTCATTACATGCATCAATATCAAAACTATCCTTTCAGAAGACATTTTGAGTAAATCTTAATTGCTTCATTAACCATTTCTTTTTTGTTAAGTAAATTACATTCATGTATACTTTAATCAGCATTGATTGTTGTCATGAAAGTGTCTTACACACCTGGTGCAGATGCAAGTATTGTACCAGGAAATTTGCATAAATTTTACGCAACAAATTTTGATTTAAAAATATTTGTTTGCATAATGTTAAACTGAATTTAAATCAGAGATGTAAATGGCATTTAAAACTGTATTTCAAAAGAAAATTGACGTTGGCAGATGTACATTATCAAGACAGTATCTACGTACGGTAAACCTTCAGTTAGTTTGAACAAAATCAATACAAAAAAGGTGTGGAATTATAGGAAATTATATCTGTGGAAATTATTAAGAGTTTGAATTATCAGGGTCAACATTGCCCAAAATCAGGAAAAAGGGTCTAGCAAGATAGAACACTACCAGTCAGTGATAGCAATTCCTGAGGGAAAAAATGTCGATTATAAAATAATTATGTTTTTAAACACTTATTGCACTGCAATATATGTTAATCAATTGTTCAGAAATTATAGGTTTCAGTTTGTTTTTCATCTCGTTGGATACCTTGACGAGGAAACAAACCCATGAAAAAGCACATTTCTGCTTGTGTATTGGTGGAAGATAGCATTAGCATATCAGTATGTGGAGTTTAAATTGAGACTTATTATGACTACGGATTAATGTTTGTTAAAATCTTTATTAATCTTTTAATTACTGAGATAGTGTTGTGATTATCTTATCAAAATGTGAAGTGAAACAAGGTTGTTCTTTGACAATACACATGCTGACATCCGTGGTCTGTATATATGTTTACTCTATATACCATTCACCTGTACTACAGAGTTGGGGCCTCAAGTTGTGTTAGCTGGTGTGCACACAATATTACAGCACGATGCGAAAGGAATCACTACATCAATGCTAATAAATTGAAATGTTTGTGTATAATTTGACGCTGTCAATTGCTTTACGATGATCATTTTCAGCGGGCTACCTACAGCATTTCATGTTGATGTGAATAGTGACCATGTCCAGCAATCACTGAGAGGCCAATGTTTTCAGTTGTGGTCTCGCAATATGTTCAAACAATTCGAAACAAGACAAGAAAGGGTTCAAAGTTCAAACTATCACTAGTTAGAAAATTATTGGGTTTTTTACATTAAAAAATCATGTGTTTGAACTACCCGTCTATTCGAACAAACCGGAGGTTTACCGTATCCTTTAGCCATATGATAAGCAACAGCTGTACCAGCACATAATGTTTTAATAAAATAATTTTTAAATGTTTCAGCAAATAAAGCAAAAGCATGTATATTGATATAATGAAGTTATTACATTCACTTGATCAAGTGCGTCACTAACTTAATCTTAATCCTAAATGCACTACATCTGAAATACATTATTTAACATGATGTTTCATGTTAGTAACCAACTTATGCTAATGAATGGACTGAACATATTTAAATTAACAAATGCATAAATGCACTGCTCATAGGAGAGTGAGAAATATCAGGTTTATATTTCTTGAAATTTTTTTTAAAAAGTGAGCTAACTTTGAATTGTCAAATTATCTTGTCTGGTTCTTAAGACACCAAATGGGGATCTTATCTATGCCAATTCTTAATTTTTGTGTCTGTGGCCAGTAAGAGATCTCCGTCTTACCATGAATCTGTTTATAGTCTGGTTAGCTAGTAGTACTTCAAGGTTTTTTTTAATTTAAAAGGGAAATTACATAACAATCCAAGTTTCTAGTCTGTTTATGGTAAAAGGAAACATACCATTCAAAATTTGTTTATATTATTTTATATTTAATCCAAATTCCCGAAAATTTACATAATTCACTTTCCTTTCCAAATCATTGATTTTCTTCCAAAAATGAGACAATAATGTTTTTATTTATCCCAAACCAATGAGTGAAAAAATCAAATGAATAAAAAAAGAAATATTAATGCGTGAATTTAGAGTGTCATCTAATGAACCTCCATTGATTACAAAAGTCTTGATCAGAATTTTACGTACATTCACTAAACTAGCTTGAATTATTTCAAAATCACAATATTCTTCACTAAAATTTATGGTGTTGATTCCCTCCTAATAAACAGACAACAGACCCATATAATTTCCTTGTTTGGCAACAGTCTATAGTCAAACTGTTACACCATTTGTAAAATTGCCTCAGACCAAACTTGGACAATATCCTTGAATGGAAGAATGATTTTGAAGAACTTACATTTCTCCTATAGGGCCCTACATTTCTGATGTCAGAACTTCCAAATCAGGACAGAATCAAGCCATTCCCACAAATGAAAGATTTAAAAATGTTTGATCTATTTCCCTTACAAGGTCTAGCCCCTCCTGCCCCAGGTAGCCAAAAACCCAATATTTATACAAAACTGATCCCCTTCACCCATGCATGCCTCAAACCAAATTGGGACAGAATCAAGTCATTCCCAAAAGATATTTTTGAGAATTTATTCCATTCCTCCTATTTGTCCTTGCCCCAGGGTCCCAGACCTATTTCAAAATCCGCCCAGTTGTTCATGACTAGTAGAAATTGGAAGAAAAAGTTGATGGACAGACAACATGCCATAGCATAAGCTCACTGGGTGCAAATAATAAAAATATACTATTGCACAGAGGCACCTGGGTAAGTAATCAGCTAATGTTGATACCCAATCAAAATACCTGTAGTTTAATTATTTCTCCAATCTCTCTCTTCCTTGAAATAAAATATTGCCTGTGTGGTGAATAGAGGCTGTCTAAAGTGATTGAAGGGATAAAATGCAATTTAATCATCACTGCACTGCAATGATCTGAATGTTCCAGGTGGTACTATTGATCTCTTTGAAAAATAAAAATTGAAAGCTTCCAACAAATCTGTGTAGAACCAATAGCTCTCTGCTACTGTTGGCATCCATACCATCTTGTTCTTTATTTGGGGAAAAAATGACAAAAATCACTTGATTTCTGATACAATATCATATCACTGAATTGATGGTTAAAATCACAGTATCAGGTGAGACAGTCACTACCGTGATTTGATCAACGAAAATTTTAAACCATCATTTCATCAATGTATCTGTTCACATAAAATTATTTGATTGGTCTAGAGCAGGATCCAGGAGAAAATCACTGACCAATCACAGGCCGATATGCTCCTTTGAAGATTACAAATGAGTGACACTCTGTGACCAGACTAGTCTTTTTTATCTTGTTCACCAGGTGTTGCACACAGAACTTTCGATTTTGTCATGAAATGTTCCAGAGGGTAACCCCTGGAATATTGAAGATGAACATCCAACATCTGAAGGAAAGGACATCAGGAGTACTGACAGTACTGCATCTCTTCTCAATTCTGATGATTGATCACAATATGAGAGACCTTGCCTAGAGGCTATAATCAATATGTATCTATAGACATGAAATACAGGATGGCTTCAGGTTTATGTAAGTAGCCATTCTAAATGTAGAACCATCCCACCAGCATGCTACAATCATACATGACATCCCAATAATGTCAGTTATTTGTAATCTATCAAAGTATGCTACAATCATACACGACATCACTATAATATATGTTGTTTGTAATCTATCAAAGTATGCTACAATCATACACGACATCACTATAATATCTGTTATTTGTAATCTATCAAAGTATGCTACAATCGTACACGACATCACTATAATATATGTTGTTTGTAATCTATCAAAGTATGCTACAATCATACACGACATCACTATAATATATGTTGTTTGTAATCTATCAAAGTATGCTACAATCATACACGACATCACTATAATGTCTGTTATTTGTAATATATCGAAGTATGCTACAATCATACACGACATCACTATAATATATGTTGTTTGTAATCTATCAAAGTATGCTACAATCGTACATGACATCACTATAATGTCTGTGTTGTTTGTAATCTATCAAAGTATGCTACAATCATACACGACATCACTATAATGTCTGTGTTATTTGTAATCTTTCAAAGTATGCTACAATCATACACGACATCACTATAATGTCTGTGTTATTTGTAATCTGTCAAAGTATGTTACAATTATCGATGACATCACTATAATGTCTGTGTTATTTGTAATTTATCAAAGTAAGTTAAAATTATCCATGACATCACTATAATGTCTGTTATTTGTAATCTGTCGAAGTAAGTTACAATTATCCATGACATCACTATAATATATGTTGTTTGTAATCTATCAAAGTATGCTACAATCATACACGACATCACTATAATGTCTGTGTTGTTTGTAATCTATCAAAGTATGCTACAATCATACACGACATCACTATAATGTCTGTGTTATTTGTAATCTATCAAAGTATGCTACAATTATCCTTGACATCCCAATAACGTCTGTTATTTGTAATCTATCAAAGTATGCTACAATTATCCTTGACATCCCAATAACGTCTGTTATTTGTAATCTGTTACAGTAAGTTACAATTATCCTTGACATCCCATTAACGTCCCAATTATTTGTAATCTATCAAAGTATGCTACAATCATACACGACATCACTATAATGTCTGTGTTGTTTGTAATCTATCAAAGTATGCTACAATCATACACGACATCCCAATAACGTCTGTTATTTGTAATCTGTTACAGTAAGTTACAATCATCCTTGACATCCCATTAACGTCCCAATTATCTGTAGAAGTATATGCAGTCTTTGTCGTCATACTTACATGTACGATTATAAGTTTTAATAGAAAAAAAACAACCAAACAAAAACAGATGAATTTTATGGAAACCATTTGCAGAAAACATTTTTGAAATTTGATTTGATGTGTAAAAAAACCAAGGGAATATGGCAGACATTTTGATATGTTTCCGACTCTCTAAAGCTATCCTCAACTCTAGGACTAGGAATTAAAGGGTATGTCTAAACCTGCTATTTTATATGTGTTTCTATCAATTTTATTTCAGAGAAATTTTTATTCAGTGTTGTCGTTAAAATTCAGCTGTCTGCAAAAGGAAGTCTTTTATTCATCAACTCTATTTCAGGAAATATATTAGATGATACTACAACAGTTAATCAGCTGTTTTTTATGATCAATTACACCTGTTTCAGATCACCAGTCAACTGGAAAGTAATAATACAGATTAATAATACTAATTCAAGCATACACCACTCCCTGGGTTATAAATATATCATGTGCACTGCCCTGGTTATATGAATATATAAATGTGTAAAGGAGTTTAAAAGTATACATTGCACCAAAAGTATATATATATTACACATACCACTTCCCCAGTTACTATAAATACTAGATTTGGAGGAGGACCTGACAAGGGTACATGTCGACCTCAATATAATCTTGGATCTCGATGCCCTGACATCACGTCTGACTGTATCAAATCAAATGAAAAAAAGAGAAAAAACAACATATCAAAGCTTCCTGTTAATATCAACATATGAACATGAATAATATATGTAAAAATTTGCAAGGTATCGTAAACATGTGGTAAATGTTGGAAATTACAAGAGAGATCAAACTGTCAGAGGGCCATTCATAACCTGTTACTTTATTTCTCAAGGATTCCCCAAGTCTTTCTGAAATGGACAATGTGTTGATGTTAAGTGTTCTGTTAGAAATCACAATGTATCAGGGCTCCAAGTTGCGAGTAAAAATTGATAACCTTTAGCCAACTGGAAAGTCGGAAAGTGCAGAAACTTCCCATGGGTCTGAAAAGAAAACAAAGCGGCACCACTTCGTCACTTCATGGCTGGGGGAATTTTCATGGCTGAAGTGTGACAGTGATGCCATGTTTTGTACAATATGTGAAAGTTGTCTGTCCATGGCAGGAAAGACAGATTTTGTATCCAGAAACAGAGTATTCAAAAGGGAAACGCTCATCTGGCATAGTAAGAGCAAACGACACAAAGACATACGTGATTCTGTAGTAGGCAGTAAGAAAAGAGGGAGCACTGTTCAGAAAAGCTTTGAACGGCAAGTCAACACCGCGACGAAAAAACGATGCAGGATATGCACGTTAAATCCTTAACAGCATAAAATGTGCTGAAATCATCTCCTGTATGATTATATTTATCAATGGTATGGTATCACTGGGGTTATTTGGGTGTTCGAATACACAGGTGTGAAGTTTTGGGTGGGGAATTGGACGTACACGACGTGTGACAGGTAGCATGTGAATTCCTTGGGGCAGGGCGGACCAATACAGGGTGTATAGTTTGTAGTGCCATTTGAGCTTTTGCAGCCATACAGTGCGCTCGTGGTTTATACAACCCCCACCCCCACTCCAGATCGTTTATAATACATTAGCTAATGTGGGGGTAACAGTGTATTGATGATTTGGTTTTGATGTTCTTTCAGATTTATAGCAATGGACAAAGGCAACTCGATCAGGTGTCCGATAATATACTCCTTTGGAAGCATGGAACGGTCACGACGCAGATTGTCATATTTCTTGCACTTTAACCACATTAAAGCGCAAGATGCAGTGAGCTGTATTCTATATGACAGTGTTGAGTTTTAATTGATAAATGATTTATGTTCGTTTGAACTGGTGAATTAGAACATAAATGAAGTTATGAAAGAAAATTTGTCAGCTAAAATAAATTTTTTTAGTGGTTCTGTGAGAGGGAAAGCACAGAAAATTTACCAAGAAGCGGGCGGCCCAGACAATCGTCCGACAAGTGTAATCATTCGGATTGATAGAAACAATAGAAGAGGAACTACAATGATGTGTCTACACTTTGTAATAATGACACAATTAGTTAATTTGTCATGAAGAACTGTCAAAATAATTTTTTTTTTCATTTGAACATCAAGGAGAGCTGTTTCAAAGAAAATTACCATTTCACCTGTTAACAGGGAATAATGGCTTCATGTTGGACAAAACTAAACTGGACAGTTGCAAATGATTGGTCAGATATCATATTTAGTGGTAAGACAAAATTAGAAATTGGTACTGACAGAAAAGTGTATGTTTGGAAGAAAAAAAGTGAGTGGTTACGTCCCGAATGTGTGGGGGGGTTGTGCCCTTCACTGCCCAAAATTTTTGTTTCTGGGCATTGACAAGAAGATAACACACCCTGTCATTTCTTGACGAGAGCTAACAAATTGAAAACTGTAAATTATTTCAAAACCTTGCATTGGGTGGCTCTTAATGTGATTAAAATGTGTAACAAAATACAAGGACCTAACACCCGAAATGTTTGTGAGAGGTACAAAACAGAACAGGTCTTATCCCAAGTTATAAATGATACCTTGTCAAGAATGTATACAATTCACTGCCAGCAAAATTACAAAGTGTAATGAGAGCAAGGGTCAGATCACAAAGTATTGAAAATTTCACGGAATCACCTTTTTGTTTTGTTATATTCCACTTTTACATATCCCTTCCCTCATGAGTTTTTCTCTGACACAAAAATGGTGTCGCTAAAATGAGCCAACACTTAAAACCAGTGGCTGTATTGTGATTAACCGAATGTTACATTCAATCAATTTTCTTGAAGAGCCTGACCCACTCCGTTATAGATATTTTTTCATATTTTATGGAAATATTGTTGTATACTAATAGATAATATATAAATAAAGACTTGTATAAAGTTTCGAACTTGAAATTGAAAGGGTATCAGAGATAGCGGTGCCGGAATTAGTCTCATTAATCAATATATGAATATTGATGAGGAAAAGTCACATGATGCGTTCAGACGCGGTCAGAACCAAAACAAAAATAGAGGAAGAGGTTAGCAATACATCCATGTGACATCTCTTGTAAAAAGATTTTACCGATAAATGCAATCAATACTCTATATATCCTGTATAGAAATCATCTAACGTATGTATTGATCACATCTTTCAACGGTTAGATATGACACAAAAACCTGCAGATTACGAGAAAAAAACTACGATTAATTGCAAAGAGGCCCTCAAATGGGGGCTACAATACAGTAATGAACATATAGAACATTGTGAAATGGATCTATCTAAATCGAATATTCGATGGCAAGAGTATTTATGAATATGATTTTAGAGTGATACTACACGAGAGAGCCAAACAGAGAGCGATACAGAGTATGAACCAACCATCTTCCTTCTTTTTGCCTCTGAGTCCGCCAAAACACGCTTTCTTCCCCGCTTCCCTCGCACGCTTTCTGCCATGTTGGAAGACAGCAGATTTATTTACAGTTCTTTGTGCATGCATCAAAGGGCAGGACTTCCCGAATAATTATAAATTTTAAAACTATTATGTTAGATTGGTAGCAATTTACTTTAAAATTGCAGTATTACAGGGTTAGACAGAATTGTTGCTACCCGAGAAAAATAGAAAATCATGAATTTTTTATATAAAATAATACCGGTTGGGGCACTTCAATAGTGGGTCTGGCTCTTTAAATGAAAAAAAAATGATAAATACATTTTTTCAAAGATCTCATGAGAGTCATGTGAAAAGAAGGTTACAAAATCAGGGTCAAGTGGAAGTAATAGTCACCATTTCGATTGAAAACAATTCATAAATGAATTATCAACTACATTTGTACGACAGTGGAATTATGTCAAAATGCGCCCCTCCCCGCGTCAAAGTGTAAACACATATACACACCTCCTCGCATTTGTAAAATTAAACGGGCCGAGCGGTAACACGCAGCAATACGGGAGACCAAGTCTACTATTCCGCCTATTGTAAGGTAGGAGTATTTTTTTTCAAACAACCAACATTTCAGATTCTGCAATAATACACTCTTAGTTGACTGCACCGGCCAGTGTCATGACAATGCAATGCATCGACAGATAACATGGGGTCAGCAAATCTATATTGTAATCAAAATTGCAATTAATGAAAATAAACGAAGATCGTCATTTTTCATTGATCTCGAATACCTATTTTGAATAAAGTCATAACATATCCTATATTTAATATTTACCTTCCGCCATGCTTGTCGGCAATACCTTTCTTTGAAAATGGCGCTGTTTGAATCAAACGCGACGTTTGATTGGTTAATGGTATATTAAACCTCCCAGAGTTCCGTACCAAAACAGGAAATTGCACGCGGTGAGAAATGTCAAGGCCATTAACCACAGACAGCAAATCGGTGTTTGAGTCACGTAGGCTGGAATTTAACTTCGGTGAATAAGTAAACTGTTATTGTCAGCGTGCATTTTAATGCATGTTGTGTTCATGCATTATTGTAGGTTGCATATGTAAAACTAAATTTTGCATTGCACTCGTTAGGAAAGACACACTCGTAACTTTACAAACAGCTGACGGATGAGACATTGTCAACTCTGACGCTGTGTCCAATTTCGTAACAAGTTGCGGACACAGATTGGACACCTGACCGTGAACACGTAGTGTGATACGCAATTATACCGACGCAGTATTAGGTAAGTAGGATGCTTACCGATGATATGTTGGAATCAAACTTCTGTGTTGTAGTTAAGTGTAACCTTGAAATGCATCTTAATTAATTGAAGGTTGCATGATACATGAGCAGTTTCTTTCGTCTGTGAAATAACACTGCAGTAAATGTTGGTTAAACTGTTGAAGGCGAAATGAACGCAACAGTCATGTTGTATATGTATATCAGAAGGGCCACATCCTTTACTTGTAACTTATTCCCTATATACATCCTCTCCCCATATACCGGCGTAGACTTCGGTCAGCTACAGGTCTATAGTATTCATCTAAAATCAACGAAAATCTATTGCATCAACGTCTTCTGTTTTGCTGACTGACAAATAGTTTCAAGATGTCTTTCATTCTAGGGATAAGATTGAAGTACATGTACATGTAAGAGGTACGCATCAACGAAGAATTAACATGTTTAAACGTGTTGAATAACAAAAGAAAGAAAAACGCGGATAAATATTTTCAAATGTATACTGTCTGTCCCATTTCAGAGCGACATGTAAGTCAAAGATATCATCACATAGAGGCAAAAAAAAAAAAATGCAATTGAAATGACCAGGGCAATAATAAGAGTTGATTATAATTGGTGAATGAGAAATAGTTTGATATTTTATTATTGGAACATCAGTAGTCGCTAAATTGAAATAATCTGGATGTTTCAAATACACATGTCAATCACAAGTATTTCTTCTTCCTTAAAGAAATGAACACAGGTCAATCATCACTAAATGGAAGGTTACTTTTCAGATCTTATATAATCTTTAATTGATCTCAATATCCATCTAGCATGAGAGCAGATGCTCTTTCTCAAATCCCTTCACCTAACACTGCTCTATCTGTCTGTTAGTCCATCTGTCAGTTCATCCATCCATCATAATTTTGTCTGAAGCATAACACCAAAGCTATAGGAGATGTCATCATGAAACTTTATAGGTAGATCTGAACAAGGAGAAGTGCAGTACACAAGAACCATCACTCTCTTTTGCAGAATTATAGGAGTTTTTGCCTTTGTTATTTTTCATACTTTTAATTTTGTCTTGAGCATTAAATTAAAATTATGAACAGTATCAACATGAAACTTCACAGGTAGATAAATCTAATAAAGAAGGGCAGTGAACAAGAATCATAGCTCTCTTATTTCCCTTTGTTTGTTTGTTTTTTTTTCATTCTTAAATTTTGTCGCAGTCGAGGAGCATAACCAGTCTCTCACAGCCCTTGGTGTATTGATTGCGGTCAATCAGCTGTGACCAAGAAAATAATAATATTTGAATAAATAGTCAGAACTCTGTAGACTAAATAAATCCCTCACCAAAATTTGCTTGTAATCTGCACAAGAGCAGCATTATCTTATTTATTGCTTTGATACAGCCATGATATTGTTTAGTGTCAGTCACCCTGAAATTCAATTTGATTCTGGAGCCATGTGCATTTCAACATGCAACCATTCTACTCATCACATTTGAAACTAGCCATTAGGTTTTGAAAGGGAGGTACAGAGTACTATGTAAGTTATTGACATCAGCATATTGCCAACATGAACTTTAATAGGATTCATTTTTTTTTAACAAGAGCAAATCATTGCTTGTGAGCTTTCATTACAAACAAACTAACTTACTGCTCATGTGCAAACATTGATATGCTCACATTGCAAACATTTTTTTTTTTTTTGCATTTTTGACCATGGCATTCATTTTAGGAATGTTGATCCAAAACGATTAAGTCTATGTTGATTGTAATGATAATGCATGCACATATTCAGTATGTAAACTTGTACACAGTTATCTTAGTGGTATAAGTTTAACGAACACTGATTGGAAATTTTACAGAATTCACTCACAATTACTACATGAATGATTGGATCTGCATGTCTCATTATACAATGTTGTATTAAAAAAGTGATTTCAAGACATCAGTTAGATATTTCATACAATGCAAAGAAAAATACAGACATCGGTTAGATATTTCAAATAATGCAAGGAAATTTCAAGACATCGGTTAGATATTTCAAACAATGCAAGGAAATATCAAGACAGCAGATAGAGATGGGCAAACATTGAAATCTTTGCACGAGGATAAAGAGGACTAATAAAAACTTGCAGATATTTTAACCTTTGGCATAGATTTCCTCAATGGAAAAAGTAAGCTATCTTTTGCATTAGTTGAACAAGAAAACAAACAGGAGTTGATTTGCAATTTTATTAACCTGATATCTTATAACAAAATTATTTTTAGCACAAAATATAAAGTATGTAATGTATGTTATGTATGTTAGCGTGATTCATAGGTGATTAGTTTCTCAATTATTTCATCATTACTGAACATATTTGATGATTTTTGTTGTCCTATCACAGACGGCATATGTGTAAAAAGCATTAAAACAAGGATGTCCTGCGCCGTTTACTGATCCAAATAAATAGAATGTATGTCCACCACTGGCTTCAGTCACTGCTCTTACTCTCCTCGACATTGTCCCCATCAAGGTGTTTATTGTCCTTTGAGGGATTTTATTCCACTCCTGAATAAGGACCTGCATGAGTTGAGGGACGTTAAATGGGGCGTTGACACAATTCCTAACCCTACTGTGCACACTGTGCAAAACTGTTTTTGACACTGATTATTTCCAGACCCTCAGGTGATAACACTATTGTTCCACTGTAATACATAGACTGTATTCACTATTTTACATGTATTATTTTACCGGAGGGAAACTGCATTTTTATGGCATTTACTGCGTTATAAATTTAGACAGACAATTGATATCCTTGTCAAAGTTGAGAGAGAGATTCATTTACAGGCATATATTTATTTATATGTGAAATCAATGAATATGTTGTATTTGAATGTCCTTTCTGTTAAAAATTGGTATAATATTGATTGTTTGATCACAATAAAATAAATTTACATCAGGATAGTTGATCTATGACTTGTACACGGAACACATGTTACAGAGGCTGTGGACTTGGCAAAAATAACAAATTGAATAATGATCTGAATCTGTTTAGATTTATTTGGTTACCAATTGATGAAATGAATATTACTTTCACTTTACAACCAGGATTCAGTCAGACGTTGAAAGGGTTACCAGTTATACAAGGCGTTTTCTCTCCTCAATAAGAACCTTGATGCTTTGATCCTGGTCACCCAGTCGGATTTATATAAGTAGATAGAACTTTTGCCTATTTGTTACAGGTATATTCCTACTTTGTGGATTATTATTGCTCCCAGATCAAAAGAACGGGGACACTTAGTTTTTGTGCTGTCTGTTTGTCTGTTGACGACTTTAACCTTGCCCATAACTATTGCACTGTAAAAGGTAGGACTTTCATATTTTGCATGTGTGTTCCTTGTGACAAGACCTTTGTGGCGGTACCAAAAATTTTTACCATATGACCTTGATCGTGACATTTGACCTACAGATGAATATTTTTAACATTGGCCAGAACTTTGGCACCATAAGAGGTTTAATATATTTAGACACGGAAAAGCCAATGAAATTTCACCCGACTTTTTGACTGTCACTACATCATGTGCATTGATATGAGCAATGTAACATGGATTTCTGAAATTATACACAAAAGCAGCATTTCTGTTTTGAAACATGTTTGAGACTGAAGCGATAAGTAAGTGTGGTGATTACTGTATAATCTCTTTATTTTCAGGTTAGTCACCATGGCCGGGTCAAGACTTGTGAATGTGATCAATCTAGGACGGATGGGATTCATGTCTGCATACAGTGTCCAGAAGAACTTTGTGCGTCAGATGTTGGATGCGGTAGCCAGTGGCCAGAAGGTCTTTGGCCAGAATGTCCTCCTTCTTGCCGAACACAACCCAGTTTATACCATTGGTCTGCGTGACCACACGTATACTGATAGCATGGCTAGTCAGCTCCGCTCCAAAGGGGCCGAGTTCTACAAGACTGACCGCGGCGGTCTAATAACATTCCATGGCCCTGGACAGTTAGTTGTTTACCCTATCCTCAACCTTAACGAGTTTGAACCAAGTATGCGCTGGTATGTTGGTGCGCTTGAAAAAACTATGATTAAAACATGCAAGCATTTTGATCTGGAGGCCACAACCACAGACAACGTTGGTGTGTGGATAGAAGACAGGAAAATTGGGGCAATTGGTAAGTTAGATAGGAAAAGTAAATTGAGACGATAGGTATTTAGTAGGTATAAGGAAGGGCAGTAAATTTGTAAGATAAAGGGTAAGAAAATTGGGGCAATAAGTAAGTATGATAGAGGATGGGTACTTTGGGTACCGGGTAAGTAAGATAGAATGCAGGTAAATTGTGGAAATTTTTAATTTATGATCAAACCATACAGAATATGAAATATTCCTTCTTGACATTTTTACTCGTTATTGCTATTCATATATCATGAATATTTCCAGATCATTAGGAAAGGGTGTTTCTTCCACCCCACAGTAGTTGGAAATTGAATGACTAATTATAATGTATTCTCTCTGATGGCAGGTGTTAATTTTTTTTGTCAAATGGCAGGTGTTGAGTCTAACGTTTTTTTTTCTCTCTATACGGTAGGTGTCCATGGTAGCAGATTTGTGACCCACCACGGTATCGCTCTTAATTGTAACACTGACCTCACCTGGTTTAAACACATTGTTCCTTGTGGCATTGAGGGTAAAGAAGTGACATCACTCTCCAAGGAGCTACAGCAGCCTGTACTCATTAAGGACACTATCAGTGCCTTCCTTCAGTCATTTGAGCGCGAGTTTCAGTGTTCATTCAGCTTTGCTTACATGGAAGACTCAGACTTGGATCTTATAACTAAAGAACATTTTGTCCACCAGAAGAAAAAGGTGGCCATGCGTCCGCAGTGGTGAAGTGTATGTATTTTGTGTGCCTGTTGTGTGTATGAGAATCTCAGAAGACTAGCAATATGTACATTTTACAGACAGAATGTTGATGAAGTGTTTTATTGAGAGGTATATTCTCTGTAAATCCTTAGTAAAAGGATTTTTGTGCTTTGTACAGATGGTCTTTAAGAAGTACGCTCTTTGAATGGTTTTTCCATGTGAATTATATGATCATGGGTCTTTGGGCGACTTCATGTTGAAAGACATATTTAATAAAAAGTTGCTATAATGATAAAAGTACTGTAAAATTATTTATTTTTGTGAGGCTTAATTTTCATGGGTTTTTTTTACAAAAAAGCATTTTCATTGCTCACTTAAACCACTAGTGCTAAAATTTCATGTCAGTGGTCTATTCATAATTTTGTGGGTTATGAGATTCCCAGAAAATAAATGAAAATTAAAATCTCATGATAATAAGTGGTTTTACAGTATGTTTATAGTTGGTACTCTTGAATTGAGATTTGTAGTCTCCAGAGGTATGTTTACATGTTTTCTAAACAGGTTAACCTTTATCGGAGATGCAATACTAATCGTTTACATCCTATATTCAGTAAGTAACAATAGTCACTAGAAAGATGCCTATTTTGTATTTTATTAATTGTGGTTTGTTGCAGAAATATTTGATTGGTTTAAAAAAAAAATTGATAAGCGGTTCTTCTCTTGAAACAATTACTTCTAATATTTGTCACATTTAGTGATATTACACGCATACTCTTCACATTCACCAAAGATTTCATTTTACCTCGGGAGAAAAAAGAAAATCTTTGCTCAGCGTTAAATTCACTTCAAATACAAAAACTTAGGTTAGCTTCCCATTTATTTCCATCCTGTTTCAAAGTGGGCAAAAGTGCTAAAAAAAATTGGCGTAAGTTCCCATTAACAGGACAATAATTGTGTCCACATGGTTGTAGACTTGGTACTTTGATAATGACAGAGAATGTTGAACTTCTGTGTTCATTCAGCCTAGAGATACAAAAATCTTTAAAATTTTTTGGCATGGTGTGCTAAAGGTCAGGGTCAGAGTTGCAAAAGATGAATGCTGGTTTGCACCCCAGGATGCTTAGGTAAGAACGCTGGGTCACAAAAGTTCAAATCTGGTGTTTAATGGATTACTAAAAATAGATTTTAAGATGCATGTTGTTAATTTGTTGAGAATCAGATTATACAGAAAGGTGAATTAAGGTGTGACCTGATGATGCTTGAGTTAAGAGATGCTGAAATTGTGATAATTCAATTTCTCTGTTGAACATACAATTTTCTAATGGAAAAGATTTGTTTTGAATTATTCTCTAGTAAGCTTAGCAATTTTAAACTGATACTAGTTGCATCATCACTCTTAATGTGATAGTTATAGATGTTTTGCCTTCTCGGGTACTTTTGGTGCATGTAATTGTGTGATATACAGTACATGGTTAAATTTTAGAAACCATTTAGCTACATTCATGGATACTGCCAAGTATAAATATTCCATGAACTACTGTTAGCTAAGTGAAATATCACTGCCATAATACAACAACTCTCCATATTGTTATTTCATATTTCTTAAACAGGTCCTTATTCTTTCACCCTGGACAGTTGTATCAACACTTGTTTACTGGTGTGAAATGACCTTGTTTCACTCTTAAGAGTTAGGACAAGGACTCACCTTCCATGTCTGTGACATCACAACATGCAACATGCAAAGCATTGGAACGACAAAGACACAAATGTAAGAAGGCCAGCAGAGAGAAGGAAAACATTTTTGTTCAATTGTTTGGGAAATAATTAAGATATTTACCTGTGTGGAGGTAAGAGAGCAGATCTTAATCTGAGGGGAAATATGTTTGAGGAAACATGTTGCTTGTCGAGTCTTTGCAATTTAATCACCTTTCCCAAGGGGTTGAGATCCCTCTCTCTCACCAACAACAGAGTGAATGGTTATATTTAGCCCACTATCGTCAGATATAGGATTTCCTTGTTTTAAGATGAATGACAGGAATAGAGAAAAAAGGAAAAGGGGAGAATAGATTTGTCTTGCATAGGACCAATAAAAATGTTTCAGTAGTGGAAGCTAAGATCTCTCTAGGATGTCTTGTTCTCGTACCCTTCTGGCCTCATTTGATAGAATGTTTGTGTTTTTGTTGTCCCAGTCATTAGCATCGTTAATGAGCTGTCATAGACGTGGAAGGGTCATTGAATTTTAGACATGCATTGTTACTTTGATATCATATCATTGTCCTGACTGGGGAATCCCCTGTCATATCATTGTCCTGACTGGGGAATCCCCTGTCATATCATTGTCCTGACTGGGGAATTCCCTGTCATATAATTGTCCTGACTGGGGAATTCCCTGTCATATCATTGTCCTGACTGGGGAATTCCCTGTCATATCATTGTCCTGACTGGGGAATACCCTGTCATATATTTGTCTTGACTGGGGAATCCCCTGTCTCAACCCAAGTGTGAGATAAGAAATCTCACACCAATGAAAAGGAAGGATATTCCTGTCCAGGGTAAGAGAAAGGAGGATCTCAACCTTCATGGGAAAGATCAACGAGTTTCAAAATTTGACAAGAATCATGTTTTAACAGCTTGATGATTAATCTTCCCCATCATGTTGTCATGTTTTATCCACCCCCTCCCCCCCACCACCACCATCCCACCTCACCCCTCCCACCCCACCCCGCCCAACCCCTCACCAAGGGAGTGGTAGATCCTATTAGTAGTCCCTCCATCAAATAACAGTACTATTGTGCTATCAATAAGAGATTTTTTTTCTCCCAATTGAAGTCTTTTCCAGAAATTTTCTAGTTTCTTTACATTACATTGCATTCATACAATGTTTCTCTTCTTTGAATATCATTCATTAATGAACAAATGTTAAGATAATTTAAACATGGATGTCCCACACCCACAGAGAACAATGAAGTAAATACATGTATGTATAAACAGGAACTGATTGTTTTGATCCATGCCACTATCTGGTGCGAAATGAAATTATTTTGGTAGATCGGCTGATGTTCCTTATATTTTAGTATAATTGAGAAGTATGGAAGACAATTTATTTAAACTCAATTTTGGTAGTACATACACATTTCCTTTAAGAATTGGTATATTTTGTGTAATATGTTCTTGCAGATTATCAGAACTTTGCTGTGGTCACAGAAACGTTAGTTCTTCTATCACAAAAATGCATGCGATAATATGAAATAGTAATAAAAAAAATACATTAAACATATTCATGTGGAGTTTTCTGTTTAAAACCAACCTATTTTGAAATTGTGCTGGAGTTATCTCCCTTCAAATATAAAATCTGGGGTAAACTATTTAGCCTTACATGAACATATGGTGATGTTTTTCAAATTGCCTTTAAAGGATTCCTGTTATTAGTCCACTACTATTAAATGTTCTTGTTATCCCTATTTCTTGCGAGGGACTGGGTAAATTTTTTTCCAGTTCAATATGGTTCATCTTGGTCTTGGACTGATAAGAAAAAAACAAAATGCCTGACAGGCAGTTGTCTTGGGATTTTGTCTATGACAATTTCTTATCACTATTTCATTAAGAATACTGAAGAGATTTTTCTAAAATTTCATCAGTATGTTCCCTTTAGTCCCTAGATGTGCCCTTTTAATTTCGGGACTGAACAGAAAAACAAAATGGTAGACGGGTGGCCATATTTGATTTTGAAATTTAGCTACATTGTTTTGTCAGAGGAACAAGATGGATCTTTCTCAAATTTCATTGCAAATTCATCTTGGCACTTTGTGGCATCTTTACAGTATTACAATATTGCGACTTACCATAAACTGATAATGACCTCAACCCAGCTGTCTTGGATTTTTTGAGAGCCAACATTTGTAGTCGCTTTTTCGTGAAAAGTGTGTGATGAATCATTCTCTATCTTCACATGTAGGATCCCCTGTGATCTCTAGGATGTTCACAATCGAGAAACTGACAAGAAATGGAGATTAAATAAAAAAGATTATCGATGTCTTAAAATATGCGAGAGTCTTCACAATTGAGAAACTGGAAAGATATGGAGATTTAATAAAATAGATTATCAGCGCCTTATGATATAAGAGGGTCTTCACATTTAAGAAACTGACAGGAAAAAGATATTAAATAAAATAGATTATCGATGTCTAAAATATAAGAGAGTCTCGTAAGAAGTTGAAGAGCTCATAAAAATATCCGACACATTTTCTGTGAATTTCGATTTCCGAAGTATCTTCAAACAAACTTGATGTTGTTATCATTCCTAACAACGGAAATTGGAAACAACCTGTTGATGACATTATTGAGAAATCTTCGCATCCTTTTAATATTCATAGAAAGTTTAAAATCAAAGTTGATAGGAAATGCCTCCAACAAATGGACATGCCCGGTGCCGTATTAGACAACCTAGCCATTATGCTAAAAAGTATGAAACTGGAAAGAAACTTAAAGTATTTAGAAAAACATGGTACCATTAATTTCATCAGCCCGGAATCTCTTTATAAAGAAACCGGAATTGAGTCTCTGTAGATTAGGATAATTCAGGTTCACAGGAAAATGCATAAATCCGTAACGTCTAGCAGTGGTATATATACTACCTTATGTAACAAGTGAAGGTAACGATCACAATGATTAAAATCCATAACTACATCATGTACAACATTATTGAACGATTTTTTCATTCTTCTAACTGTAAACAAGTGGAATAATTTGCCCTTTTGATATGCAAGGCTTTTCTTTGATATCTTCCTGAAAACTGCATTTAAATATTGATAGATTCATATATATACGTCACTGATTGTTCCTTCAAAAATTTGATTGAAAATCCATTTTGTAAACCTTTGTCAGATCGGATCAGGAAAACTGTCACCCTTTGAATGTACGCACAGCGTCCTTCGTCATCAATACATTGCCTTATCCAAATGTATCAATGCACTTTTTTATGGTTATTAAGTTCGTATCAATGCAGAAAATATTGATATTTTAAGACTGTTGAAACGTTCTTAACAAAAAGTACATACTTTGATCCTACATGAATGTTATGTATATCCTGCAATAGTGCAATGGTAGTGGGATGTGGGTCAATTACAGGCTATAAATTGTATAGCCTATACCGCGGTAGTGGGATGTGTGTCAATTACAGGCTGTAAATATATATACCTTATACCACGGTAGTGGATGTGTGTCAATTACAGGCTGTATATATATACCTTATACTACGGTAGTGGATGTGTGTCAATTACAGGCTGTAAATATATATACCTTATACCACGGTAGTGGATATGTGTCAATTACAGGCTGTAAATATATACCTTATACTACGGTAGTGGATGTGTGTCAATTACAGGCTGTAAATATATACCTTATACCACGGTAGTGGATGTGTGTCAATTACAGGCTGAAATTGACGACGAGACGATATTTAAAAAAGTGACAACCCTGTATATATAAAATGTAGTTTCGTTTAAAGACCCAGTCCCACTCCACGACCGATATTATTTTATATAAAAAAATCATGATTTTCTATTTTTCTCGGGTAGCGAAAGTTCTGACGACTCCTTTAATACCACAATTATAAGTAAATCACTACCAATCTAACGTAATAAATAGTTTTAAAAAAGAATTAAAAACGACACAGCGCTAATTCATTATTATGCGGGAAGTCCTGCCCTCTGACGCATGCGCAAAGAATTGTAAACAAATCTGTCGTCTGCCAACATGGCAGAAAACGTGTTTTGACGGACTCTGAGGCGAAAAGAAGGAGGATGGCGCGAAACCGTGATATATCAAAGGCAAAGATTTATATTGGCGAGAATACGGAAAGATGGAATCCTGTGAAGACCGAACTGAATTTTAAAACAAATCACGAAGTAACGGGTATTTTGCTCGACAGGCAAGAACTCAATACACAAATATAAAAATACGGGACAATTAAAGCTTACATATTTATGTTTGGTTATTTTGTGCATGTGATTAAACTATGTTTGTTGGTTTTCGTGACATATGATGACCTGACAGCTAGAGAAACTAAGACAAATACGGTGTTCTGCATGCAGCTAACGGAGATAAAAATTTCGGGGGCCCCTTGAGGGGAAATCATAACCAAGATTTTTGAATAAGTAGTCTTGATCTAGATACCATGAAATATCCTTAATTTCTCATTTTTATGTTGTCTCCAATTCAGAAACAAATCTGGTATATTTATCCTATAATTCTGTGCATCAGTTTTAATGCAACTAATAATATAGATACAGGTGTGATAAAAGTTAGCCTGAACCAGGGACTGCCTGAATTGACAAACTGTGAACACTCAACAGTTGAACGATTTAATGAATTAGCTATGTGAACAAATTTGATCACATCAAGGTATTTTAAAATATATAGATAAAGGTTATATGGATTATAATTATTGAGTCTCTTTATCTAAAAGTGTCAATCTTGTCAGTTATAGAATGAAAAGTTATAATGCATGTACAATGTATATATTTTCCATATGGATTCTACACAGACAAAACCAGGATGAGACATGAGTGCACAACCAAAAGTGATCTATACACCCATTACCAAGGAATTCATGACAGCAGAACCCATGGTTTCAGAAATTTCTTCAGTAGAGTCTGATGAGAGGTAAATTTATACATGTAGATATACATGTGTGCATAAAGTCTGTCATAAAATAAAAATTATTTCTTGTCCTAAGGTTGATTCTTCTACTGTTGACTTTGTTAGACCAGGAATAAAAAAAGGTCTATTAATTAACATCACAATAGTCTCAAGCTAATTAAAGTAGTAAGTTTAATGCATAAAGTGAAGTATATGTATTTGGATATATTTTCATTTATGATTTGGCAATATCTAATTCTTTTGTGCATACAAATGTTCATGGGTAGCCTTTGGTAACAGTATATTATATATATAATTATTTTGTATTGTATAATATTTATCGTACATGAACAATGAACTTATAATTTTGCAACTGAGAAACAACAGAATTCTTAACACTAACAATTCATTCTATAAAGTATAATAAGCAGCGTGTATGTGCACTCTCAGACCATGTACAGTAGTCTGATCAGTCTGCAAAATCACTTTCCGTTGTAATTTATGACTTCAGAGTGAAAGCATCGTCGTCTGAGGTATCTGGTGTCGGAGAACTTGATTTTTATAAAGAAATGGATGACCATCCCAGCATTTCCTTGTAAGTACAGTATATCACATTATGGATATAAGCAAACTTACTTGTGCATTCTAGATCTGCATGTATTTAAAGAAAATATTCTGGCTTGCTCCAATATTTAGGGGGCTGTGTGACCAAATGGTTTAGGCATACTACCATTAATTGCTATAACTTTCACCTCTGGGTCACATGTTTGAGGCTTATGTGAAGCAGTTGCCAGGTAGTACTGACTGCAAGTTGTTGGTTTTCTCCAGGTACTCTGGTTTCCACCTTATATGACCCTTGCTGTCCATAGGACGTAAAACAACAAAACTTAGAATAAAGAAATAAGTAAATAAATAAATGCTCCCAACATCTAAAACTTACCCATTCTTTAATTACTCAGACTTTTAGGCTATCGATAGGCAGTAAAGCAACAATGAAATAAAACCTTAACCTGAGTTTAGAATTATGTAAAATCTTAAAGCCATGAGTATCAATGTGTTAACATTTGCGCATGTCTATTTTGTAGCAGAGGAAAGAGAGTACCTGTCAGGAAACAGATGTCAACATCTTTCATGGATCCTTTCAAGTAAGATTACTGTATTCTCGCATTAAATTGTACGCAAAGCCTTAGCTTTTCTCTTCATTTTAACTGTTGATTTACTAGTTATCAGTTATATTTAAAGTGAAGGAGGTTTTAAAGAATCACACCATGTCTTTATCTTTTCTTGATCATATTTTTTTTCAAAGTTACATTGATGATCTTGTCATGATAATAGTTTACTTTATTTAGAGATTAAATGTTTAGTCAAAGGCTATTTTCCTACATAGTCCTTGGTTATTCTATTTTTTATGCCGGGGCCTGGAATATATTACATTATTGTTGCACTATATTTTCAAAGCCTGTTTGAAAGGAAAAAAAAAACAACATGGACCGAAGCTTTTGGATGAGAGCAAACTACTCCAGTACCTTAGACTGCTCAACCACAGAAATTACCTATACAACCTTGTGACATCGTCAAAGTTATCTGGTCTATATGTTTCTATTTTTTTTCATTGTATTTCAGCTTGACTATTGATGTGACTGAAGAATTGGATGAAGACAATCAAGAAGATGACCCCACTTTACATATAACACTAGGGTAATTAACAATTCATTTCATATCTTTTAATTATTATTTATGATGTAAATACCCATCAATAAATTTCTGTCATGCCATAAATTAATTTGGTATTGATTAAGCATTTCAAGATCAAGTACAATTCACATTCATGAAAAGTAACTCTAAGAGCTATTGAAAATATCCCAAAGTACACAATATAAAAAATTAATTTTATCTCCACTGGCACGAAGGGCCAACATTGTTTGTCTGTCCATCCCTCCGTCGTCTTGCGTCCATCAACTTTTCCTTTAAAAAAAACTTCTTCTGAAATAACGAAAGGTCTAGAGTTACTTTATTTGGCTGGAAGGTTCCTTGGATGAAGCCTAACAAAGGTTTTCAAAAGAAATGATCTTGACCTATAGACAAGGTCAAAGGGGTCAAATGTGTTAAAACCTGAGAAACAACTTATTCTAAAATACTGGAAGGTCTAGAATGATCATAATTGACCAGTATGTGCATAACAAAATTAAAATAAAGAGTTACCTTATTTTTACATCCTGAATATATATTCTGGGCCTCTTGTTGTTATGTTTAGTAATATAATTTAGTTATATTTAGTTTTGTTTTCTATCGGTTTTTTACATGGCCATCTCCTTTGCACCATGAGAGATAAACACTTGAGTTTGCATACATCCTTCAATATAAAAAATCCATTCAATTGACACTAGTGTCAATGACAAAGTTTTTCCTAAATGCATATTTTTTCATGAAAGTCTTCCTGTCATTTGTAACAAGTGAATTTTATACATCAACCATTTTACAGAGGGGGAGAAATTGAAGAACTGGAGGACAGAGCAGGGGCAGACATTGTATTTGGGGAGGAAGATGATGACGATGAAAGTGAGAGTGATGATGTTATTGATAAGGAAGTCATTGGTCCAGGAATCTCCAAAATGTCAACTGCAGATGATGTGGGAACCTTATTGGATGACAGTTGTGCCTTGGTATTCATCCATCAACTAAAACACCTTGCAAACTTGAAAGTAGATGGAAACTGTGTGGTGAAAGGAGGTAAATTGGGGATACAAATAAAATTGGATAAAGTAGGATCTGCAGTGTATTTGACCTGGGTGTGTATTTAACAGATAAGTATACATGACATATAGATTTCTTATTAGCTATAATTAATTCATTTTGATGAAATGCACACAAACATCAGGAAATTATGACTGTCAACAGATATTGTATTACAATATACACTGTATGTATTTTCAGTTAGAAACTTGTGGCACCGTCGCACGTATAATTGATTTCAAATAAGAGAGTTGAATTTTACATGTAGCAATACAGAGTTATCATAGATTTTATTTATCAAATATTATCCAGGCCCTGGGACCTTGAAACTTCTTAATATGTTATCATTTTTAAAAGTGAAAACTACCAATGAAAAATGACTTCACCATCATAACGTCACTTCTGATTGGCTGTTTTCAAATTTAAAAATGAGATTGTATGTAAGAGTTTTGAGATATTGGGGCCTGAAAGATGCCATTCTTGACTTGGTATTACAATGTAATTCATGTACATTTCTTATGATGAAAACAACATTCAATTTCAGGTATGTGGAAATTCTAATGTTAAATACAAATGAAAGATTCCATAATGGAGACTTGCTGATCACCTCCGCCTTTCTGTTATCAGGAAATAACTTCAAAAAATGCAGTTATTCATAAAGTTACATTTCCCTTCCAAATCCAGTTTCAACAGGATACAGACAACCTATCTTGTACCATAAATAGAAGATTATTGGTCTAGCCATCAGGAAGGTGTTTTAGAGCAGTTAGAAGATATTGAATTAATAGTTTCAGATATTTTTTCTTTCAATGAGTAATTTAAATTCACCTGTTCAAAGTGCAAGTAAGTTACTGCATTGGTTTGGTGTACGTTGTTCCATCCTGGGTCTTTTTTTAATTCAAAAAGTTTCTTATATAAACTAACTAATGGATTGAGGATACTGATATGAGTCTTGTTGCATGCTGGGTGAACGGCTGCCAAGTTTGATTAAGATCAGAGAGGTCAACAGGAGCAGAAAAAGCAATAGGCCCAGTACACTTTTAATGTGTAGTTATTTATGAGGTAATATTTGTTTGCAAATGTATTTCTTTTTCATTTAAAAATAAATTTAGCTGTGTCAATTAGCAGTTATATAAAGTGATTTCATCAGAACTATACACACACAGATATAAATTTGTACAGAGGCAGATGTATTATGTTTTAACAAAGACATATTTTAATATTTTAATATTTCAATATGTTAACCTTTTACCTCTTTTAGGAGATGGTCGAATGGATTCGCCAGGTCACTGTGTACAATACTGTACATACACCTTTATGGATAACAACTCCAAGAAAATTGTATCTGTAACCACTCTAGACAAGAGAAAAACATTGAGGAAGAGCACCAATATGGAAAAGGCAGGGTTTTTGAAGGGGATGAAGGAACTGCAGAACAAAAATATCAATGTGTCAGATGTGGTCACAGATGCACATCTCCAAATTGGAGCAGCTATGAGTAAGGATTGATGGCTTATAGTCAGCTTTATAATAATAAAATATTTTTTGAGTCATTTTAGGTGACATGTTTTGTACATGTTCATGATAACATAATGCATGATGTGGTACGCTTTGTGATTGTAAATGGAAAAGAGTTTCCATGTAATACATGTATCTTAGTTCATTTTTTCAAATGCAGCTATACTAGTACTATATCATGCTGAGATAAAAAAAATGCCAACTTTGTTCAATTGAAAAACCTTGACATTCTTTCAAGGTCATGGGTCAAAAATTCAAACAAAATCTTTAGACAACTTCTTTCCTATAACCAGAAGGCCTCGAATACATGTATTGATATAGTGCGTGTAGCATGCTGGGATAAAGCACAGCCAAGTTTACTCAAATGAATGACTTGCCTACTTTCGAGGTCAGACTGGCCAAATGTTTTTGGCATATGATTATTAAGACCCATGGGACTGGTGTATCTTTCTAAGATTATTTGCTTGAGAGATAGTTTCATGTATACATGGATACAGAATATTTTGTTTGCTGCCAAGAGATTTGCATACATATCTTCTGTATACAGAGCAAGGAATCTCTTGGCAGCAGTTGACTACTATGCCCACATCGTTCGGCCTGTCCTTCATAACAAAGATGGCTCAGTAAGGTATGCTATGTATTTATATGAAAACGAATAAGATTTTGTGGTAGAAAAAAGCAAATGAAATCTAAAACGCCTTTTGTAAAATTGGTAACCAAGTTACTCTGAATCTAGTTGTCGATTGCTGTAGAATGTATGTTAGCAATATATAAATTATGGTTGCTAAAAGCCCATTTGTGGGAATCAATTGTCTGTAGTCTAGCCTGCAAACTGGAAAACCTATAAATAGTTACCAGTATAAATTTTGTACCCTCAAGTTTTTATACCAGTTTCAGTGAAACTTCATACTTCTGTTGGGGATCATGTGTTTATATGAGTGCAATGTTTTTTCCCAAAGAAATTGGTTGCCATGGTAACCTGGTCACAACAAAATTTTGCAAATAACTTGGAGCTGGGTGGGGGTATTAGTTAGCTATTGGCTTACAATTCTAGTTGTATTTTGTATTCCAGATACCATAGAACATACAGTAAGAAATTGGAAAGATGGAATGCTGTAGAAGTAAAAGAGAAGAAAACCTACCATTATATCAAGGATCTCCTATCCAACATTTTCATAAGAAGAATTGAAGACAGGGTAGGGATGAAGGGCAAAATTGTTCTCGCAGCAACTGACCCAAGGCGCTTGTCAGCTCGTCTTGCCTCAACTGAACCTCCACCAACAAGAGAGCTGGTAGCTTCAAAGCAATTTCACTTAACAAGTTGAACTGGATATCATAACTGATTTCTTTAGATGGTGACATTGACTCTAGCATTCACTTTAATGATGATGATGTGTTTTTGATGAAGATGATTTGTTTGCTAATGATGATAATGGGGACAATAACATGTGATGATGAGGTTGCTGACGACTGATATGTTGTGAACACTGATTTTCCGATGATATGTGATGGTTGTTGATAATGATCATGATGATGCTACACTGTAATGATGGTGGTTGCTGATGTGCTGTTGTTAATGAAAATATTGTGACAATGGTAATGATGATGATTATGCATGATTTTAGTTGATATTAATGATGAATATGATGATTGATGATGATGATGTTTGGTGACAGTGGGGTGATGGGCTGATGGTGGTATGACGATAATGACTAGGAATAAAAGTAGATTCAAAGTGTGAATGAGTAAGTGGTTCTATGTGCAAGAATAAAAATTTATTAAAAATAATGATATAACTGAGTTACTGATCATTAACATGTAGCAAATTAAACTACGGTCATTATACTGAAACTTCAAAATTGGCATATGGGTGCACCATGGTGAGACAGTTATGTCGCATACCAAAAGTTTGTCACTGTGACCTTGACTTCCACCTTTGACCTCCATCAAAGTATGTTCGGTGGGGGACTGTAATTCTTCAAATTATCTTGTCATATTTATAAAGAAATCAAATACTTCTGAATTTTATTTACATTTATTCATTCTCTTTAGGCATGTTTTCTCATATGAATGAAAAATTGTGGAAAATGTCAGGAGTTTGATTACATGTAACCAATGACTACTCACTTTACAATCATATATACAAAGAAGACACATGTCGAAACTATATTTTACGACAAATATGATTTTGCAGAAACAAGTTATTCCAACTCATACAACTGGTAAAGGGTACTTTTCCCCTTTTTAAAAAGTGTAAACTTTTGAATTTAATTTACATTTATTCATTCTCTTTAGACATGTTTTCTCATCGGAATGAAAATTTGATGATGTTGATAATGTCGCATTGAGATCGAAAATCACTTCCATTAAACTAAGAATATAAAAAAAATCATTCGTAAATTCCTATTTTTGTCCGATTGAGGTTTTTTGCCTTGATAAAGTGTAGAAATGACTCTCAGAATGCAGGATTTTGCCAAATTTATATCAAAGATTTTCTGTGGGGTTGGACCCCCCCCCCTAGCAGGTTCACGCCTCAACTCAAGCCTTCCGCTCTTAATTTCCCCTTTATACATAAAAGGGCAGGAAAACAAAACAGCTAGATAAATCCCTGTCATTGTAAACACTCATGAAGGCGAAATTAGTCCATATGAACTTCACTGTATCCTTGATGGGATAAAGTCAACATATTGGCCATACTGATCAGGATACTTGTCCCGAATTGCCCACATACAACATCTTGGTATCACCTTTCTGGCTCCTGCTCCAAGGTGTCCATTTATCAGCAGGATGTACTACCTGTAGTTATTTACATCCCGGTCAGCATCAATGGCTAACACATCCTGCCTGTACAGCTGGGTGAAGCGCAACACCACATTATCCAGTATTCGCGCGTTGAAGTCCTGTGAATGAAAAAAAAAATCGGTTAATGCATCAGTATACTGATTAAGATTACACCAGTACCAATTTTGACTTAAATCTGTCACTTAACTTGTCTTATGTCCACAGGTTTCATGAATAGTAAAGACAGTAGTTTATAATATTGGATTATTATTGTACGTCCTTTCGACAGGTAGGGTCATTCAGGTGTATATGTTATTGGAAAAGGAATTTAGAGAAATCACCTAACAACTGACCTGCTCTACCCACTCTAAAATCATATTCATAAATACTCTTATCGTCGAATAATCGCTTTAGGGTGTCTTCTCACTTAGCCAACATTTTTAATTTTGGGGTATATAGGTAAGGTATTTTGTTGGCCAGGTGATACGATTTAGTCTCACTTTCCCAACTTTTAGATTTCAGCATTCTCACTTTCCCAACCTATAAAGTCCACACCTTTTTCACATATTGTTCTCACTTCTGTCTTACCTTGATTTACTATACTGTTCACCCAAAAAAAAGTCACATTAAATGCTTATGAATATAAAGAGTTCAATATGATAAAACTGGTATTTAGATATTGAGTAATTTTGTAACTGTTTCTGTTTAATATATGAACACTAGTCACACAGAAAACTTGTAGCCTACATGAAGAAGATAGTATCCACCCCTCCATTTTCTATGAAGTTGATGTTAACCTGTGCATTAGCCATCATTGAATATGAACGATTTGAAAATATGAAAATTAGCGCAAGACCTTTGATATGTTTTATTTTAATCCCAACCCAACCAAGCCAAGAAGAATTGGTAACACCCATCCAAGTTTTGTTGTCTTCTGTCATCACGTCCATGTTTTAATTAATATGAGTTACAACAACACTAGTATATTAGGTAAACATTTAGGTACACAATTACTATTATTTCACGAACTGGAACTATCAAATGATAAAACAACATTTAAGCACTTAATGTTAACAATATCTAATTATATTTAACAATGCTATCAATTATGTAAGTGATTAACAGAAGACACAACAACATCTAATAGGATATTATATATTTTAGAATTACTGCTAGCACGGAATAGATTTTGTTTTTGCGCTTTCAGTTCTAAATCTGTCATTTTGAAAAAAAAATATTGATTAAACACTTGTAAATACATTTCTTATTGATATCACAATTTAAACTCTTGAGATTAAGATTTTAGAACATATTAAATAATGCATGTAGATTTTAGTACATATATATTAAGTAATTGCAGCAAACATTTAAGACTTAAATATGATTTTATACATGAATTGAGTTAAATTTTTATTTTATAAATCATATTCAACTTGTCATTTTTATATATTCTGTCAAGGAAAGTAGGAACAGACTATAGCTGAAAATCACTCGGGTGTAAAATTTGACATGTTGGCCAGGTAGCACAGGTAAATTTCAGAATGTTGGCTAAGTGAGAATGTTCGACCGTGTCCTAGCCCCCATTTAAGGGCCTCTTTGCAATTAATCGTAGTTTTTCTCGTAATCTACACGTTTTTGTGTCATATCTAAGCATTGAAAGATGTGATCAACAGATACGTTAGATGATTTCCATACAGGATATATATAGTATTGATTGTATTTATCGGTAACATCTTTTTACAAGTGATGACACATGAACGTACTACTCACCTTTTCCTCAATTTTTGTTTTAGCGTCTGAACATATCACGTGACTTCCTCATCAACATTCATATCCTGGTGTTGATTAATGAGACTAATTCTGGCACCGATATCTCCGGTACCCTTTCAATTTCAAATTCGAAACTTTATACAAGTCTTTATTTATATATTATCTATTAGTAAACAACAACATTTCCAGTCAATAAAATATGAAATACATCTATAGCGAAGTGGGACTAGGTCTCTAAACTAGGCCAAAATATAAATGAACCAGAAACTTGACCCTGTGGTACAGCAGACTACCGAGGAGATAAAGGAATAACCTTTAGTCATGTCTGCCTCATACCTCTTAAGGTATCACACAAATACCTGTGATAACCTTGGCAGGAGGTAGGGACTATTATAGGGGAAAATATGGAGTATACTGCATGGATATTTGTCTGTCTGATGTTCGTGGTCTGCATACTAACCATTGTCACTACGTCAGGGACAACACCCGGAATAAAAGACATCTTCCTCGGACGGTGTCGGGCTTACCAAGAGCTCCTCCAGCCGTATCCTCAAACGTTTGTTGATATACGTTAATGTCTCTTTATACATGTCATAACAAAACATGTCGAAACTTTCGTTTTGTTTCTAACTTTTGCAGGTATTGTTCGACTGCAACTTCTTAAGGTTCAACTTTCGCGGTTTTTATTGAAAACGAGGTTATTAAATTTTAACGAAAATTCCGCAATCTGTTGTTATTGTCGAAATATCATTTAATCATCAGAGAACCGGCTGGTGACGGTACAGTCATGTCAACGATAATCTGTTTACGTGTGCAATTGTTTTCATGTTTAAGATTAGAACCCCACATGCAATATAACGTTCGCTTGTGGACATAGCGGAATAATATTACCTGTTTCTATATACGTAATGCACATTTGTTCTAAATTTGGTAACAGTAACAAAAATAGGCTTTCGAATACATATTTCATTCACGTTATAATTTTTTTTCGAGACAGAAGCAGTATTAAGATGATTTGATTGTGTACACCAGGATCCCTATTGAGTCTGGAAAGAGTTCCTTTTGAACCCCCCACCCAAAATGACTACCAGTAGGCCATAATAAGTATCTAAAAGGGTTTGTTTTAAGGGGTACCAAGAAAAATTGGGGCATGATCTTAAAAACAACCCTTTCAGACACTTGTATTATATTTACCAGGTATAATAACCCATTGGTAGCCACTTTGGGTGGGGGTTCAAAAGGAACTCTTACCTTGAGTCTAATGTTAAACATCTTTGTTTATCATAGCGTGCTGGATTGTAACTCAACTTGGGTGCAATTTGAGGCGTCTTTTGTGGGAAAGGATCCGTGTAAATTGACGTCCCAGGACTACAGTAAATTCGTAGAAACGACATTGTCTTCTGTTCCAGAAGATAAGGTAAGTGTGTGTGGGGGTGGGGGGGGGGGGGGTCTTTGATAGATATGTAGCGTACGTAAGATATAAAATTATATCCATGTTATAACCATCAAAGTACACTAGTCGCCATTTTATTTTAGCTTAAACAATGATTATAATTTTAAAAACATGTCCCGGTCAACTTATCAGGATTTGTGTAAAAACTAATAACAAAAACAACTATATTCCGGAATGGAGTTATTTTCCCTTATTCGGTAAAACATGACATGATTCGGTATCTTACAGACCAGTGTAAATTATACATAACAAATTATATGTGATGCTGATGCTATAGATATGATAGCTGACAGATTGGGAGTATTGTTTTGTGCTGTCTGTTTGTCTATTGTCAACTTCAACCTTTTTATAACTATTGCACCGTAAGAGGTAGGGTTTTCATATTTGGCATGCGCGTTCCCTGTAACAAGACCTTTCCGCTGGTACCGGAAGTTTTGACCATGTGACCTTGAATGTAACCCGTGGTCTACCTTTGAATAGTTTTTAGCATTGACCAGAACGATTGCACCATAAGAGGCAAGGTTTTCATATTTGGTATGTGTGTTCTTTGTGACAAGACCTTTCGGGTGGTACTAACTTTTTTTACCATGTGACCTTGACCGTGTATAATTAATACAATGAAGACACAGGTGTTTTGCATACTGTACATGCGACTAGCACATGACTTACACGGTACACTTTTAATGTCCTACTCCTGAATTTTGTTGCAACCGGGGACTTAGTGTTCCATAAAAAAATCTGGTTTCCTTCGATAATCAGAATTCCTCGCTAACAATCACACGTGGCTTTAACTACATGTGTGTGACCGGCCATGTTTACTATGCTTTACAGCAGGGAGGGCAATGGAATAGGGGAAAAGAGCAAATTCTTCAACATCCTACTTCTCTCGTAGGAATGATATTTACAACATCTTTGTCTAAAGCATTCTCAAGTGAAGGGTACTCAGTTTTGTATAAACGGTTAGTCTCGGTTACCTGGTGCCAGAGAGGTGGGGTCCAACTGGGAAAAAAGAGAAAATTCTCTAAAATCCTATTCTCATGTAGGAATGATTCGATTTTACCCAAATTTGGTCTGAAGCATTCTTGGACGAAAGGGCATAATTTTCCTATGAACGGCAGGACTCGACCACTGGGTTGGGGCCCAATAAGAGAAGCAGAACATGTTTATCCTACGTCATTTGTAAGAATGATTTTGTTTACATTAGGTCTGACGTATTCCTGGGTAAATTGAAATCAGTTTTGTATAAATGGTGGATCCAGGCCATCTGGAATGGGAGGGACAGTACCCATTCGAGAGGAAATTCTTTTTAGAAATGGTAGGATTCTGTACCAGTTTGGTATAAAGCGTGAAATATTTGGCTGACCCCTTGACAGAGGGGTGGGACCAAAACGGGCAAAAGATATATTGTTTGTTGTGTGTATAGAAATTTAGAATTTCGTTTCTTTCGGTTTGAATGAAGCTGCCGCCAAACACAAATCTAGCTGAGCGATACAGGCCCTATCAACCTCTTGTTTACGGTTACTTACGCCTTAGTAAAAAGACGTTCTATTGCAAGGTAGACAACCAATAATCTACTATTTATCAACCTGAACACATGATTTTTTAAATTTTTTTGTTTGTTTTTGTTTTATTTTGTTTGTTTTGTTTACTTTTTATCAAAGGCATTGTTTTGGTCAGGCACGTATCGTGTTGCGCATGAATATGCAGATGCGGGAAAACGTTTTATCACACTGGAAGACACATTGTTAGGTTACATGATGAACGGCTTGACATGGTGTGGACAGACAGTGCCACCTGGTGTAAACTATAAGAATTGTCCATCCTATAACGAATGTCCGGTTACTGCCAGTACTGCATTTTGGGGAAAGGCGTCGTCACAGGTAAACCACACAATACAAATACGACCTATAAGTTGTTAGATAACAATTTCAAGATCTGAATGGACGAATACTGTGAAGTTTGTAATAAAATCGATAAGGAAATGTAATTTGAAACATGCCCGATTTGCCTTGAATGATACATATCACTGAGTTTTGTTCAACCGAACCCTTGTTTACACTGGCTATTTTCAAAAAATGTAGAATGCACAGAATCATTTAACATAACCCTTTTTAAACATATGTAGTTTGCGTCCCAAGCAAAAGGAACGGTAACTCTCTTACTAGACGGGTCAAATCAAACCAGACCAGCCTACAGTACTGACAGGTAAGCCACTACAACATTTAATATTACATATTGGATTTCTGTATAGAAACTGGATATAGAATACAGATTTTTGACGCCATTCCTTTTCATGTTTTTTTTTATACATACTTTACCTTATAACAGAGTTCTCTGTAAATGGTCAAAAGTTACTACGATGTATCTTAAAAGACCGGACCATATTTAATAGCGTGCTGTTAATCAATAAAACAGAGTGACACATAAGGTAGAAAAAAAATATCGGAATCTTGATTCATACTCAAATTCGATGAAACTGACGCAAAATATGAGCAAATGATTTACATGAAGACTCCCCGAATAGTAAAAGGAGAAAATACGAACAGGTGGTCCGGAAAGGGAAAGCGTCGTTTGCTTCATCGGCGACATCCCACAATCCAGGTGAGTAATGTCACGTTCCCAAATTAAGAACAAGGTTAACAACAACAGAACCACCGGACAAACGAACGAGCATCAAATACGCACGACTTCATAGGATAGGAGAAAACAATGGGGGTCCTAATTGATTTTTTTTTATTTTACTTGTGTTCAATGTTCCATTATGACCTCGAATGTGACCAATGTCAAGTTGGATAATTTGAAATCGAACCAGTAATATTATCAGGCGTTTACATGCTAACACGATTTTGGCAAAATAACTACATTTAAAACCATAAAAAAATTGAAAGAAAATAAATGTAAAACCTGGTAAAAATCTAACATTTTGTGATTGCAAATAATGTTTTAAACAACGCATGGACCATCATACAAAAATGAGTTGCTATATGGATGGCAACGAGAACAATATTTCGTAACTACGGTGACATTTGGAAGTGAGATTTATGATTTTTTTATGCCGGGGCTCTTACAACATGAAAGCAGAAGAAAGATTTCTGGTAGTGTTGTATATCTGCCGGGGCCAAAGTTGGCTCATTTCATTCTTAAATATAAACGAATTTAAAACACAATAAAGCCATTGATTGGCGCAATCATAAACAAAATAGCTGAAATTTTCAGAATATCGTAAAATTGTGCAAGAAATATAAAAATAAATGATGATCACCACTTTTATCATACTAGGTTAGGTACGCTATTGTGTAAGTAGTGTTAAAGGACAGTCTGTAGCAAAACGTTGCGACATTCGCAACTTGGTAGACTACTGAAGTCAAACCGACAATTTTCTTTACAATGTAGTAATGATGGCAAGGCGGGTGATTTGTTTTGTACGTATCGTTGTGATAATCTACTGGAAATCCCTTCCTAAATTTTATACATTGTTAAAACTTCATATCGTCTGAGAATACAATACGTTTTTGATGTAACCAGATATCGCTAGTTATCGGGTTTGTAATCCATGACAATATGGACGATTACCAGGAAAGTATGTTTAGGTCGAGATGTATAAATACGAATTGTATTACGCGTAGCATGTAAAGTCGGAAAGTCATCGATCTTTTTTCTATTGATGAAATGACTATTTAGTTAGTCAAGCAGTATGAAATTGACACAGGAATGAAAATACACAACTCCTTATGAAAGTTTATATAATTGATTTTCAGACCAAATTTTATACATAATCTCATATCGAACTCGCTTAATTCGAACCGAACTCGCTTTATTCGAATATGCAGATACTGTGTAACTGTTCAAAAATATGCAATTTCGTTGGTTCGTTGTATCACGGTTAAATCTTGATCCGGAAATCCAGTATAACTGTTTTGTTTTGTCATTCCTTGGTTATCATAGTCATGGATTAAGAGTTACCTCGATATAACGGGGAAAATCCCGAAAGCTTCGAGTTAACGGAGTTTGTACGAGGTATATGTGATGTCTTCTGTGCAAGGTTATGTCTCGAGAAAGCGATGATGACTTGTGTAAATATCGCAGCACACCGTATTCTTTGAAGGAATATCAATAATTGTTATGTATTATTGTGAGAAAAATGTTTTGCTCCTGGGTTCAATCGACCAAACGGATGCTGCGGAGTTTGATACAGGCTGGTAATTAAAAATCAAGATGTCCACAGGCAACCGGTTGTTCGATTCCAGACGGAAATCCAAGCTGCCAACAAACATACACAATTAACACATTGTGGTACATGCAAACTGACCTCAGATTTCTGAGATTCTGTGATATGAATGATCAAATACATGTAACTGTATATCTAACTACGTATAATAACGAGTTAACGTGTAAACATTCTCCAGTTTACACCTGGAAACTAAACATTACTTACAGGGATTTATCAATATTTAGACGGCGAATGGCGTCGACGAAGCAGAAGACGCTTACCCTTTTGGAACATATGTTATAAGGTATATTCAGCCATCAACAACTGAAGACAAAAGACTAAGATTTCCTTAAATGTAGTGTCAGTCCCAATGGATCAGTTTACCTCTCTAACGATATAAGAATAATTCATCATTCTTGTTATTTAACTATTTTGCTTGTGCCATGTTCACTATAACCCGTGTACTTTGAATACCATTATTAAAACCTAAAAGTTACTTCCAAATTGTAAATCATTATGAGATAATAGAATTCATCCTTTTTTGGTTATTACTACAAGGTGTTTTATTCTTTGTTCCAATTACTTTTGTCTCCATATTCCAGACAAAAATGTAATTTCACTTTAAAGTCTTTCTTTGTGTTGTATAGTGCTAAATTATCAAATATAATGATTTATTTTTTTTATACATGATTTCGTTCTGAATTTAATAATAAACGTTCTTGTATTGACAGTCCATACATCTATTTCATTAAATAACAAAATTTCACTGTTTTCGAAATTATCATTCATCAAATATAAAGACATGTATGGTGTGAAACACAGGTAAAGTTCGGGTAAAATTCCAGATGAAGAAAGACAGCTTATATAAATCGGTATAGAATTGACCTGCCATTGTTTATTGAAAAACAACACCTTCTCGTTGTTTGGAAAAAAATATGTTGGCATTCAGAAAACACCTTATTAATTCGTGTTTTCAATATTGGCTTACAGAAATTACGTCAAGGACTGTAGTGTTAGCCAGTGGCAGAAGGCCAGATATAGCTGACAGAGGCTTGCAAACAGGATCAATATTGACTACAATAATTAGAGATCCAATTATTGATTCACTTACTTAATTCAATGTTTCGAAAAGGCCTGACTTGTAAAGTATTATAGAAAGGACAGCATCATTCTCACCTGTAACTGTTTGATACAACATTTTAATCTCCGCAGTTACTTCGCCAAGTTTGAGCTTCCTGCACTGTCTTCTGATGCAGTTAAAATGGTGAAAATTTATGTAGTGCATGACATCAACCAACCTTACAGGTAATGTTTGTGCTTAGAAATGCACGAAAAAAAATACGAGTATGTCAACATAATAAAAACCTACTCATTCAATATAATTTGGGCAAAATATGAACCAAAGAAAGATTTACACGGAAACTCATGAAAAATAAAATTCAAGATCCAGGTGCCCGGTAGAGTAAGCTTCATCGACGAAATTTTATTCTCCACGAAAATGAGTTTTCCATTTTCAGTATCTAATGGCAACTGACTGCAAAATAGTCGGAGAAACTTTCGAAAACATAATTGTATGTTTGAATTCTTTAGAACTACGGAGTTCGATGTAGGGTTCAAATTATGAGATTTTTGGACGAAAATACATCAAGCCTTGTAAGTCATACTGTAACCTTAGTAAAAGAGAAGACGTGTTACATCTTTTATACGTTACCTACTGTTTTTTATTATACAGAGAGACATGTGAAAATGGAACCCTGCCAGCTCTGCAGCAAGCTGTTAAGAATCATGGCCTGGGGTACAGTTGCCATGACAACCCACAGTAAGTGATGAACGCCTCGGTGTGATGTACAATTAGCTTTGTCCAGCATAATTTACGAACAAACAACTAGATCTGTTCATTATGTAAAAAATATTTTTCCGTGAATTAAATTTTGCTTCATTTTTATATTAATAAAAGTTAATGCCGTTAATACTATAACACTGGATTTAAACCTTTACATGCATGTACACGTTGAAAAACATGAGTAAAATTTAATACTCGTGAGCTGGGAAAACCGCCAATTACAATAGGATAGCAACAAGAACATGCTGTCAATTTAAAGCCCCAATATACGTAAAAATCACTATAAAAAAACAAACTTTATCTTATTTTCCCCGTAATATATGTAACAAAACAAATACTTTCCTTTAATTAAAGAAAATAAAACTGACTGTTTTCAATTTAAATAAAAATTGAAAAAATCGGAAAATAAACAATGTGGGACCCACAATAATTCATACATTACCGCTCGTAGCGATGACATTGCGCGTGCGCATATTCCGCGTGTGTAAACATGGCAGACACAGTATAGACGTTCACTAGTCGCTTCCTTTTTTTCCTATCATACATCAGGCCAGTTCTGAATTCTTCCGTTATAATTGTACGTCGTATCGTTTCTAAACTAATTATTCCTTCTAATAATTTCCCAAAACTGAATGTTTATCACAGGAATACCTGAAGTTTACGACAAGACTTCGCAAACAATGTTTGTAAACAAAAACTTACCGTAGACATATCTGCATGTGCTTCCTCTATAAGTAGAAACCTCAACTCTCGCGAGATCAGGTCATGAACTTTCCGACGTGGTTTGGCAACAATCGTAATTTCGATAGCGGCGTGTTTAAAATGGAGGCGTGTTTACAAATAGCGAGTTTCAACTGCTCATATATCAATACTTTATGCATAAAGTAATGGTAACTATTGTTTGAATAACTTAATTTTAACTACATCTTAGAGAATATCTCAATAATTATGTGTGATTCTACACTAAATTTTTGGTGAATGTTACATATATTGGGGCTTTAAACAATTTCAGCTGTTGAAATGAAATGAAGTATTCAGTCGCACCACGATGTATAATTATAAACAATCTTATATTGTACGAGTTCAATGTTGGTTTTTTATAACCATTTAAATATATTTTATATCCATCCACACAGACAGAACCTTACTTATAAGCAGAATACTGCAAACATTTGCGCCGAATGTATTGCACCTAAATGTAATTGCGCTTATTGCACTTTCTTAGTGTTTTCATTTCATCATTGCACTTATTTGTCAAATACTATTGGTGATAATGCGCTAAAAATGATGACGTCAAATTAATCATATTTACAACATTCTATTTTACATGTGTGATACATTGATGAATTATATACAAGTCACATGTTTTCTTTCATAAAGTTTTGTATAATTTTACTTATTTTATCAAACTTATATATATATACATTATCTTATCTCTATTTCTTAAATCATATTTCAGAGCTATTGTGCATCTTCTCTGCGTCGACAATCCAGCGAGTGTGATGTGTCGTATCACATACAATATGTATCGAAATAACCAGTTATTCGGTTGAGGAAACCACGAATTTCGAGAAAATGTTTTGATTAAATAATTTCTTTTCTTAAAGACCCGATTGTACACAGCGACAGTACTTCGAACGTTTCACCAATTACTGACCTTTCTTGAAGAACAATTGAAGAGGGGAGACCGTTACGATTTAAACATATTTTATTGTATCAGTTATATACAAGGGATTGGGCACAAGTTATCCAACTTATATTAAGCCCTTTCCCAACAACATGTTTACAAAATATACATATTCAAGGTGGCTTTTTAAATATATTATAGAAAATAAGTTCTGCTTAGATGAAAGGAGAGAGTAGAAAGAGAGCGAGATGGAAAGACAGAAGGTGAGGAGGGAGGAGAGAGAGGTGGATCAAAATCTATTTGTATTAATAATAAATTGCCGAGTGTGAAGACATATTTCACTGTTTTCGTCTTTGGATAATTCATTACTTCCATGTAAGATTAGCTGCAGGTCTACCGTTACTCTGCAATCAACATTTTGTTTATTATCACACAGTTATATATATATATATATTACAATACATAAACTTTAATACGATGTACAATGATACAATGTATAATATGATACAGATGATATATATATTAAACTTACAGTTTTTGATTGATGTATGTAGATAATGAATAAATCTGTGTAAATTATCAGACAGATGTCGTCTTAAAAAATGTACAATTAACATATTTTTTTTACAAAATCTGAAAAGTCAGACAAGTGGTAAATAAAAAACATATAACATTAAAACAAAACTGCGTTTATTTTTATCGAACGTTTTTCAATCAATAATTTGAAAACAACAGTTATTAGTGTTTGTTTGAGAAAATATCTATTTTTAATTTATAAATAAATCCACAATGTTACAGATAAGCCTTGTGTAACGACGACGTAATACGGTTTGATAATGCATTACATATTATCATTACGTTTGGGATGATAAATAAAGGTTGTTTTTTTAAGATTTTATACAATACATTTCAGCGTGTTAACACTGTAATAAAAATGGTTTTTGTATGTTGTATGTAATAAAGGTAGTCAATAAAGGTTTTGTTTATTGACGAAATCAAACATTTATAGAAATTTCCGGACGTATTTTTTTTCCTCTCGTGTATTTTCGCCGGCTGTTGATTAACCCTAAAATATGCTCGTCACCTTCCATGCCCTGCGTTATTTTCGTGTATAATGGTATGAAATTTAATCAGAGGGTACGTTGATAATGCCAGATTTAATTACGGCGTACTAATTCATGTTAGAAATTTAATCAAGATGAACCCTGATTAATGTGTATAACTGAGGAAGTTATCTATAGCGGAGACAAAAATAATAATATTTGTTCAGTGATGTAGGCTCCAGCTTTTACAAGATCTCGCCTCATTGTGACACTTGCTGCTCACGGCGTGATCAAATTAATACCCTGCATGTGTGTCACAAACATTACGGCACACGGCACATCAACTTTTTGTTTATTTTCATTGAATAGGTAAGTACATGTAAGTCAGAGATATTGATATAACACAATCAGTAAAACTTTACAACTGACCTTTATGTGACTATAACACGAATGTCGATCAAATACAAAAATCGTTGACCGTTTTGTGTAAGCATAACAACTATGTGTAGGTGTAAGATAAATAGTGAGAAATTATTAATTATTTATTAATTTTTAACATAAATTGGTAGACATCGTATATGTCTTCAGAAATTTAGTTCTATTTAACAAGACATATTCACTATTGGTAATATATTGCCAGGTTTTGCTTGTGACGTCACATCTTTTTGACCTCACGATAACCATGGTTATGTAATCTGAACTCACCGCTAACTTCAGCATGTGAATGGTTACAATTGCAACACAAATTATATGTTAAAATCATATGTTGTTTGATGTATTGTGTTGGTGATAGAAATGGACAAAATAAATTACCTAAAAACATTTTTACTTGCTGTTGAGTGAAGTACACAGATAACTATGCCACATTGTACAGTTTTAAGCACATGCAATCTTATGTTTTGTCCCTAAAAACAGTTGAACCATAGCAAAAATATATTTTTTTTAACATCGTATAGTTGTTCCAATAATTAAACGCACAATGTTATTGAAAATTGATAATTAAAAATCAAATCATAAATTATAAGGACAGAACTAAGTTTTGAACAAAACTCTAAACAACCTACTGGATTAATGTTAAAACTGGCGGCGAAAATTCGTTGTAGCCAAAATATCACAAAATTTTCAATATATTCGTATAAAGGTTTACAAATGAAAACTGTGATATGTTAGATGAAATATGTAAATAACTTTATATAAAAATATATTATACCTACACATACACAACTATGAGATATATCTATATTTAGAGCAATGTAATACAATTAACAAGGGAGACAATTTTTGACTCAAACTCACGATCTACGACACCAAATCACCTACACAAGAAATGCTCGACAGCCTAATCATTACGTCACCACGTCAATCCCAGAAATCTCATTTTACCGTAGATCTTGAGTTCAAGGCCCGGACAGGGCACGAGCCAAAACATTTTTCCTTCGTTGATTGTGTTTTAATGTCTTAAATATCATTGAATTAACACAGTGCATCATATACAGTAACGTTGATCTAAAGGTTCCAGATTTACAATATATAACTATAGATACATATAACATTATTGATGCCGTCAAAATTGTATTAATGTAAAATATCTGAAGATGAAAATGAAAGCGCTAATGCTTTTTTTAGTTTATCAACTTTCACTATAGTTACTGGGCACTGAGAATTTACCATGATTTTAATATATATCATATATATATGTATATTATATATATATTAAGTTTCATTTGGACACATATATAACTTCAGGAACATGTATGTATCAGGGACTGTGTATATTACGTTTTACGGTATAAGCTCAATCAATAATTAATTTTTTTTGAACACTTAGTTTACAACGTGCACCAATTTAAAAACAAACGCACTAAAAATAGAAATAATATAAAAAAAAAACAAATAACGAAAAAAAAAACCAAAAAAAAAAACAAAAAAAACAAAAAATAGAATATATAGCCTGGGACGATAATCAATTTTGGGAGACATTTAGCCAGATTTTCCTCTTTATTTCATACAAAATAATAGTAATGATTATAAAGATAGCGTCTTCAATTCGTCATGATTCAACTAAATTTCTTACATTAAAATTGTCGATGGACTCTATAAATTGAAATGTTGTGGGAGACATTTAGTCATAGATTGAACTATCCTTTACAATAAATTCTTCATCTATAGCCGTTTTTTATATAACTGCTCTTTACTGTATACATTTTTACAATACCAAAGTACCATAAAGTTGAGCATTTTAACGGTCGTAAAATTTGACATATTTGTCCTAAAAACTAAAAATTGATTTTTTTAAAAATTTCTGGCTTGAATTTAACTGTGTCGTGAACTGTTTACTCTATGTCTTCTCTCCCAAGTTGTATCTAGTTTTTCTAAAGGCAGGTTAGCATTTGTAACGTCGTCGCCTTACCGTCGTCAGGCTACAGGCAAACACTTATACCGTCGCCTTACCATCGTCAGGCTATAGGTAAACACTTATACCGTCGTCAGGCTACAGGCAAACACTTATACCGTCGCCTTACCGTCGTCAGGCTACAGGCAAACACTTGTTCCGTCGTCAGGCTACAGGTAAACATTTATACCGTCGCCTTACCGTCGTTAGGCTACAGGTAAACACTTGTTCCGTCGCCTTACCGTCGTCAGGCTACAGGTTAACACTTATACCGTCGCCTTACCGTCGTCAGGCTACAGGTTTACACTTATATCGTCGCCTTACCGTCGTCAGGCTACAGGTAAACACTTGTTCCGTCGTCAGGCTTCAGGTAAACACTTGTTCCGTCGTCAGGCTACAGGCAAACACACGTATCGTCGCTTTACCATCGCCAGGCTACAGGCAAACACACGTATCTTCGCCTTTCCGTTGTCAGACTACAGGCAAGCACACGTATGGTCGCCTTACCGTTGTCAGGCTACAGGCAAGCACACGTATCGTCGCCTTACCGTCGTCGGACTACAGGCTAACACTTATACCGTAACAAAGATAAACTATTGTCCTTACCGTAACTGTTCATGTAACACACAGCATTATATCTCACAGATAAACTGTTTTTCTTACCGTAACTGTTCTTGTTAACACACAGCATTATACCACACAGATAAACTATTGTCCCTACCGTAACTGTTCTTGTAACACACAGCGTTATATCACACAGATAAACTATTGTCCTTACCGTAAATGTTCTTGTTAACACACTGCATTATACCACACAGATAAACTATTGTCCCTACCGTAACTGTTCATGTATCACACAGCATTTATCACACAGATAAACTATTGTCCTTACCGTAAATATTCATATAACACACATCGTTATATCTCAAAGATGAAATATTGTCCTACACAATTTTAGTTCGTGTCAATTCATATTTTAACAGTGAACTGTTTTGATTTTTACATTCTTGTAAATTATAGAAAAAGAAATGAATCTGGTTAACCAATAGAAATCAAATCAATGCTTAAGTTCATAATTTTGTTGAACCTCTTATAAGGGGAGGCAACCTAAGTATGTTCACTTACACAAAAGTATTTAATAATAAATATGATACATTTAACCATAACACCGTACCTATTAGTGTCACAGATAATATTCAAATATAAGAAAATAATTACTTCTATATTTGTAATGTTACAGAGCCGTTGCGCTGTCTCCATCAGCCTGTCATGAAACATTCAATCTGTCTGATGATACGCCTTTCAAATAATAAAATATCACTACTGCTACATAACAACTCCAACTCTCTTTAAACCACTGCCACAAAACAACTCCAACTCTCATTTAACCACTGCCACATAACTATCCACCTCTAATTTAACCACTGCCACAAAACAACTCCAACTCTCATTTAACCACTGCCACAAAACAACTCCAACTCTCTTTAAACCACTGCCACAAAACAACTCCAACTCTCATTTAACCACTGCCACATAACTATCCACCTCTAATTTAACCACTGCCACAAAACAACTCCAACTCTCATTTAACCACTGCCACAAAACAACTCCAACTCTCATTTAACCACTGCCACATAATTATCCAACTCTCATCAAACCACTGCCACATAACAACTCCAACTCTCATTAAACCACTGAAACATAATTATCCAACTCTCATCAAACCACTGCCACATAACAACTCCAACTCTCATTAAACCACTGCCACAAACAACTCCAACTCTCATTAAACCACTGCCATATAACAACTCCAACTCTCATTAAACCACTAATTATCCAACTCTCATTAAACCACTAACACATCACAACTCCAACTCTCATTAAACCACTGAAATATAATTATCCAACTCTCATCAAACCACTGCCACATAACAACTCCAACTCTCATTAAACCACTGCCACATAACAACTCCAACTCTCATTAAACCACTGCTACAAACAACTCCAACTCTCATTAAACCACTGCCATATAACAACTCCAACTCTCATTAAACCACTGCCACAAACAACTCCAACTCTCATTAAACCACTGCCACATAACAACTCCAACTCTCATTAAACCACTGCCACAAACAACTCCAACTCTCATTAAACCACTGCCACATAACAACTCCAACTCTCATTAAACCACTGCCACATAACTATCCAACTCTCATTAAACCACTGCCACATAACAACTCCAATTCTCATTAAACCACTGCCACATAACAATCCACCTCTAATTTCCACCTCCATATCTAATCATACAACTACAACACCATCTCTGTATCTAGTTATATCACTACAACACCATCTCTATATCTAGTTATATCTCTACAACACCATCTCTATATCTAGTTATATCACTACAACACCATCTCTATATCTAGTTATATCACTACAACACCATCTCTGTATCTAGTTATATCTCTACAACACCATCTCTATATCTAGTTATACCAGAACAAAACCATCTCTATATCTAGTTATACCACTACAACACCATCTCTATATCTAGTTATATCACTACAACACCATCTCTATATCTAGTTATATCACTACAACACCATCTCTTTATCTAGTTATACCACTACAACACCATCTCTGTATCTAGTTATACCACTACAACACCATCTCTGTATCTAGTTATATCACTACAACACAATCTCTATATCTAGTTATATCACTACAACACCATCTCTATATCTAGTTATATCACTACAACACCATCTCTTTATCTAGTTATATCACTACAACACCGTCTCTGTATCTAGTTATATCACTACAACACCATCTCTGTATCTAGTTATATCTCTACAACACCATCTCTATATCTAGTTATACCAGAACAAAACCATCTCTATATCTAGTTATACCACTACAACACCATCTCTATATCTAGTTATACCACTACAACACCATCTCTATATCTAGTTATATCACTACAACACCATCTCTATATCTAGTTATATCACAACAACACCATCTCTGTATCTAGTTATATCACAACAACACCATCTCTGTATCTAGTTATATCACAACAACACCATCTCTATATCTTACTATGCCCTTGTCTTTAAATGAGTTCATCTGTGCAGCCCACTGCTTGTATCCTAGAATTAAAACACCTGCGCTAGGATGTTTGGACTTAGACAATCAGACGAATGCGATGGGCCAAGCTTGTTACACAACACTCAATGTGAAGACTACATCGGATTTAGCTTGTTTGCAGGTGCCATTTTCTCTTTTACCTTAAGCTCTATTACATAAATATTTGTGTTTTACACATATTCTTATAGAAGATCTCCCCGGTTTGTATCGGTAAATAAACCAGCGAAAGTATAAAAATATAATCCACAGCCACATAGCATTAAACAAACTATTAAAAAAAACGCCAACTCATCCACCGACAGGGAGCATGTAACAAACGCCAACCAATCCACCGACACATACCATTAAACAAACATCATCTCCGTCACCGAAATGCATCATTAAATAAACGTTTACTAATTTACCGACACGAACCATGGAAGAAACGTACCTAATTCACCGACACATACCAATATACAAACGTCTTCTAGTCCATCAACACGCACCAATAAACAAACCTCGACTAATCCATCGCCACACACCAATTAAGACACGCCTACTCATCTACCGAAAGGAACCATGTAACAAACGTCAACTAATTCACCGACACGCACCATTAATCAAACGCCAACTGATTTACCGACACGCACCATCAAATAAACGCCAACTAATCCACCGTCACGCACCATTAAACAAACGCCGACTTATTAACCGACACGCACTATTAAAACAAACGTCAACTTATTCATCCTCACGCACCAATAAACAAACGCCAGTTAAAAGAAAGATCCCGGAATAATCTCGCCCACGAAACTTTGTTATTTTTGCTTTTCTTTTTTTCTAATCTGTTGGATTTTGTCCTTCTTATCTGATCTTGTACTGAGAGATCTATACTAAACGCCTCAAGACTAAGCAACAAGAAAATTTGTTCAAAGACTGACGTACCAAGGAGGCGTTTGAAGAGTCCTTTGTCTAATGATGATAGACTAATTATTGTAAACACACAGTGATGACATTGATACTGCAAAGCAAGCAAATAATAATCAGCTCTGTTATTTATTTAGAAACAAGAATAGTGTCAACAACGTTCAAATGATTTTTTATGATGTTTCCGAAGCAATCACTGATTTTATCAAAACATCATTAAATAACAGATTTAAGTAAACAATGTACCTTGCGATAGGCTTCACATATAGCCAGGAGGAGCACAAGGTAACTCACATATAGCCAGAAGGAGGACACGGTAACTCACATATAGCCAGGTGGAGGACAAGGTAACTCACATATAGCCAGGAGGAGGACAAGGTAACTCACATATAGCCAGGAGGAGGACAAGGTAACTCACATATAGCCAGGAGGAGGACAAGGTAACTCACATATAGCCAGGAGGAGGACAAGGTAACTCACATATAGCCAGGAGGAGGACAAGGTAACTCACATATAGTCAGAAGGAGGACACGGTAACTCACATATAGCCAGGAGGAGGACAAGGTAACTCACATATAGCCAGGAGGAGGACACGGTAACTCACATATAGCCAGGAGGACACGGCAACTGATTTACTAGACCCATCTGCCTGTTAATATCTATTTCGCATGTTCTCACTGAAATATTGGAGGAACTTGAATGGTCGGAATTTCTTTTCAGTTGTGGAATGTTAACGATTTGGCGTGGCTGTGTTCCATCCTCTTTTTGACAGCAGCATGCCCGGCGGAAAACGGAGAGTGACGTTCCATATATGATGAAGTTCACCGAATTATTCAGAAAAGATGATGACAACCCAAAAAGCAATACCGATTGAAAGTAATAATTACCACTGAAAACAATGACTCCGGATGTATCAGTCAAAAGTATGACAGCCCCAATGTCTTTCGGTAAACAGGTGACCACGTAGAACATGCTCATCCTCAACAACATCCGGGTCATTTTTCGCTGATTCTCTGCTCTTCGTAAATCATTTGCGTCCTTAATTTGCGACAAAGATGGTGGATACTTACGAATGCCAACGATAATTGTAATGTTACATACCAGGTTTATCGTCAATGTTGTCATTCCATAGAGCAATTGAAACAAATTGCCATACCATTCAAAAACAGGTTTATTGTTCTTTATGGCTTGTAGCGCCATCTGGTATGTCGACCAGGACGACTTATCGCCCTTTACACCAATATGTACAAGTTCCGGAACACTGGATAACGGCACAAAGACAAACACGGTTATAACTATTATCATTGCTCTCTTTGGTGTACAAATGATGCGAACTTTCAGCGGTAGTAAAACGGCAATACACCGTTCCATCACAATCACAACTTTTATCCATCTCGAAATTCCGTCAAGATAAAAGATCGCCCTGGTCATAAAGAATCCGTTTATGACCAAGTTAGGTAGAACATTTTGGAAATGATGGTTACGATTCTGAACTATAAGGTAGAACATTTGCAAGATTATACACATCAAGTCCGCGACAGCTAGACTGATCAAAAGAAGAATCGTTGATGATTTGCGTTTTCTTTTTTGAAAGATGTAAATTGTCATAGAGTTTCCAAACAAACCCACGATTACAACAATAGGCAAGAACACACTATTCATCGCAATCATGAAACTCTTCATTAATGATGGGGAAAATGTGTGCCAGGGGCCAGCGACTCCTCCGTGAGTTTCATGCTTGTCAGTCAAGTTCAGAAAAGCATCTAAACAAGATTGGTTAGATGTTTGATAAATGTTCGTGCAGTTTCCATTGGTCATGTTAGCCATGTGTAAAGAAGCTGACGTATCGTGTTTAACCAAATGTCCATATAAGGTCAAAACAAAAACCTGTTTCTGTAATGTTTGCTCACAATTTCAATTGACAAATGTCAACTTTCCTGTCGCACTATCTGTCAAATTTGTTGTTGCAATCAACCCTTTGTGCTTTTCAAAAGACTTCAAAGTAAAGCCACTTCGCAGGTCAACCACTATTCAGGAAATGTGCAGCAAAACGCTGATCACATCCGACTCTCGACTGAGTACCCGTGGATAATGAGAGACACGGTAGGTTCGCTGGAGTTAGTGATTGCTTAATCGATCTCCCCAAATGAATCACACGTTTGTTATAAAGGCATGGATTAGATGTCTCTAATATTTACGTTTCCAGCTTAATAATTAAAATATTGTATTTGCTTAATGGAGTGAATACATATATTCGGAAAATGCTTTCTATGAAATGTTCAAAATGCCTTTTAAAGATTTTTTCTATTGAATGGTCAACAATGCCTTCAACTATAAACGTCTCAATACGTTCAATTAGACCTAAAAATGACATTTTGACAGGTTTCAAAGTAAAAATGAGGAAGACAAAATAAAACAGAGACAGCCATTTTGTTTCGTCATTTCCAATTCATAACGTGACGTCATTGTTCTTATCATGACATCACAATTAATTACTGTCTGACGCTACCAATGAACAATTTATTAGGTAACAGACGGATTAAGTGGTAGATGTAACAGTTATTTACTTAATATCGGTAAAACGAATATATATATATCGGTTAAGAGTAAATAGTCACAGTATTGGTCTCTGTGTACCACTGTCTCAAGTGATGTCAATTTAATTTACAGTATTTAAATCGTTGGCATATTGCTTAAGTATGGTATTACAAATTTTAATAAAAAAAAATAATGACACTAATCTTCGATAACGAAAATCTTAAATTACAGCTTTTCTATTTTTAAATATAAATATTAAAAATCGTTTGTTTCATATCCGGTAATTCTGAGTTCAAGTTTGCGGTTGATGCTCTTTATTTTGTTTGTTGGGTTCGTTGTTGTTACCTTGTTCTCGTTACAGAACGTGCCATTACTCACTTGGATTGACCAAGATTTACATAACGAGCGGCGTCGATGAAGACCAAGACGCTCTTTCTTCCGAAACACCTGGTCTTAATAATCAATTCAATAATCACTGTGTAACTTTTTTTTTTTATTATTTAACTCTGGATTAATGAATTTAAGTTGGATTTTGTTTTTGTCGTCATTTCGGTTTTTTCTTTCTTGTCAATGGAGGCATTACATATCGTATGCATAACATGGAATGCGATTGTAAATGGGTCTTATCATTAAGATGAAATTTATAACGCCACGGTCCTCGCCGTCATATTATCTATTATCATATCAGTACAAACAAGTTTAATATCTGGAGATTTATCAAGAAAATATGTGGTATTTTACTATGCAATAGGATTTAAAACGCCGACATCCATCGCCTTATTTGTCTAATCGCCATATTTTTTCATCCTTATTTGTAGATTTTTGTGCCATACGCGACGACATCATGTTAAAATATAAATACTTAATAAATGAATGACAATTTGATAGGCAAAAATATTATTTCAGATATATACCAGATTGAAAAAAACAACTTTAAAGGTTTTTGTGAACTAACGAGGCTTGATTCTGTTCTATAACGCCTAATTAAAACAGTGCCTTTACATTCTTCCATTACACTAAGGGGATTTCCGGTTCTGTTCCGGTTTACCGATCTGATTTGTCCGGGTCTGTCAAGACGTTTATTCTCTTGAAAGGTAGACTTCCGGTCAAGTGCACAAGGAATTCAATAACTGTTGTGATTCAGCTAAAATTACTGTCGCTGTAGCGTACACACAAAAGGATAATTGCTTATACACGAGCCTTGTTTTCTCGGAAGGTTTTACTCCTCTGAAAAGTTCAAACCTAAAGTGATCTGTTGCGACAATTTTATAGCAACACATATGAAAAGGGATATTTTAAGTATTCTATTCTTTTCCTGTCGCACTGTCTTCATCAGATGATGTGAATTCCCAGTTTTATAGAATTTGATATTGAATTATGAATCTGAATATGTCGATATTTTCTTGTTGTTATCACACAATAAATCGTTTTAATCTCTCCCATAGGAAGCCATCTTCATATCACATTAACCTTCAACCCTTCTCTCCACCACTACCAAGGAAAAACACCAAATATACAAAGCCACATAACACTGTTGAGCCCAATGAAAGGATGAACAAAGATGGAATTCCGAAAAAGCTAGGTGGAGCTACGAAACGGCTCGTTCAGTGGTCCAGAGAGAAAAAGATTACTACAATGTTTTGGCTATAGTGCTACCTTAATTTGTTATGTACAGTTCATCGTCGCATTTGTTTTATGCACTGTAAATAGATTATTATGCAAGTGATTCATCAAGTTATTGGGATTAAATGTAAAGCTAAAGGAACCAATTTTGATGACACAATGCAATGTATCGATGAGTAGTCTCGAGGAATGAAAACATTTTTTAGGTCGACCTCTATTGAAAATGAGCATTGCTGGAAACCCCGCCTTTCTTCATTGTGTCACTGATGAGCATTAGACTTTATTGTAAGGATCAATTGACGCGAGATAAGTTACACATTAGCAGTGCATCATAATTGTAGCTATGTTCAATTGCCATGACAACAGTTTAAGATGTATCTAACTTGTGTATGAAACGTTCACGCTTCTGTCATAACACTTCTTTGTATGCAGTGTGTAAATATTGAGGTAGGGGGTTGACCTAGACATGTTTTAATTGTTCTTATCAGGTTGATGACCTAAATCAAGAAGCTTTAGTTGCACAACAACACATCATCGATATAGATCCAAGAAATGAGTAGTTACAAAACCATGTCAGTAAAATAAGGAAATAATTTGTTTCTGTGTGTATGTCTGTAATACAAGTATACCATCATTCAAAAGATATTGTCGCCATCATCAGATGATAATGTCAGTAGTAATTCAGGCTTTTAAGATCAATTAACTGAAAATCTCTTTCCCGTTTATTATACTTTCATTTAGTATTCTCTTCATTTTGTGACAACATAAAAGATTGTGATAACTAAGAAAATATTTTCTGACAAAATCAATTTGCTTCTGATCTAAGCGTGCAATTCCCTGATCAATCTACGAGGATTTCCGTTACAGGAACATATATAACCACGAACAATCACCAATACAATCCATCTCCGAAATGCGTTTATTCTTAAATAACTCACAAACCGGGTTTCATGAACTTCTGATAACATTTCAAATTGTGTCTGTGTACTTGTTTAAGTTGTATGGAGAGGGCTTTCATAGGCTCTGCCTGTTGCCCAATTCCATTTGTCACCAACATCAAGACAATAAAATATTCTGAAATGAAAATTTTCAAATTGTTCAAAGGTTTGCTTAAAGGATATGGCAAAGAAAGTAACTGTTGAGAAATGTTTCTTAGCATCCTCGATATTCTGAGAGTTACGATCACTTTCATTCTCTGCACCCCTGGAACATCTCATGGCAGAATTGAAGGCACAAGCAAAGTAATTTGGTTGGTTTCAGGAAAAAACACTGACAAATCAGAATCTGATAATGTCTTTGTGAAGATTACAAAGGCACGATACCCAACTTTAAAACCATGACAATATATCGTTATGCAATCTCGAGATTCGTTTGATGAACATCAAAGGATTAAACTGGTTTTTTCGTTGTGTTCACAAGGTGACGCATATGGAACGTTCAATTTGCCCAGGACATTTTCCAGGGCTGCAGCGAGCGAAAGTGATTTTAACCCCTGGAGTATCAAGGATGGTTCCCTATACCATTGCAATACAGTCATCTTGGTGATTTGTTGAAATATCGACAAAAGTACTTCGATAAAAGCATCAATGATCTATTTATGATTGCTTTCCATTTACATGAAATTTTCCAAATATCCCTAATTAATTTGACGCTGATTTCTCCGTGTTTCCATGGTGAAATGTCAAAATTTTGTAAAATATGTTGCAGTCGTCATTACCTAATATATGTATCAGATAAATACTTGATATTATGAATCATGTGCACAAGTGATATTATCAAACATGATAAGAAAAACAATCTAGACAAAAGGCCCAAGAGAGAAAAACCCAGTTTCCTAACATAACCACAAAATTTCAGCTCAATGGAACCAGTGGAATCGAGAAGTTTACTAAGTATGTTTACAAATATACTGGCAGCATTATAAAACAGACAGGCCCGAAAAATGACACTAAGACAGGACCATCTGGGGATACATTCAGGCAAGTTTCAGGATGATCGGACAATCTCACTGGAACACGTTTAATATCGGTATTGTCTTGAGAAACCATTATTCCACTATCAAGCCCACCTTGACCTTCTAACGAGGTCGTACGATAACAACTCTTTGTTTGTTTCCCTGTGTTAACATCCCCACCAATTTTCAGCTCAATGAAACAAGTGGAACTCGAGGAAAAGTTTAAAATATGATTTTTCAAGATGGCGCACACGGCGGCCATATTGGATTCCGGCCTGACCCTTAAAATTACAACACATGGTCAAGACTGTCTCGGAATCATTTTAGGCAAGTTTCAGCTCAATCCAAATTGTAGAACTGAAGACGAAGTTTATATAGGTATGATTCGTGGAAACCATGATGATGAAATTATCTTACAAAATGGCGGCCAAGGTTAACAGATTGATTTTTTGGCGAGACAGAAAACAACAACACTCTTTTATGACGATTTGACAACAATTAACCTTATGATGATAATAATTTTGACAAAATCACAAAAAAACTTACAACAAACCAGTTGGAGAGGAATGACTATATGTCAGAAATTATTGACGGTGAAAAATAGTACTTTCTCATAATTTACATACACAAATATCTATTTTATACTGTACCTTTCGCTGTTTTATGGTTGTTTATTGTAACATGATACTAGTCCAAGGTGGGG